TTTTTGGTCGAAGATCAGGGTCAAACTTATTTTCTTAAAATTGTTTTCGGTCAAACAACAGGGTCAAACTTTTTTCTTAATTTTTTTTTGGTCGAATAACAGGGCTGAACTGTTACCTTATAATTTTTTTGATCGAACAAGAGAGTCGAACCTTTTTCTTAAAAATTTTTCGTTGAAACATTAAATAAAAATAAAAATTAAAATTAAAATGGATTTTATTTAATTAAACAATTTAAACAACTATTTACGTAACAGCAGTAAGGTTATTTCCTGTTCTCATTAAGTGAAATGTGCACTCGCATTGAGACTTAAAAGTCAATTATCTCAGGAACTAATAGAGATAAACAAAAATCAAAAACACCCAGATGTTCAGCATCAAATCCTAGACAAGATAACATTAAAAAATTTGAAAGATAACATGTGCCTAAAAAATTTCCGCCGCGATTTTCTCAGAAAGTAATAAAGTTAATAAAAAAAACTTTCTTCATTTTGTTCATGCCGTGGTAAGGATCTATAAAATGGCAGATTTGGTTTTTCCATTTTCCAAAGTTGACCAAAGGCCTCTCAAAAAGATCAAAAGGTTACACTTGACTCTTTTTGGACTCAAAAAAAAATTTTTTAAGCTAGAAGAAAATGGAAAACGCTAATCGTTTGAATTTTCCAAGGGGATGAAAGATATCAAGTCAGTTTTTTGATAACATCATTATTTTGGAAAATGGGTGGTAACTTCAAACCTGATCAAATAAAACTACCTTTCTAATTTACCCTAAACTTTCCAAACTGATGAAAAACAATGCCAGTCATCTATTAATCCTGGTTTGGTTGCGCTATCTTAATTAGTTTTTTAGTTATTTTATAAAGAATATTTATTAAAATAATTTGTTATTTTCTTGGATTTTACAATTTTATTTGCGAGTTTTACATGTTTCGCCCTGTGGGCATCATCAGATGATTCTCAGTAATAATTGTAATAATTAAAAATAGTCAACAACTTGAAAACTAATTAAGATTGGTCAACCAAACTGGATTAATGGAATCCTGGCAATGTCTTACTTCCATTGGGAAAGTTTAAGGAAAATCGGGATGTGGTTTTATTTGATCAGTTTTGAATTTACTACTAATTTTCTGAACTAATGATGTTATCGAAAAACTGACTTGATATCTTTCATCCCCTTGGAAAACTCAATCGATTAGCGTTTTCCATTTTCTTCTAGATTAAATCTTTTTTTAAGACCAAAAAGGAGTCAAGTCTAACCTCTTGATCTTTTTGAGAGGTCTTTGGTCAACTTTGGAAAATGGAAAAACTAAATTTGCCATTTTATAGATCCATATCACGGCATGAACAAAACGAAGAAAGTTCTTTTCTATCTTTATTATTTTCCGAGAAAATCCCGGCGGAAAACTATTTACCTATTTAGACACATGTAATATTTCAAATTTTTTAAATGTTAGGTAAAAGAGGGTAATGGGGGTCACTTAAGGGAGAACTCAAATATAATTTAAATTATAAACAAAATACTTGTTGCAATCGCTTATAAGCATTGTTTACTTAAATACCTATTATTTGAAATAATTTTCAGTCACTTTGACAATCAATTTTGGATATTATTAAAGTTTAAAAACAGATTTGACTCCCATTACACCGACATGCGGGTAATGGTGGTCACCCTGGGGACAATCGGAATCAAACGAAATCTAGCAGGTATCGCGGACATAATATTCCGCAAAGTCCCACCCAGTGCATTTCACATGAGCTCATAGCCCACATGAAGTGCATCTGAACCACATTTAATTGTTTTTTTTTTAAATCGTTGCACATTAGACATCAGTTTTCCAAATCTTCATCCTCATCGCCCTGGCATAAGTCATCAGTGCCAATATTGGAATCATAAGTTTTGTTACTTTCCTGCAGTATCGTTTCTGCAAGAAGGCTATTGAAAAATAAGTCACATTGCTTTTTATAGGCCATTTAGAGCGGACTAAAGACAAAAACGTCCATTGGGAGTCGCATGACTCCCATTGCCCACAATTGCAATATTGTGAAAAAAAAACAAAAAAAATATTTCTTCAAAACATTAATGTAATCTGAACTGCACATCACGATTTTGAATGTTTAACTAAGACTATATAAAAGTTTGATTCGAATATTGCAAGATATTCGACACTTATCTTCTAATTTGCGTGGACGTAAAATTAGATCAGCGGAGCTCAAAAATAAAATATTGGCGTATCTCAATGATACACGCACCGATTTGCATGATTTGTCGGGGGTGGCACTGGGGGGCCAGAACGGAGGTAGGAACACCGTTTACGCGTTACTCGTAACTATTGTTTCGTGGATATATGGGTGACTCCCATTACCCGCTGACTCCCATTACCCTACTCTCCCCTATCTTATCTAGGATTTGATGCGGAACATCGGGGTGTTTTTGGTTTTTGGTCTCGATGCGCGTACAAATTTCACTTAATGAGATTTACAGAAAATATCTTTACTGCTGTTAGCTAAAAAGTTGTTTAAATTGTATCTATATATATAAAATTTGCGTGTCACAGTGTTTGTTTCCATACTCCTCCGAAACGGCTTTACCGATTTTTATCAAACTTTATATGCGTATTCAGTAGGTCTGAGAATCGGCTAACATCTATTTTTCATACCCCTAAGTGATAAGGGTTGTTCACCCTTAACTTTTTTTAAAATTTTTGGACAAATTCTTTTGTTTTTATTTTTTTTATAATGTGGAATTAAAAAATACATTCAACCCTAAATTTTTAGTTTTTTATCACCAACCCCTATTTCTTTATAGCCATTTTAGTAATTTAATCATTTTTCATCCCGCTCAAAGAAAATTTTTATATGCGTATTCAGTAGGTCTGAGAATCGGTAACTTCATATCTCTAAGTGATAAGGGTTGTTCACCCTTAATTTTTTTTTTAATTTTGGTCGAAATTTTTTGTTTTTATTTTTTTAATGTGGCATTAAAATATACATACAACCCTAAATTTTTGGTTTCTTATCACCAACCCCTATTTTTTATAATAAGTAAGTTACTTTTTGTCTACACTAAAATTTATCTAGAAACTTGAAATAATTTACATGGCAAAACAACGTTTGCCCGGTTAACTAGTAATTAAATAAAATCCTTTTTAATTTTAATTTTAATTTAATGTTTCAAAAAAAAATGAATGACTCTGTTGTTCAAGCAAAAAAATTTGACTCTGATCTTGGACCAAAAAAAATTTTAATAAAAAAGTTCGACCCTGTTTGTTTCGACCAAAAATGGTTATTTATGCGATAAAAATAGTCCGTTCGACCGAAAAATATTTTAAGAACAAAGTGCAATCCTGTCTTTCGACCGAAAAAATTTTAAGAAAAAAATTCGTCCATGTTCTTCTACCGAAAAAAAATTTAATAAAAAAGTTCGACCCTGTTTTTCGACCAAAACTGGTGATTTATATGATAAAAATAGCTATTTTTGAAGTGCATTTTTGGGCACTTCTGGAAGGGTTAGGGGGTTGGAATAATATGCGTCGTGTAGAAGAATTCTCTAACTTTCATATGGGGAAAAGAAACTTCATAAAAGTCAAATAGTTCACGAGATATTGGGTGTTTTCCACACTATGTTTTTAATTTTTTTTGAAAATTGCTCATTTTTAAAAGGCATTTTAGAGCACTTCTAAAAGGGCTATAAAACTGAAAAAGTGTGCACTGTATAGAGAAACTCTTTAACTATAACATGACGGTGACAAACTCACAAAAGTCAATTAGTATATGAGATACAGTGTGTTTTTCACACCATGTTTTCAATTTTTTTGAAAAATACCAACTTTGAAAGGGTGTTTTAGGGCACTTCCGGAAAGGCTAGAAGATTGAAAAGGTATGCATCATGTAGGGAGACTCTCGAACTTTAATATGACGGTAACAAACTCTAAAAAAGATAATTAGTTCACGAAATACAAGTTGATTTCCACACCAGGTTTTTAATTTTTTTTAAATGCCCATTTTTAAAGGGCGTTTTAGAGCACTTGCGGAAGGGTTAGAAGATTAAAAATGCTTGCATCGTGTAGAGAGACTCTCGAACTTTAATATGACAGTAACAAACTCTCAAAAATTTATTAATTAACAAGATACAGACTGTTTTTCACACCATGTTTTCAATTTTTTTGAAGAATGCCAATTTTTAAAGGGAATTTAAGGGTATTTTTAATAGGAGTAGAAGATTGAATTATGCGTCGTGTAGAGGAGTTCTAGAGCTTTAACATGGGTATAAAAAATCAAAAAAACTTAATTAGTTCAGATGATACAGGGTGTTTTCCGTACTATGTATTCATATTTTGTGAAAGATGTCAATTTTTAAAGAGCATTTAGAAGGAATAAGAAAATCTAAAACAGTTAATTAATTCAAAAGATACAGGGTGTTTTCCACACCATATTTACATACTCAGAGCATATTCAGAAGGGCTAGGGAGTGGAAATGTATGCATCGTGTAGGGGAACTCTCTAACTCTAACATGTCAATGAGAAACTGTAAAAAAGACTATTAGTTCGCGAGATACAGGGTGTAATTTTGCAAACCACAACCGAAACGAAATTTTCCAGAGACCTTTTGATCTTCAGTCTAACACTCTCCCAACTGAGCTAATAAATTTCTAATTCTAAGCATTTTAAATCAAAAACACTCGAATTATTTTGGAATTATACAGGAGGGCTGAATGGTACAGCATGTTTTTAAATTCCTTGAGACATGCCAATTTTTAAGTCATTTTTGGGCATTTCTAAGGGGTTTTGAGGGTTTAATCAATCTATAAACAGACACTGGTTCGTGTCCACAGCAACGTTAGGATTTAAACGAGTAAGTTTGGAAAAGTAGCGTGCACTACCGGCAAATGTTCTGTTCCCTAGACCAAGACCAGACGTTTAACATGGCGCTCGGTTTCCTGTGTATCTATACTTCGTGCTTAAAATTATAAAAAATAAGGGAATTAACTTAGTTAAATCTATATTATCATCACATTCTTATTTATTTTAGTGCAATTTCATTAGGCATTCGCTAATTAAACAATAATTTGATATGTAATACATTTTTGATCATCATATTTTTGGCTACTTTTCATAATACTGCTTTTGTAACATACACTACATTGCAAACAAAGAAAATAACTAAAATAACTTGAAAAGCTAGCCTAATTTAGCTGCAGCTATCTGTTTACACTTATAAATTAAATACTTCACAACCAATTGAGAAATTGTCAGGGAATTGCAAATAATATATATTTAGTCAATAGTGTCACCTAGGTCGTCTACAAGACTATAACGTGATGTGTTCCGCTAAACATTTAGAGATTTGAAGTTGTAAATTATAAAATAATTGATAATTGATCACATATAGAAACAACCAGTTTCGCCCGTATGTACAAAACGATAAAATAAATAAACTTCACTGCAGTTGAGTGAGTAGGGTTTGCATGGGAGTGTTAAGATTGTTGCAGGCCAGAGCAGTAGTGTAGCATGAGCACGGAGAGGCCGTGAATCTTGGCGTCGGCTTGGCCCAGCAAAAATGCTAGTTTTGCACGCTCCACCTCAACTTCTTCGTTATTCAACTTTTTGATTAGGTCGGCATGCTCTGTCGTTACGATGTCAAACATTTTCTTTAGTTCCACCATCTGAACACGAACAAAATTAAATGTCACTACCGAATAGGGACAAAGTAAGTAAATTCTACTTACCATTGCATTGATTTTCTCAATTCTTTCATCTGACACCATCGTCGCATACAATTGCCGCCCGGATTCACGCGCGCTCTCCATGAGATTCTCATCCGTCGCGCAGATCAGCATCTGATCGAGCAGTTTATTCACCGCATCGTGTGATTCCTGCGCGTTTTGGATCTCGTCCAGCGCTGCGGGACAAAGAGAAAACGGATTGGTGACAGTGAGCGAGTGCTTGCGATTCGGCGTGCGCTGTGGTGATGGCGGCAAGCTGCGCGATTGTGATGCATTTATGTGTGCACCTAGAAAAGAAACAATGGTACATGAACAAGTACAAATTGTGCGCACGGTGACGTGACCAATTAATATGAAAATTCCTTATTGTAATTTTAAATCGGTACCTGGAATGGATAGATTATTAACGCTATTCACGCGTTTAATATTTATTCCTTCGCTGTTGCCGGCTTCCTCGTCAATGTAATTGTCATCCGCCACATCGCCGATTATCAAGTCCGGTTGATCCGAAGAATCGCTCTTGATACTCATGCGATCGACAAGGGCACAGTCGGTGCTCAATTGGCACTTACTAATGCACTTTTTATGGCAACACATGCCACAGTCCCGGCATTGGACTGCATCTTTTAGCCAAATCTTCAAAATATTACATTAACTTCACCTTAAACTTGGTTTATAATGAAAATTTACCTTTTTTGAACAAAAATCGCAATGAATACTTCGATGGAACTGGGTACGGACAAAATCGTGTTGGTTGATGCTAGTTTTTTGCATTGTGGGCTTTACTTCCACTTCAGAAACAGTCGAATTTTTGCGTTTCAAGCTTCCATCGCCGTCGTGATTCCACACAAAAGATAACAAAATGTCTCCATAGCAAAACACATGCTCGAAACCAGAATGGGACATCAAAGGATGGCTTTGACTAGTAACAAACAAAAATTCAAAGAAAATTATTCTGAAAAATAACAAATTTTTAAAACTTACGCATTTGGTGGTGTATTATTCGGCGGTAAAAATGAATAACTTCTTGTATAATGTCCCAGAAGAGAGCTGCAACACGCATTCAGAATCTCACACAGCGGAATGTTTGCATACCCAAGCAAAACCTCACGCTGCGTGTTCGTCCCCCAGATATTAATATTCAAATACTTGGCATTCTCCTTCAGTTGGAATGAATATTCATCATTAAAATCCATTAATGGTTTTAATGGCAACTCCGCGGTCTTCTGCACTTCAATCAAGTCTAAACTCTCACACTCCTGCGCCTCTGTGTCGGTTCGAATAATTTCTGGTACTTCCGATATCGAATGTTTTTTACTCTGCAGGAAATTTGTCGGCAGAGAAATCGAATGATGCTTAAAACCGTGCTGTGGAGTACTGGGACAACTCGGATTCGGTGTGCTTTTATTACTACTCGTTTCACCGTTGTTAGCTGCCGATTTTTCTGATGTAACTGACGATTTTCGTTTCCGCAACGCAAAGTTTCCAAGCGTCTGTGCAAATTTGGACATGTTTTCATTACCGGACGTGATTATTTTCGGCATTTTTTCACTGCGTGTTGATTTCGCCGACTTCTTACCATCGGAATCATCGCTTTTATCATTTTTGTCAACCATCACAAAACTCTCAGCCGCGTCTACACCTTCAGAAACATCGTTGATTGCATCATTGACGCAAATCGTTGGGGTTTTCTCTTCAGTCTTATTTCCTGTTTGTACAGTTGTTGTTTTCATCACGTAATTACTGGTACAGCGCTCAACTTTAAAGCTGATATTCACCGAAGTAATCGCTTTGATTATCTTACTAATCTGTGACACATTACTAATGTTTTTATTTTCGATCGCCAGGATGACGTCGCCCTGCCGCAAGCCGGAGTGGAAAGCAGGCGTTTGCGGTGTGACACTATCAATCGTCACCGTACTGTTCGTCTCTTGCTTGAAAATAACCCCTAGCTGCTGTTGACGGACTTTGGTGAGCGTTAACTCCAACATGAGCCACAATGAGTTTTCCTTTTGATACAGGCATATGAAGGGGATTGTATCGATGGTGAAGGTGCAATGCACGTTGGTTACATCAGGAGGTGCATCAAGACGTGAGATTTCACCGAGGGAAACTTCCAGGGTGCCGTGAGAGACCATTTCGTTATCGTCAGCATCAAGCTGACCGGGATCAGTCTTAACAAAGAATGGTTTATATCTGAAATTTACAAGTATTAGTTATTTCAAAGTCTTTAATATTTTGTATTACACACCTGATTTTATAGTTTGGTAATGTATGTTTCCTCTTGATAGCCTTCTTAATCTGATTCACAATCAAATTAGTAATATTCGATTGTAATTGTCTGCCTTGAAAATGAGATTCCACAGCTAACTCAATTAGAGGGTCATTGAAAAAACTGAATGACCAGTGTGTATATGGATGTCTTGTAAATTGCAATCTCCCAATGCCGTTAATACGCTTCACTTTTATTGATAAATAAGCTGTCTTGCCAAACTTCATCTTAGCATCAACAGACAATAAAAAATTTCCAGTATAATCTAATTTAATTGACAAATTTAGCATGTCTATATGGCCCTCTGTCTTGTCCAACTTAATGCTATCCAAAGAAATGTCTTTTATGTCAGGAAACTGTGATCCTAAATGCATATCTCTAATCTGCAATAATAAACAAAAAATGTTTAGTGAAATATGATTTTCTATGAAGCAAAAAACATACTGTAACAGCTTCAAAAAATTTCCCAATGGTAGTCTTGGTCAATAATTCATCAAATTCCATGCTCAACTTCTTGTACAGCCATTGTTTTATACTGTCAGAGTGTCGAAGCTCATGAAACAGAAACTGCAGCATGAGACTGATTGGCAGACTGGAGCTGGTATTCTCATTGCACTCAAGTTTCTTCTTCAGCTCCTATAAATTATAGTCAATATAGAAATAAACAATGTATGCAAATCACAGAGAACAAAACCTCAGGTAAACTGTAAGCCTCAGTGTTAAGCTTCTTAGGCGTTTCAGCAATGGGGCCCTTGTTAAAATAGCGCACGAGCACATAGTATTGCACGACAACCGTTAACACAATGCCAACACAGACGGATATCACAATAAGCAGCAGCAGATTCAGAAGATCCATTTTGAGATCAGTTGTGCATTACAATCACAACAAGAAGCGACAGTAGGATTATTAGCAGCGTTTTGAACATCACTCGTTCTCGACTTTTCGTGTGTCGCATTAATTATTCACTGCCGTTCGGGGGTCAATAAATTTGTTTATATTTAGAATAATCATTCCGTTTTCAATACGCCGCCGAATAGACAATAACATCGTTTATATCAGTAAATATGTATGCGTTTACTTTTTTAGTGCGTGCTGCGTAGAGTTGTGCGACGCGCGACTCGTGACCGAAAACAGCTGCGAGTTGAAGTAAGCAGAAAGTCGCATGTAAATGTGTGGACTCACTATTGATTTTCAAATCGTGACTTTTGCCACAGCGATTACAACGCTTTCGCCGTCTTTGCCATTGATAATCATCGTGAAACAACTTTGATAACAACTTTGAAACGCTATTAGAGTGTGTCACAAATGGATTAACTTATTTAAATATTTGTTTAGCGGTGACCTCACTCTGGGACCCATTTTTTACTTGTGCCATTTTTGAATTTATCAAATTTTGATAATTCAAACAGCTTATTTTGTAATTTCTGGCTACTGTTTTTACTTCACGCGGTAATCTCAACTGAAAATTTAATAAAAATGAGGGAACGTAATTATTTATCGTTTTTTTATTAACATAAAATTATTATGCCGTTTTTCCTTTACATTTTGTTTCTCGCTCCTGAAAACTCAATAATATACCATCTTCTGCTTTCAGAGTCATTTTAATCCCCAATTTTATATCCTCAACACTCTCAAAAGGAGTGAAAAACCTATATCTTCTTAATAACGTTGCAATTGAACATTTTAATGTAATCCAAGCCACTCTTGTTCCTGAAATTTATCCACTTTAACGAAAAATGATTTAGTTTATACATTATACATACCAAAACATGTCCTAGGCCCAGCTAGAAAAGGAATATAACTATATTTGTGTTGTTTGCCAAGTTCCTTACTCGAAAACCTCTCCGGATCAAACTTTAGAGGGTCCTTCCAATACAATTCCGATCTATGGGTCTTTAATAAGTAAATTCCTAGTTGTGTACCTTTTGGCACAACATGTGCATCTAAATTAAATTCTTCTTCAGCTACGCGTGCGATAATTGGAGCAGGGGGAAACAATCGCATTGTTTCTTTGATTACCTGTTCTAGGTATACAAGTTTTGAGAGGTCAGAATACTCTGGATGGCGATCAGGACCGAGAATATCTATTAATTCTTCGTACACCATCTTCTGAATATCCTGATGCATTGCAAGTGTGAGTAAAGTAAATGAAACACCTGAAGTACACGTGTCAAAACCCTAAAATATTAAATGTATCAAAATAATGCTTGTACAGTTAAAAATGGGAATTCACAGCAATCATAAAAGTATTGACTTCATCTTTCACTTGTTTTGGAGTAAAGTTTGTTTCTTTGCTTAAATCGAAAAGATGATCAATGAATTTTCTTTTTCTGGGAGAATCTTTCTCATTTGTTGAGGCTTCGTCTTTTAAAAATGTTTGTTCCTCGTCATATATTGCTTTTCGTTCCTCAAAGATCTAAAACGTTGAAAATGTATTTTTGTAAACACTTATCTGATGTTTTCTTACTTGATCAGTAAAACCATGTCCGTATTTAAGAGCTTCTTGTTGAATTTTATAATCCTTGGTCCATCTGTAGATAAAATCCGGATGTTTAATAACCGCCATTACTCTATACATCGATAACTCCAAAAATCTACGAAAATATACGCATTTTTAACAGTTTAATAAGCAAAACTTAGTTATTTTTCCATACAAATCTGTATAATGATCCAATTTTGTCCCATTTTCCTGTACATTCAAGTCCACACCAAATGAAGCTTCTAAAACTCTTTAAATTAATACTTTTAAGGTTATAGTATGGCATTTATTGCATTTACTTGCAAACATTTCAATAATACACTTGGCTAAATCCGGCATGGCATCGAATGTACGTCCGATATTACTTTCCCATCTGTCTGCCATCTTACTAACACACTTACACATATCTTCAGTGTGCGGAGCCACTGCTTCATGGTGCATTGTCGGCGCCATGGCTTTCCGGTTTCGTTTCCACTGCTTACCGCCGATGCGAAAAATGCTATCACCAACAAACCCCTCGAAGAAATCGTAGATGTAGTGCTTCTGTTGGGTATTAGGATGTGTGAGCACCACTTCCAAATGTTCCACTTTGCTAACCATAATATTTCTAATTCCACCGGCGTAAATCATTCGGCCAGATTCTTGCGTTAAATACTCACACAGTTTCATAAAGTCTAGAGCAGGAAAAACAAGTTTATAACATAATTTGAAAAAATAATAACAATAACATTGAATAATACTTTGCATTGATGGATTGATGTAACTTAAGACTCCAAGATGTCCAAACAATGGCACGTGCACAAAACCACGGACTTTTGGATATTTCCATGTTAAATATATCAATCTACGATGATGAATTAGAAATGATATAACACCAATTATTATAATATCGGCTATAAAACCAATATAGGAATATTTCTCTAAGATATTACGCACAAACATTGTGCCAACTTTCATCTGAATAATTTACAGTTTAAAACAGTTTATAAGTACAGAAATTATGAATAAATAATCAGAAAGAACGGTAAAAAACAAGCCGGTTTTAAATTTGACAAGATACTGAGCGTAAGAAAAAAACAAATACATAATTTGATTGCAATTTGATGAGCGTCATAAGCAATATATAATTTTCTAATTTAAATCAGGCGATATTCGAATTTGCCACGGCAAACATAAAACTTGTTAAGTGTTAACCTTTGAACAAACTCGACGTTTAATGTAATAGCGAGTAATCAGGATAATTTTGGTAAATGAGAATAATGGGAGCAATTAAATTAATTTCGTAAATTACATTCAAACACGTAGAAAGCAGTTAAAGCAATTATTTTAGAAGCAAAACTTGTGACAACATTTACTTTGTTGAGAAAGGATAAAAAAACAGTGCAAAACAAAACAGAAAAAGTGTTTTAAAAAGTTTTTTAAAAGTTTTCAAATTTAATTCTTTCTTTTTTTAATGATAATTACTTTATTACACACTAGAATAATAATAACTTTCAATCGATCAATAGCATAATATGTAATTACAGTTTGTATCATTTATCCTTTCAATTTGAACTTATCAATAATATTTACAACGTGTCTATTCTGACTTGTTTCTGATTCCCTTTCGCCGATCTGCACAATCTGAATAATATTGTAATCGTTGCGTAACATCTATTTGCAATGCACGTGGTTATTTTTGTAGTTTTTGAAATTTTAGTTAAACGTAATAAATTATTGACTATCGAGTAAAGTCACGTGTCCAGTGACTTGATTCACTTTCATCGTCACATTATCTCCGAACTTGCATCAAATATCACAACATTTTCCTTTTTCCTTCGTCCTTCGTCATAAATTTTCAGCAAAAATCGTATATCTGAGCGCACCAATTACAAAACTACACGGAACTTGTTTACACATACATAAAAAAAATAAATTATTACCAACGTCAAAAATCTTGGTCAAACACTGAGAAACCAAGTAAAAGTACAAAGAATTATATAAGATTAACTAATATAACAATAATCATTGCGTGCGCCCCGCCATTTTGACTTTTTCTTGTAACTTTTGCTATAATACTTTATGTCTTATTATGTCTTCATGTAAAATTTACGCCTACATATTGTATATCTTTGTTTGCCTGCGAGCATTTTTGTTAGAATACTAGGCGTAATCAAATTGGTTGATAGTTGTCATCAGTTATTCATCTAAGTATAAAACTAAACGACAAATTTCGCACAAGTTAGTACATCTTATATGTGTATCTGTTTGGTATGTTTGGGGTTAGATTTTTTCGAAATTTGCACTTGGCTGCCCTAATAACTCAATGACTAGCACATTTGGTGAGAGTTTAAGGGTTGAGGAATGAGACGCCCGTGGGCGGTTTTAGCTGCCTAGAGAATATTTAGGAGCAAATTTGATGCACTTCCTTGTTGGCTTCGTCGAAGACCTTGCTCATTGCGCTATGCGTCCGATCCATCAAATCCTCCAAGTCGTCCAGTGTCAATCCTTCGGTTGGGATTGCCTCCAATGTTGTAATAATTATTTTCCCTAAAATATATAAAATTTAGTTATGGCGCATGCGCAGATGTTGATTACGATCACCTTGATTGAAAACACGTTTCTTCTCATCCAAAAAATAGTATTGGCTATAGACCACAGGTAAAATCGGAAGTTGCGCAGTTATGGCAAGATGGAAAGCACCTTTCTTAAAGGAGTGAATAGTTCCGGTATTGTGCCGCGTGCCCTCGGGATAAACCCATAGTTTTATCTAAAAATAAATATTTTTATTTTATTACTTTCATTTGTGAATACGTAATCCATTGTATTACAATTGTATTACAATTTGTAAATCCAATAATCACGTAGATTTTTATAAATAAATATTTCAAAATATTTTTATGAATGTTTATGAATTGTTATTTATGCTTATTCATATAGAAATTACCTTTCCTTCTTTGACAATTTCACCCGCAGTGTTCATGGCTTCACGTGCCTTGCCCGAATTCACGCGATTTATGAATATCAGCCCGCAGAGCCAGGCGGCAAGGCCAAAAGGCCACGCGTAGAATAATTCCTTCTTGGCGACCACCGTGCACTTGTCCATGATCGGCCAGATATCGAACATGCCTAAAAATAACGCAAACATTCAATTTACTTGTTTATTGTATATCGAAATAATTCAAACAATTCTTCCAGACATCGTAAAATGACCTAAGTTGTAGTATAAAAACTATGAATTTTCTGTGAAGAACAATATCAATTTTTAGTTTAGTTAAAAATTAATACAACCAGATTGGTTCTTTTTCTTAGTTATATAAGATTTTGTTATAAAAATTGCTTTTTTATTTGAAGTGAAAACCACTTCTTAACTTCTTTTAAAGTTAAAAACTATCATAAGATTAATGTCGTTATTTACCTAGTACATCCAAGGAACTTTGATGGTTTGCAACAATAATGCAAGCTCGCTCCTTTTCCAAATTGTCGCGCCCGCGAATTATCCATTTCAATCCGAGCAGAGGCGAGATAAACTTGCAAATGTGCGACGCCACACTGAAACAATAGTTTTTAATTAATTTATATTATTTTAAAAGCCAATTGAAACATTATTTTCCTTGTTATATAACAAACAAACTGTTATATTTTAAAATACATATGTAAAATATTTCTATGTTTTATTATCACATTTTACACATGCAATATATTAAATAAATGTCAAGTGTCACAAATTAATGATGAGTTATGAGTACCCTGAGATTTTAAAACTATGTACTCACATATTTACAATGTTTTTAGGCACGTGCGTCTAATCGACTAGTTTGTATTATTAAATTACTACTTTTGTAACAAAAAAACCTTCATGAGGTCAAGATAATCAACGGAAGTACGCTCTTAATCGATTAGTGCACAATTGTACTCTACAAATGTGTAGTGTACACATAAATCGTCGATAAGAAAATAATCATTATCGAGTAAATAATTCAAAAGTGACAAAAAAGAAAAAGAAAAAATCGGGCGTTAAGTTAGATAACATGACGTGTATTATACAGCTCGTTTAATAAATGACGTCTTAAATGTAATTAACTCATTACATGTGAACAGTGTAACATCCATTATCTGTGGTACTGCTAATTTGCAATACAATAAAACAATTTGTGAACATTTAATGTATGCAACCCATTCTACATTTTCAGTAATCTGATTTGTAAAATATGCGAGTGTAAAGCATGGAAATTTATTGCTTGGCATTATCTTGATGCAATAAAACAGTAATGTTTGTTTTGTCTAGTAATTAGTAACACACTAAAGTGGTGTTAATCTAAGTTTTGCATGAAATGACCTATAATTTTCCTAATAAAAATTCAACTATATAAAATAAACATTCTTTGTTTAAAACTATACCGCAAATAATATATTGCAATTGTTTATGCAGCTACCAGCAAAGTAATTAAGATCGTTATCATAATAATATATCATATATAATAATTCGTTTGTTATCTGAAAACGAATAGCGCTATTTGCGCGGTGCGCCATTTGCTTTCAAAGATAAGCAATAATTTCCCGAAATAAATGTATCACTGTATACTTTTGTTATTACATCATTCAGAATGCATTCCAATCGTCCTTGTCTTCACTAATTATTTCCATCATTAACTACATAGGCAATATTATAAAAAAGCAACACCAAAATCCTTTCGCGCATTACATTAACGCCAATTCAATTATACGTACGCGTATAAGTGTTGCTTTTTTATGTTAATCTAATTACTTTGACGTAATGAATTGCATAAGATATTCTTTAGATTGTTTTCTCAATCGTAGATTTTATTTATAAGTAATTGTACTTGAACCTTGGATCAAAATTCAAGTTTTTGTTTATTTATTTTTTATTTTCAGATTTTTTGAGTCGAGTAGTATGCGTTTGAAAAATCAAGAGCGTTTTTGTTGTCGTTGACGCATGGTTTATTAATAGGCGGGCGTAGCTTATGTAAAGTCTGCGGAGCAGCTGTTTTATCATATCATTTGAGTTTATTATATTTGTAAAAGTGATGACTTTAATTTCGTTATAATAATGATTTTATGATAATTGCAAAATGAACATTTGTGAATTAGTACTTTCATGGACCAAAGCAATAAAGTTTTATTTTTCAGCTATTGCAAAAGTCGCAATAATTTTTTTTTTTATGAAAAACTTACAAAAATATCAAAATGTAATTAAAATTTTATTTGTTTTTTTATCAAGATAATAAAATGGAAATAAATAATTTGATTTTAGTTTATTATCGTAACCACTGATTTCCGTTTTCGGATTTAATATTTTTATCATGTTCTGATTCATATTTTTGAGTTTTTGCATTTTTATATTTTTGAACGAAAGTAATTTATTCATTTATTTATAAAAAAATGTTTGGTCAATGTGCACCAAAATAAACCTTCAAAACGCAATTTTAACAAAACATATCAAAAATCAATTAAAAAACTATCTTGATGGCGTTTTATAAACTTGAAAAAAATCAAATAAACAATAGTTTATATCAAAAACATTAAAAATCTGAGATGAATATCGCGCAGAAACTCTTCTATAGATCGTTAAAAATACTTAGAAATAAGAATTGAATTTGGAAAAAACTGAATACTCACACTAAATTCCTGACATTCTTCGGCCTGAACGCAAACACCGGTATAAAGAAGACGGCATTAAAGGAGACGATTATGTAATACGCAAAGAACTTGACGTAGAACCGAAAGGTCTGACTCGATTCATATAGGAAAGGCAGCACCAGGATAAACGCAGCGAAGAAGATCTCAAAGTACGACGCGCTCATCTTTCGCCTCGCTGATGATGATTCCTCACCCTCCTCAACTTAAATTAACCAGCTTGGATCCGCTGGGATAACACACGCACCAACGACGCACTAAAACCCACCGAAAACACACCACACATATTAACAATTAATATTCACCATTCTGTAATCATTACTCGAATAACACTCACCACCATTAATCGGATTCAGGCCTGTCGCTGCGTCACGCACTTCCTTCGGTCATCGCGCACTCTCCACAAACACCACCAACCCCTCTAATAACTTTAAATTTTATTTCAATAAAAAAACACTTTTCGAATGTTTGTAGCGTTCGCAATGCACTTGTGCTTCTGTTTGTTGATGCGATGCGTGCTTGTGGTCTGGCTGGCGACTGCGACTTCCGCACTTATGAGACTTGAACTGCGGCCACCGCGGTGCGCGCCCCCGAAGCGCCGCCAATCGATAATATTGCGCCCGGATTACCGCTGACAGCGGCGACGATGGTGTGGCGCGATTGCAGCGTTCAAATTCTTCGAAGTAACGAAACGTTGCAAGTTACGAAACTTCGTCATTATCTAACTTGATAAATGTGAAAAATGCGCCGATGCGATAACCGCATTTATCAGTGCTTCCTCTGGAAAAAAGAAAACAAAAACTGGAGGTAAAAACAACACTTTTGCGCACTAGTACGGCATTTTTCAAGGTTAATGCTACACATAATTAACAATCACCTTCTGTCAGGTGTTTTTGTTTATATTTAATAAACAATATCGCCTTTGATTAATTATTATACTTAAAATAAATGCATATTAAATAAGAAACTTTTTTGGTTTTTATTAAGTTATCACCTAAAATGTAATCACTCAGTATATAATTAATACAATACAATAAAAGCAGCACGTGTGAAAATCATGTCACATTAGAAAACCAAATTATAATGTCACGCATTAGAAAATGGAAATAAATAAATAATTAAAACTTTTCCTCGATGAATATTTAGTATTTTTGTTTTTCGTATGATAATTTTGGAAATAAAGTTTGGTTAATTGCTTTTTAATGATTTTAAAAATTTTACGGTTTATCTTGAAAAAAATCTGTTTAATTTGGAGATATGTAGAATAAATTGATTCCACAGCTGTGGCCCGCATTGTGTTTACATTGTAGCCATTGACTAGGGTCGTTGGTACAGCCGGAAGGGCAAAAATCGATATCTCACCATCTCCCCTTCGCTGTATGTGCGTCACGAATTCAAAACACTTCAAATTTTTACTAAAGTACAATGTTTGGAGATGTGTATAAAATACCAGTGATAAAATTGAATTTTTTCATAATTAAATATTTAAAAAGCACGAAAAATTAAGTAAAAATAAAAATATGCGCAAATTATTCTAGTTTCTCGTGTCATTGTTGACTTAACTTTTGTTTTTATACTTGTTTTATTACCTACTTGATAATTGCAACAATTGTTCTATTTCAAATCTCCAATGTGCAAATAACTATTTTAAACTTACTTTTAGTTTCATTTCAGATAATCTCTCAGGAATAATTCTAGGAAATGTCGCTTATCTTATCAGTTCACCGCAATTTACGTTTCACTAAACAGTGTATTTTTATAAATTAATTATGTTAATATTTCATCACCTCATCATAGTCGCATAGTCGTGCGATAATTAATCTCTGTTTATTTTCACTTACGTTTATTTTTATCTCAGCATAAACGAACGAAGGCAACCAATCCAATTTCAGTAAATAATTTTCAACCGTAATGCACACAATCTGTTAAAACACAATAATGCACAGCACTCTTTACTTCTTTTTACACATAAATTTGCTACTGTTGTTGGTAAACGATGTTTGTTTTGATTTTGATTGTTTTGTCAGCTAGAAGAGGTTATACCGGATGTAAATCGGCGCGCATGCAAATGAAGAATGAGCCGAGTGGTGGTGAATGCCATAGTGTACACGCCCGCGGGCGACAGAAACGCCGACTGCGATTAAATTCGGGAGCGTTGGGAACTGTAGGTTCCGTTGGTTGGGAGTAGTGCAGCGAAGGCTGCGAAACATTTAAAAACAGCGGTTTATTTTTAAACGCGTTACTAAGCAACTGCGCGTAACGGTTGAGAAAATGAAATTTAACGTAGGCAACCCAAAGTTATCATGAAATAATGAGGTTACTTTAATGGTATTTCTTATTTCTTATATTTATATAACAGAAAGTATTCATATGTAATTTTGGTCATTAGTGACAGTAGAAAATAGTATTTATTAACTTATTGCTCATAATTATTACTAAATTACTTATACATTACACATAAGATAATATTTGAGGTTATAGTGTATTAACCTAAATAGTAGAATAAAATATGTTTACAAAAAATATTACTAAGACTGATTATAAATAAATTTATATACCTTTATCTGTTTTTATTAAATCTACGATTGAGTTATAAATAATTGCGAAATTAACTAACCAGAAAACAATTTTATGATTGATGATTTGTTTATTTTCCGAATTTGACTAGATTACCATCACTAGAACCCAAAATAATCGCTTATTTTGTGTTTTAAACCTGCTCACCTGTTCACATTTGTGCAATTATAAAGATATTATTCGTTCTTTGTCCGATTTAAACAAACAAGCAATGTCATTTCATCCAGCACAGTATTTCTCTAAATGTTCAAGTGAACACGCCTCTCGACAACATTCAGCCACAATTCCACGCTTATTCCTAATTAATCCAGGCGGAAAAAGTAAATAAACATGCGAAGAACGTCTTACACGCGCTGATTTTATAGATGGCGGTGTTGGCGCAGGTGGTACTAAAATTTAAACAAGAAATAAATTTTAAAAAATCAAAAATTTAATGGCGTCCCAAATTCTGCGCACAAAATGGCCGCTTTTTGGTGTTAATCATATGTCGTACTTACTTAGTGTATTATACCGACCCTGGCAAACAATTGCAACCGCAGTGGCGAGTCGTGCACCACAAAACTGCACACTTTTTTCCGAGAGTAAAGCCATGCGAATATCGGCCTCTACTTTTTTCGACACAGAAAAACTCTCACAAGTAGTAATCCAATACGCGTGCAGCAGCACCAACAATACCACTTCACGTACCTGTAAATGGTAAAATTTTATGTTTGAATCAAGTATCAATCGAAATATTGAGTCAAAATCACCATTCTTCAGGATTGCATCTTGACGACTACTCACACGTAAAATAAACTATAAAATGACTTTCGATTACATTTTAGAACGAAATCGGTTTGATTTGCTTAAAGTGTGTTGAGTGTGCGCAACATGCGTTGACGCACATGAAAAATGAACTGAATTCGTTGTCATTTAGCTTTTATATTAATTTTTGCTCTCTCCAACATTACCCACATTAAAATGCTTTGTTGGTATTTAGACTGTGTTACACTATTGACACAGGGTGACCCCGTATCTTTGCTCTGAAGGGTCTAAAGTGCAAGATTCAATGCGTGGCAATACTGCAATTAGTAACAGTTAAGATTATTAATCAAGCAAAACACAAATTGTGTTTGCCAATGTATAATTGGCTGCATATATTGTCAAAATATAATATTTACTGCTGAAAATAGGTTGGGATCGTTTTAAATTTGAAATTTTGAGACTCTTTGGAATGTTCTTTGTGATATGGAACATGATAAACCTTAAATCAATAAATAATCACGAACAAAAATAGCTCATTATCAATAGCAGTGGGTCGACATATTGGGTGGTTTACTTAGCGCATTGTCAAACAATTAATTAAACCTAAATGATTAGTGAGTTCTGTTTATGTCAATATTGATGGAACAATTCGGGACGTTCAAACAGAAAGCAATTAGAATGTGTGCACAAACTTGTAAACAAAACACAAAATTGTAACTTCAACAACAATTTTCAACGATATTGTTTGTATTTTTATATTGCATGTCCATAAATAAATTATGCAACTTTAAAGACATAATTAACCTGAAACAGTAAAAAAATTATAATTTTTGGATCAAAATAAGTTGCCTACATTTGATATGCGTGAACAATTGAAGATAATATGTAATTTTGGGTTGTAATTACACGCAAAATTAAAATACTAAACTGATTAATTCATTATCAAGCTCATTATCATGAATACATTTCAATTCTTACAACAGATTAATAGGTTCAGTAACTGGCTTGTTCAAACGATGACAAGCACAATGAAAGTCTACAAAGAACCTCCCACAAAAGAAAATTTTGAAACCCAAGAAGAAAATCATCAAAAAAATTATTCCGATCAAAAACAACTGAATATAAAATTGAAATAGTATGGATCAACACGTTATTCATTTGTTACCTTCATTTGGTTGCGTGTTACACTGCCATTTTGCTGTTGACAGGCCATGTTATGATAAAAACGTTTGTTTTTCGTATGTATTGACTTAGTATTAACACCAAAACTGGATTTATTCAGTTTTTAATTGATATTTTTATGTAGAAATGGTCTTGGGTGTGTTTTCAAGTTATGGTATAACAATGGGCGCCCATCGTCTCTGGGCGCATAAAAGCTACAAGGCAAAATTACCATTAAAGATCATTCTGGCGTTTTTCATGAGTTTAAGTTTTGTGAATGATATTTTCACATGGGCGAGAGATCATCGCGTGCATCACAAGTTTTCAGAGACTGATGCTGATCCTCACAACGCAAAAAGAGGCTTTTTCTTTTCACATTGTGGTTGGCTCATGTGCAAAAAACACCCGGATGTGCAAAATATCGGCGGGAAATTGAGTTTTGATGATTTACGGGCGGATAAAGTCGTTATGTTTCACAAAAAGTATCTAATAATATCTAAAAAATCACTTTTGTCCATTTTTAATTATTTTCTTTTAAGGTATTACGTTTTTCTGATGGTACCATGCACTTTTATCATTCCTACATTAATACCTTATTACTATTGGGGAGAAAACAGTCTAATGTGTTTTTATATGACACTTTTCCGGTATGTTTTGACTATAAATCTTGTCTGGAGTCTTAACAGTGTGTCCCATATTTACGGCACTCGTCCTTTTGATAAGTAACAATTAAAAATATCAAAATTAACAATTCAATTAAAAATTGTCATTTATAGAAACACTGCTGCAACTGAACAAGATTTTATGAAACTTTCTTGCCTCGGCGAAGGTTTCCATAATTATCATCACACTTTTCCCTGGGATTACAAAGCAAGTGAATACGGAAACGACTGGCGTAATTCTTCCACGTATTTTATTAATATCTTTGCACGAATTGGTTGGGCGTACGATTTAAAAACAGCTTCACGCGAGATGATCCTCAAACGAGTCTTGCGTACCGGCGATGGGACCTACGATGACATCGATGAGATCAAAACGAAGTTTATGCCTACAAATGATCCTTTGGTCCCACAATACTGGGGTTGGGATGATAACCACATTTCCGAGGAGGAAAGACGTCATGTTGAGATTTCAAATGGACCGTTAGCACATAACTACGGTTAATTTAACAAAAATCTGTTTTTATTTGTTTGCTAATGCTAGTATCACGTGTGTTTTGATTCTGGTAATCGGCGCATATTGCATTATGCTTAAATCTTATTGGTTTTTGCATAAATAAATACTAATAAACATTAATATCGTTACTAAACTACTTGGGATAATATCTGTGTGTCCTGTAGAACGCGAGTCAGGTGAGTAAGAACCACAAGTTGGGAAATTGACAGGTGTAGGTGGCATGTCTTCATTTTCTCCAAATTTAAACACCAACGCCATTCCCACTTCAACATGGAAGTCAATATGACAATGGAACAACCAATAACCTAAAAGTAACCATTTTTTATTAATAAAACTCAAATAAAACAAAACAAACTTTTAAATACCTGGATTTGAAGCATTGAATCTCACAATAGTATAACCTCCATCCGGAATGGTCACAGTATCCTTCACAGGTGGGTTGATAAAATTCCTTTTAAGTTTCCCTTGTTTATCCAACTCTTTTACTTCCTCTGCTGTTACATCACTTGAAAGACGTTCCATGCCAATCACCCTGAATGAATGACCATGCAAATGGAATGGATGGTTCGCATCATAAGCAAAACCAGCATCAATCAGGATCAACTCCACGATGGAATTGAGTTTCACTTGCATAACATGCGTACATTTACAAAACTCTCCTGTGCAATTCTTTCCTGCTTCGGTTGTTTCGTTACAAAAAAGAGAATCTGGTATATTATCTCTACCCTGGAGTAATGGAGTTGGTTGAAGTTTAAACGCAATGTGGTTTAACTGTGGCGTTAACACACGTTTGTTTTCTTTCACTTGATAAAAACCATAAACATCTTTTTTATGGTACATCGGAGTGTCCATTTTGTAAAAATCATACGAAATGAAGAATTTCTCATCGGGTTCACCCATTAAACTGCTCGCATCATAATCTGTGATTGATCGGAGTTCCGGAATCGTGATGGTTTCATTATCTTTGGATGATTCAACACCTTTGTTTAATGGATTCAATTGCTAAAAAATTAATTATGTTAAACATAACCTGAAATGTAAACCTCAAAAATACTAACCAAACCTTCCTTATGGGAAGTTTCATACGTGGGAACATCACCTGAAGGCAATTCTTTACTTAATTTGGTTGAATTTGATTTGTATTGCAACACAGCAACCTGATGAGCACTGGTGAACCTTTCGTCACAATCCATGAGACCTCTAAACCTCATCCAATACAACCCTTCATCTTGATCAGCAGTCACAATGAAATCAAACCTTTCGCCGGCATACGACACCAGGGAATCAACAATTACAGGTTCAATATCGTTACCATCCGTGGAGATAACCTGCATTGAATGCCCATCAAAGGACATCTCAATGGGACAGTTTAGGAACCCAGCATTGATCAATCTGAATCTATATTTGAAACCTTTCTCAACTTCAAATCTAGCAATAGGTGTATTGTTTTCAGGATGAGTAAAGTTCCTCATTCCCAAACCATTAATCAATAATTTAGCTGGTTTGTTGGTCCCACCATAATGGTAATGCGCCAGAAACATCTCTGTACTGGGGACATTGTCCCAGTCATTGATAGCAATAATATGAGAAGTAAGATCAAAGTCATAGAGGTTCCTATGCGGGTCTTCCTCATCAGGGACGTGAACAATAAACGCCCCATAGGTACCATCACCACGTTGTATACCAGAATGTGAGTGCCAGAAATGGGTCCCAGAATTAGTCGCGTTGAATTTATACGTGAACACAGTTCCGGATTCAATGGGACATTGTGTCACACCTGGTACACCATCCATATATGGCGTCCCTATTTGATGATGGCCATGCCAGTGCATTGTGGTGGTCTCACCAAAAAGTTGATTGTCTACGTCAATTAACACTTCGTCATTCACACAAATCTGAAATTTCAAAAACACAGTTAATAGTAAAACAAAGTAAATAGATATGTGTGATAATGATAATCGCATACTTCAATGGCAGGTCCAGGTAATTGTCGATTAACCACGACAACTGACCTCGGTTGCCCATCGGCAATAATACACTCAGGCCGATAACAATCTTCTAAATTCACAGGACAGTCGTAACAGGCTTTACTCATCGTGTAATACCACTCGACTTCGAAACGATAACGGCACTGCATGTTCTGCCCGGAAACGCATGGACGTTTACACGGATGACTACCGCCCTCTAGCGCCACGAAGTCTACACTAGATGAATTGCTATCCATGTTTTTTTCTATAAGATACAGGTAAGTGTAAAATAATGTAGCAGATTAAACTTGAGGAATGTTAATTGACATTTTAAGATAACCAAGTTTTAAAGAGAAAGTAAAAACAAAAACGTACCATGATAACTTCCATTATGTAAGTGTAAAACAATGTTTCCCTTGTTTTCATGATCTCCTTGACATTGACCTGGATGGTTATACAGCGCCAGCAATAAAATAAGTAAACCAATTTTCTTCGCCATTTTGTATTACCCACGAGTTGACTTAAACCACTAAACTCACCTTAAAAGTCAAATCACATTGCGAGTTATAAAAATGTATGAGTACTACATACCTGATGTTTAAGCGCAGTTAATGTATATTAGAAAAACGTGCAGATCGTTTTGTTCGTGACACTAATAATGAAATAATGTGAAATTGAGTCGAGTTGCAAATTATGGCGGTGTAACATACTGGTTGCTAACTGATACTGTATCTGATAGTAGTATAAGTGTCAAAGTTTCTGTTAATTGCTCTCTGTATTTAAATAATTCAGAAAACAAAAACACGGCTTAATTACTTAATCTACTTGACAAAATTGTACATTTCTGATGTTTATCTTGATAATAACTTGTGATAATTCAATTGTTATCATTGTTTCATGTTGTTTTTAGTCTGAAATATTAAATTATTTATATTTTTAACGTTTTAAAGCCTTAACTATTTTTATGTGGTAATTATTTATGACATTTAATAAGTTAATCACTATCGGAGTGATAATTGTTACTATTTGTGCTGAAATTTACATTTTCTTCGCTGTTTGCATGCAATTGCAACAATTAATCATCAATGATCTGTAATTTCGAAGTGTTGGCAAAGTGAGCGTTCAATTCAAACCAGTTTTTTGCTTCTTTTGTCATGATTCGCGCGAAATCGCAAGTGAATGAGTAGCATACATACGCTTATGCTTTAGCTGGTTTATCCCGGAGTAAATGGTAAATCCCAATGTTATTATAAGAAAGAACGTCAACGTAAATGGAAAGAAGTTCATGAAATGATGAAATTTTGAGACATTGAGAGAACTTGTTCTTGAGCGTAATTGCGGTGTCGTTATTTATTCTGGAAGTTTCCATTTAAATTCTTCACTTTCAATATAGTCAACGCAAAAATAAATAAATATTAAAGTATCATTAATATAAATGTCATTGTTGCAGAGTAATATTTTAAGATTAGTAATTGTAGGTTTAAAATAATAAAATTAATGACTGACATGTTGCAATTTGTCGAAAATGCTTGTTATTTTATGTTCTTGAAAATAATGACTAAAAAGGACAAAGTATAACTATGTTTATAAAGTGATAATCACGATTACAATTACTTTTTGTTAGAATTAGATACGGAAATTATCATTTTGCATCCTGGTAAATTTAAAACACATTATTATTGCAGACTTAAATTAATTTTAGTTTTTATATAATTTTTGATGAATATCATGCGCAAAACGCTTCAAAACACGCAAAATAAAAATGTAATTTTAAATTTAGTAAAACGTCATGGTTTTGTCCTTTCTTTACAATTGATGGCACCAATTTATTATTGGTACCAATTTATTATTTTTTGTAAAAAAAATTAATTAAACTAAATTTTTTCATGTTTTTATTGTTGTTTGTGGTTTTTTTCTTGTTACGCTTGATTTTAAACAAAATTTTTAAAATATTTTGTTGCACCTTAACATGTGTGTGAACTAATTACTAGACATTATAAGTTTTATCTTAAATACCTGTACTGAATATGAAACTTGCTGATATATGTCGTAAAATTTTAAATGCCGATGATAACAGAATGTGCAAATGTTTGTAAATCTTAAAATTTACAGCTTGCAGCACATATTTTACTTATATTACGGTTCAAAGAGCAAAATATGAAGCAATTTTTAAAATATTAAAATTAAGCTTTATATTAATAAATATTACTTACTTTTATTTTATTTTAATATTTACCAATCACTTTTAGTAACTATTGATGCACTTTTAATGAACAAACATCTGTGTGTACTCCAACACAATTCCTAGGTAAACCAAGTGCGGAGACGTTTTGTGACGAGTCTTCAAATCGTCCGCGCGTTAAATAACGCTCGTAAAACACTACAAATACTTCTGTACGCTTCGAACGCGCATACACGTGTGATTATCTCATGTGTCTCGCTTGTGTCTCCGCTTATTCACCTGTCCACCTCACTATAATCTTCGTAATCCTCGGTAAACTCCAAGACGTCACTCGTACGAATTAATTACCAAATCGCACTGAATTGTTTTTTTCTCTGACGTTTAAATATTAAGTTTTCGCTTTATTTTTGCGTGAATAATATATTCAAAAGGACTGAAACCGATAATGATACTTTTATCAAAGGAATTTGCATAATTTAAATGTGTTTTTACACTGTGTTTTGTGCCAATTGCTTTATGTTCCTCAAATAATCATAAAGCTACCATAAAAACAAACTGCGCATATTCTGTCTAAAATAAAATATTTCTTGTGATTTTTTTTAATAAAACGTTATTTATTATGCATGTTGTTAACTTTACTGAGCGAATAATTTGAACAGCTAGAGTGTAATGGCCAAAGAAGATGATTTGGTTGCGGATTTTGAAAGTGGGGATGAAAGCTACTAGTTTTGTTGGGTTTTACGTCTAATTTCTAGGCTTTCATCTAACACTTTAACGCCTGCGCAAAATTTGATTGTTAGGTGTTTCCCAACGTATTTCGACGCACGCCACTGATTGTGATTCGTTGTCATGGATTTACCATGGTAACGCTGGCATTACAAAACCAGTGACGTTCAAATCAACTTAAAATATTACCTGAATTCATCCTCGACCGTTGGTACACATTGACGTTAACCGTATAAATCGATAGAAATCTTTAATCTTCTCGTTAGGGATTCCCCGAATGTTGCAAATTCAAATTTAATTACTACTTGGAACAGCCAAGAGTCATAGATTTTCTGATATGTTAAACTGTAAACTTCCTCAAACACAAAATTCAAATTTAGTCTGCTTTGCTTGTTTTCTAAATATCCGCGACATCAAATGTGTGTAATTGCGTGCAAATCACGTGCAAGCAATTTGACGACGTGTTGGATAAAACACACTTGGAATTGTTACAAACAACTCAATTGAATCTCACCGGTCTCTTAGTGTGTCTTGTTATGCAATGCAAATGCATGCAAGGCTACGCATTTCTGTTATTTATTCGCTCGGATTGCCCGCAATAGCTTTGGGCGCAAGAACGCAATCGCAAGCCCAAACTACGTCAATGAAACGAAATTTAGAAACGCGTTAATTTGGCGCCGTTGAATAAGATCCTAATGAAGATATGTCAAAATTTGTTATTTTTTGTGGGCAAATATTGCTTCATCATCAACAATCTGTTATTTTTTATAGAGGACACTCAACCGTTGTTTACTGAGAGTTTATTTTGGCAAAGTTGAACAAAAATATGTTGTGAAATTGAATGTGATGCTAGTTTAATGAATTGCATGTCTAATAATGCTCCAGGAGGTGAAACATGGTTAGTAAAACCGCAGAATTAAAAAGAAGTAAAAAAAGTAAGACGTAAAAACTAGTTACAGTAGTTTATGGAGTAGGTATAATAAAATTATTCTGTACAGAATTAAACTTTCGTATTTGATCGAGCACGAGTTTTGCATGCGCCGAGACTGCATAATAAATAAAGATTGTTCATGGTCAATACTGCCGCATCTTTCAATTTCAACAATAAATTTAATAGTCGAAGCTGCGAGATAAAGGAAAATAGAATTGAGATGATGCAAAATGCAATTATTAAGTAATTAATCATTTAGGAAATTTGTACAATCAAAATTACGTTTTCTTAAGACTGCAAAACTGGAAAATTATGTATTTAAAGTATACCTCTACCGAAATCCAATTAAAATTAATCCACTGAATCACACTTTTGATTGAGAGCACGATGTGTACCTATCTATACTTCGTGAAATGGCAGCGGTGGGATTGGTGCCTCACCAAAACAATGGTTATTTGTTATTTTCCCTGATAGTCCAACTTTTTTATATTTCAGAGGTTAAGGGTGATATCAGGATGATTACCTTTACCACTAGAGTAATTTCCTCACCCCCAAAAGCAATACTGGCAGTGCCCTAAAGTACATATCAAAATTAGCGTTGTTGCAAACATTTGCAAAGATGTTGTAGGAAACACCCAGTATCCCATTAACTAATTGACCTTTTTGAAGTATCTTACCAACATCTTAAGGTTCAAGAGTCGTTCTACACCACGCATACCTTTTCAATCTTCCAACCCTTCTGTAAATCTCCTAAAATGCTCGTTGAAAATTGGCATTTTTAATAAAAATTGTAAACATGGTGTGGAAAACACCCTGTAGTTCGTGAACTAATTAACTTTCTTGGATTTCCTTCTTGCCATATGAAAGTTTCAAAAGCTCTGTATACCTACGATGCATACCTATCCAACATTCTAGCACTTTGGCAAGTGCTCTAAAATGCCCTTTAAAAACTGACATTTGTTACAAAATATAAAACCATAGTATGGAAAACACCTTGTATCTTGTAAAATAATTGAGTCTTTTAGTGTTTTTTACACCCATATTAAAGCTCCATCTACACAATGCATACTATTTCAATCTTCTAACCTTTCCGAAAGTGCCCTAAAACTCCAATTAAAAATTGGCATTTTTCAAAAATATTGAAAACATGGTGTAAAAAATACCTTGTATCTTGTGAACTAATTGATTTTTTAAAGTTTCCTGCCGACATATTAAAGACACTTCTAGAAGTGTCCTAAAATGCACTTCAAAAAGTAGCTACTTTTGTCCAAAAAATTTATTTTTGGTCGAAAAACAGGGTTGTATTTTATTCTTACATTTTTTTGTCAAAGAACAAGGTCGACTATTTTTCTTAAATATTTTTTTGTCGAAGAACAGGGTAAAACTTTTTTGTTAAAATTTTTTGTTCAAATAACAGAGCCGAACTTTGTTTTTAAAATTTTCCCTTCTAAACCGTCGACATTTAATTGCGATTATCTTGAGAATCAAAACGACTTCATATTCTTGATTATTGAAGAACTCTTTACAAGATAGCACCCTTTTAAAAAAACAACCAAAATTGCGTAAAAAATTTAACGAAAAGATTTTGTTATAAAAAAGGCAAAAAATTTGGAATTTTCCAATTTTGTTTTTGGGTTTTAACAGCTTATTAAATTTTAATTTAAATATTTAAGAAATATATTGTTCTACCACTTATCATTTAGGCCCTATTGACATTTTTAATGTAATTTGAATATCGACAAATCATGACTCTTCATTTTGGAGCAATATTAAGATAAAGTATGTAGAATCAAATGTTCTTCTATATTCAGTTATAAAAAAGTCGAATTTTAAATTATTATTTTTGGCTTAGGAAATGATGGAGAAAACGTATAAACCAGTTTTTTGCACTTATCTTGAAAGCCATTGGAGATAAAGGAAAACGGTTTTCACATTCGTATGTAGAATTGCATTTTCCATTATATAGCATGTAAAAAATTTTAAATATCAACACTTACGTAATAATTAAAAATGGTCAATAACATGAAAACTAATTAAGATAGGGCAATCAAACCTGGATTAATGGAATCCTGTCAATGTTTTACTTAAATTGGAAAAGTTTGGGGTAAATCGGAGAGGTGGTTTTATTTGATCAGTTTAGACTTTACTACCTATTTTCCGAACTAATGATGTTATCGAAAAACTGACTTGATATCTTTCATCCCCTTGGAAAACTCAATCGATTAGCGTTTTCCATTTTCTTCTAGCTTAAAAATTTTTTCGAGTCCAAAAAGAGTCAAGTCTCTTGATCTTTTTGAGTGGTCTTTGGTCAACTTTGGAAAATGGAAAAACTAAAGCTGCCATTTTATAAATCCTTACCTTACATGAACAAAATGAAGAAAGTTCTTTTTTATCTTTATTATTTTCCGAGCAAATCGCAGGGGAAAATTTTTTAGACACATCCTATATTTCAAATTTTTTAAATGTTATCTTATCTAGGATCTGATGGTGAACATCAGGGTGTATATCATAATTGACTTTTAAGTCACGATGCGAGTGCACATTTCACTTAATGAGATTTACAGGAAATATCCTTGCTGCTGTTAGGTAAACAGTTGTTTAAATTGTATAATTAAATAAAATACCTTTTAATTTTAATTTTAATTTTAATTTAATGTTTCAACCAAAATGTTTTAGGAAAAAAATTAAGATAGAAATTCGACCCTGTTCTTAAACCAAAAAAAAAATATTTATAAAAAAGTTCGATCATGTTTTTTTAACCAAAAAAATATTTACAATTTTGGTTGAGTTAGACATGTTTTGCCCTGAGGGCATCTCAGGGCAACTCTTCAGTTACTGAGTGTATCTACATTTTGTGGAGATAATGTAGAAATATTAGCAAATCTGAATCCTAGCGCCATCTGTGAGTGATCCATCGAACTAACAAAGATCAGTACAGCATTTTACAAACTCTGATACAAATCTTTGTTTTAAGTGGAAAACACGCAGTAAAGTATTTGTGTAAGCATTCTGTAGGAATGCCAGCAAATAATATTTCACCTTCCGGGACTGTAAAACTGGAATTTCCTTGATATCTAATCTGAATTGTTTACCAAGTCTTCCAAGAAATAGAATAAACCGGAAACAATCACACACCATTCCTCTCATTAAAACACAAGAAAAACTGAAGTGTAAAGGAAGTAATAAGCTGATGTGATTGGTAACACATTCATAAGAGCAAATTGTGTTCACACTCCACATTGCCATGGAAACAGCAAACAGATGCTATATTTTTAATACCTCTCACAACATTCCAAGCGGTATGAAGTGTAAATATGTTATATTAGTAAATATGCTTGAAATCTTTATTATTTTTGTCCATAATCAATGAATTATGCGTAGTTTATGCGTATGCGTTTATAATAGTTTGTTGTTTTCTCATATTTCAGTTGCACTTGGCGTTATTAATATAATATTGAAAATATATAGAATAGCAGGCAGCCCGACGGCACGCCCGCGGTAATAGTAATTACATTATATCGAATAGTTTAATATAATAATCATTTTAACATTATTGAAAGTTCAATTGGTAATCGTAATTCTCCCAACGTGTTCACAACGTGTTTGTGTGTTTCTTTTTGCCCGTCATCATTGTAACAGTCATAAATTTAATTAGAATCTTATTTGTTTGGTACAAATTTATACGATTTATATACAATGCACTTTGAATCAGTTGAAGTTCGCCACCTAGAAGGGGAAAGTAATTTACAAAACGTTGCGTTTCGTGTTGGTTGAGTGGACTTGTGTGTGGTGTGTGAGTAGATTGCTTATATTCCACCTTCACAAAACAAAACACAAGCGCATCGTGTGTATTATCAGCGGATATCGATTGATAGCATTATCAAATGCACAGTGAGAGTCGTCCGCCACATGCTACACTTATCATCCTTATAAATAAAAAAATACATTATTCCAATGTTCAATATCTATCTATCTAGCTAGCTAAAATATGTAGGTAGTTATGCAATATGTGGGGATTGACAAATGGTTTCACATTTAAAACTATTGCGAATTATTCAATTAGAATTGCAGAACAAGACCGAAACGGAGTTTGAATTATTTCGTGGGGCTGATCCTCTGCACATATCTCATAAAAACGAACGATTAACGATTAAAAAGTCTCCGCACGCACTTATCACACATCAGCGCACTAACTTCAACGATATAGAATAGCGGGTTGTTTCCAGTAAAAACATGCGCGTGAAATGATATTCCCCATACACATGTCTCTACAAAATGACACACTTGAACGGGAAGGAACCACGGCCGCGGTTCAGGTTCAGCTTGTTGGACTTCTTGCTGCGGCTCGATTTATCCTTGCGGATCTCGCGCACGAGCGTGTAAAAGGCGTCGTCGACGCCCATCCGCGTCTTCGCCGACGTCTCGACGAACGGTACACCATACTGCTTTGCAATCTAACAACAAAAACATAAATTAATATAACTTTTAAAGTGAGTTCACTAATCTACCGCTAGATGCTTGTTATTCTAAGGTTGCCAATGGCAACCAATAATAAAATGATTATTACTTCTCTAGCTTGGTTTGTATCAACCGCCCATGCGGAGAGATCGCATTTGTTACCAACGAGGACCATCGGCACCTCTTCAGCGTCCTTGACGCGTTTTATCTGCTCGCGATACTGACTAATATCTTCGAAACTCTTCGCTGAGTTAACGGCGAAGACAAGGAGGAAGCCTTCGCCTGTGCGCATGTATTGATCACGCATCGCGCTGTACTCCTCTTGGCCGGCGGTGTCGAGGATGTCCAGCAGACACGTTTCGCCATCAATCACCACCTGCTTGCGGTAGGAGTCTTCTATCGTCGGGTCGTACTCGTCGACAAAGTGGTTCTGGATAAGCTGGATGGTCAGCGCGGACTTGCCGACGCCGCCGGCGCCTACCACCACCAGCTTGTATTCGGTCATCTCGCGCGCCTGCGGACCTTCACGCCCCAAGTGTCAACTCCGCCGCCGCCGCCGCCGCCGAAGACTCGAACTCACGCGCACGGATCTTTCAGCTGCAGCGCTCCCGCATCCAGCCGCCGATGACGAGGCGAATAATTAAACTCATTAATAGCAATCAACGGCGGGCGGTCGCTCGCTTTCTAATTGCGACCATGCATGCGCGGGCTCCGCTTGCGCACTACTGGCACTTGATGCGCGCACTACGTGATCACGAACACTTATTGGCAGGGTGTAGCTGCAATCGGCCGGAAAGTTGAGATCTACGAAGTGCCCTTGTTGTTGTATACTAATCGTGGTGATTTTGTGCTCCCTGGTGGCCTTCTACTTTGTGCATTCGTGTGCGTACTCCACTCACGAAAGCAACAAACCTACTGAAATGCTTACTACACTAAATAGTCGAACGCCAGCTGTGCAGTGCTGCCAACTGCGGCGCGCACCAACACCCATCGATCAGATTCTCGCTTTTTAGTTGTTTTCGTGATTCATCCACAATGCAATGACTAAATTTTTGATTTTTCACTGGAATTTATTACGCATCACATGTTTTATGCTTTATGAACTTTCAGGCGTCTATCGTCTTTAACTGAAACAAACAAACATCAATAGAATTGCTCATCAATACAATGCACGTACAATTTGTTTAAAAATAACACAATTTGTGAGTAATGTACAACATAACGTACATTATGTTATATAAGTTTAATTGTTTTAGTATGAATCACAAAAACGGATAATCTAAACATAAAATACAAAGATAATTGCTATTTTTAGTCAATTTAATCCCCAAAATATAATCTCTACTAACCAAAATTATCATGATTTATTTTTAACGTTATATCTGCAAGCAAAGTACATTTTTGTTTCAAAACTGTTTATTATTATTATTATTATTAAAAATTATTACCAAAGTTCTAAATTTGAATTGAGTCTAGTCAAAAACACTAGGGACAGCAACTGTCAGAGAAACAACCAAACACAACAAAGTTAGGCAATCCACATTACACTTTAACCAAACTTTTATTGACTTATCAAATATTAAACGTTGCAAACCGTTTGCAAATTGTATGAAACAAATGAAAATAACTTTTGAAATGTGTTGCAATTCATTGAGAGTGTGATTATATCAATTATAAGGTTTGTAACACTTATTATTTGGTTTCTTAAATGATCTTTTAATTTAAACTATAATTTTTAGTATGGGTCGAGATAGAAATGCATCTCCTGAGAAGTCACATCACTCAAGAAATTACTACAGGGAAAGAGACAGGCACCATCATAGGTCCAGGAGTAGCAGTAGAGATCGGTGGAGACGTAGCAGGAGCCGAAGTCATAGTAATTCAAGAAATAGATACCATGATAGACATGAAAAACATGACAGATATAAAGACAATAGAGATAGCTACAATCACCATCATAGAAGAGATGAGTCAGTAAATAATTATGGAAATAATGCTGACAAAAGTTTTCATGGAGGACATAATAGTCATGGAAATCATGGCAATCATGGCAAATTTGCTGCTGCAATGCACAAACATAAAAATCTATCACAAGAAGAGGAATTTTTTGAGGCAAGAAGGCAAGAAAGAGAAATAATTGGCATGCAGGATACTTCTGTGGTTTGGGCACAATCACCACCTCCAGGATTGTAAGTTATTTCATAACTTTTCCAATTTAAATGTTTAAAACACTTATTTTCCTACTTCAGATGTGCATCAAGTGATGAAGGTCAGAATGAAGCAAAGAAAAAAGAATCCAAAATGAAGAAAAGCAAGAAAAATAAAAAGGAAAAGAAGTCCAAGAAGAAAAAAACCAAAGAGAAGAAAAAGAAGAAAGACAAAAAGAAGAAAAAGCGAAAAGAATCCTCGTCTGAATCATCTTCATCTAGTGATGAAGCGGATGAATGGGTCGAGAAAAACGCCACAACGTCTTCCAAGATTAAGAACAGAAGACGATCATCGTCTTCATACAGTGATGATTCTAAGGATGGTGTAGTTGGCCCGGAACTAAAATCACACAGCACGTCGTTAACGCACAAAGAAATGGGCAAAGCTCTACTACCAGGTGAAGGAGCAGCGATGGCTGCTTACGTCGCCGAAGGCAAACGCATTCCTCGCAGAGGAGAAATCGGCCTCACCAGCAACGAGATCGAGGTCTACGAAGCGCAAGGTTATGTAATGTCCGGTAGCAGACATCGGCGCATGGAAGCCGTGCGTATACGAAAGGAAAACCAGATTTACTCCGCTGATGAAAAGCGCGCACTAGCAATGTTCAGCAAGGAAGAACGCTCGAAGCGAGAGAATTTGATTTTGGGCCAGTTTAAAGAAATGATCAGTTCAAAATTAGCCGATAAAAACAAGTAAAATAGAATATTATATTTAATTTTATTCGGTATGACATGTTTTAAAGTTTAATTTGAGTATTATGCTGAAGGTTTCTGAGTTTGCTCCAGCCAGTCATCAAAACCTCCTTGGTAGTTGCTTGTGCTGTGAAAAACATTGAAACAAATTGTTAAAATTGCATTTTTGACAAAGAAACATGAAGGATGTTTATATGTAAAGGTATTTACTTTTTATATCCTAAATTTTCGAGTATTTTCATCGCCTTGGCGCTTCGAATGCCTGCTTTGCAACTGAAAACCATGGAGTTGTTCAGATCAGGTTTATTGCAGCCATAAAGTTGTTTGAATTCTTCAGGAGTTAGTTGTTTGAATGCATTTTCTACATTTCCAACTATAATATACAACAATTTTAATAAGAAATTTAAAAAAAAAAACTCTTATATTTACGTGGTATGTTGATACTTTTCGGTAAAACGCCAACTTGTTGCAATTCACTGGGCTCCCTCACATCAATCAGCAAAATATCATCAGGCAGACTCTTCACTTGCTTAAAATCAACAACTTTGGGTACCGTCGTTGACTTGGACATGTTTCCAACTAAAGTTAATACGATAATAAGTTAATAATACACATAGACTTAAAATAAACACGATTAAGTTGCGATTGGAACAGTTTTACGATTGTTTATTATATGCAAGAATAGTTATGATACAGTTTGAGTTTCGCATTGTGGCTGACACGATTTGTCCTGAAACGCGCCGCAGGAGTTATACTGATTGGTCCATTCTACATAACCACCGGGAAAATTATAAACTCTAAAAAACAACTTAAACTAAGCAAGAATATTTAAATTTTTCATTTTTAGTACCGATCATAGCCTAGACTATTCACTATATCATTGGCGTCGGAGTTAGCGTCATTACAACCTCCAGAAATGATTATTAGATCGTGTTTTCTTGGCAACCTACGGTCAAACTCATCCTTGAAATCTTTCTTGCTTTGCGTTAACTTATCCTGCAAACAGGACACTGAAAATAAATGATTTAATGTAACTTTGAATAATTTTATGTAAAAATAACTAAGCAGGGTGTCTTTTTCATTCTGCGTTTATTAATATTTATGGATTTGAGCAACTATTGCCATATTGAAGAGGATTTATTGGAATCTCGGATGTAGTTGGTACTGGGTAAGCATCCCCAGTAGGCTCGCATGAATTAGCAATGTTATGGCTGCAATATGGCGCAGGTGGCGGTCTGCACTCTTTGTCCCTTCGCTCGAAGTCTTCATAACCGCCGACGTAATCTCTGACTCTAGAATTGATGTGGGAAATTGATTTCGGAGCGTTGTGTGAAAATGAAATTACTTTTTGAATCCTAGAAAACAGAGGATTTCGCAGGCGGGCGAGTTGGGCATTCCTGTGCGGCCGGTAACGATGATCAGAGTGCGTTTTTTCGGTTTTGAGTGATTAAATTCATCCTTAAAATCTTTCCTCGACATTTCCAGCTTCGAGCGCAAGCATCCCACTAAACAGAATTAAATTTGCTCTCACAGGGATAAATTTACAAGCATAAAAAGACACCCTGCGCAATTCAACAAGAAAATTACGAATATTTACATGGAATGTTTACGCTGGTAGGAATCAGACCAGATTCAGCGACTTCTTGTTTTGACCGCACGTCGATTATCAGCGAATTGTTTTTCACTGCCTTCTGCACATCATCATAGCACACAGATTTGCAAAATAGGTGATTTTGTTTATCACTTTTACACTCTATAATTTACTTTAATAACAATATGTCTTAAAATATATTTAAATTCATACTTAGCACCAGTATGCAAACCAGAAACAAAAATGGCAGCTGTAAATTCTTCATTGTAACATTTATCTGATATAACACGGTATAAAATATAATATAATGTTTATTGACAATTATAATAATTTATGTCAATATATTTATTAAAAATCATACTTTGTTTCTTGTGATATTTCAAAATTTACTTTTTTCTCGCAGAATGGCGGTTAAACGTATGCAACCAAATGTACTTAAAACTGATCAAACTATACCGCTCTTAGGTTATAAACAGGTATATGTACTCACATTTAATCGATGATTTTACCAACAAATCGTTGTTGATTAGCGTTGTTTGAAACTTGTGAGCGCGTAATGCTCCAAAAGACACTCGCCGCAACATAACTGAGATTATTCTCCTTTCGTATATCTTTAAATTGAAGCAAATGTACTGTTAAATTTTGGTCCTGATAAGCTTGACAGCGATGACCTTGATAAGGAACTTTACAACTTGAGTAAAATACCATTACAATTAAATGAAGAAAGCAAATGTGGCGTGCCTAATAGCTGCTTATGCTTCTCTGCAAGCACATTACAATAATCTAACTGTAAATTTTCAAACTACGTTCGTGTCGAGCGTGATTCAGGCGATTCAACCAGCCGTTCATCGAAGAAAACCAACGGTAAACCACCTCTCACTTATTATTCACAATAGCAGCCCGTTTCTTCCTTCTGTTTGTACAAGAAAAATAATAATCATTGTGAACAATACGGTTGTATTAAGAAAGTATTTGTATTGTAGGCGTTTCAGTTTGAAATTTCATAAAAATTGCCTGGGCGAAAAGTAACGAATTGCGTTCGTGTGTGTCCGCGTTCGCACACATTGGCAATTACGTCATCACACATCGCGGTTCGCGCAGCCAGCACGGGCGAGCAGCGCCAGAGAGGATAATGGTGGTCGCGGTGTCGAGACGGGGCGTCGCATACGAAGTGTAGTGTAGTTTCCTAGTTATAAAACACCGGCTTGCGGAATACAGCACGACGCCGAATCTGCGGGGTGCATCGCGACGACCGACCACGCAGCGAACGCATGCTAGGTAAATCATTTCGGCGACATTCATTTGTTTCACATTCGTGGACTGAAGATCAAACGATCCCACGTTCGTGGACGTTTATGCCGTTCGATTTGTGGTTATTCTTGTTGGAAGTCTCACACAGGTGCTCTGTTGACCTTAGAACTAAATGACGTTAGCAAAGCGTAGGGAAAATTTGTATATCGTGGGGTTGTTTGTGTGAAACAACACGAAAGTTAATGAAAATTCGAGGCCGATCGGCGGATTTAATTTATTGCAATGAATCATTGCTCATATGGTGGATTGGTGACATTCATTTCTCCCACTACGAAGCAATGTTTTACACAGGGTGTTAAAAGAGTTACATTTTATTTGAAGATTTATTGCATTCTTGGTGCAAGCGCCGGATCGATATTTCTCATTCTTATAATACACGCGGAAACATAAAAGATGTGAGATAACAATTTAATTTTAAAAGTTTTTGATGCCTAATTAAAATTCCGTTCACATTTTTTCCACGTTTGCTAAGCCAACGAACGTGTAAAGTGTAAAGAATGAATTTTCTGAATTAATTAACCACCTTCAAGGTCATACACACGCTGATGAATTAATATTTATACATATTTACTTAACACTTGATTTCCCACTGGATTCATAAGTTTTTGTTATTTTTATTTTGTAGATGTCTACGATGTCGGATCGCAAGGCAGAATTAGAGCGGAAGAAGGCGAAGCTGCAGGCTTACAGGGAGAAAAAAGACCGCCTGAAGCGCGAGAAGGAACTGAAGGATGTGGAGGAAGCGACGACGCGGATGGGAGGCACGTCCGACCGACGCGATCTGGATGAAATGCTAAGTTCCCTGGGAGTTGCGCCCGTCTCCGACGTGCTCTCCAGCCTCTCCACCGTCAACTCGCTCACACCCGACCAGAGCATCAACCATACGCCCGACTCTTCCCTGCAGCCAAATAGTTTACCCAATAAGTAAGCATTCCACACCTTAAAAACACCCAAAACCCTAAAATTTGATTAAAAACTAATCTAAAACATTGCTTTCTTTAGTGTACATACTAGTAAGAAGAAAGCACCGCTCCTGAGTGTGGTCTCCGTGCAGAATGTGAACATCCCGCCAGCGGAGGTCGTGCACTACACGAAGCAGACGCAGACGACGGCTTCCGGACATGAGCGCGACGGTAAGCACCTGTTATTTATCCTTACAAAAACAATCTCACAGTGTTCGTTCAAAAGTCACCAAAAAACACATCAATTTTTATGCCAATATTTAGTGCCTGCTCTTATATTATAATTTAATTATTTATCTCTCTAAGTTTTAAGTTATGAGTTGAATAAGTTATTTTCTTTTCGGGGTTTCAAGATTATCAAATAAGACTCTAAATAACAGGAAACTTACATATCTATATTTATTTTATTTATTTTTGAATCACAACAACGTGATTTTAAAGGAATTTATTTGTTGGTTGTTATAACTAAGTTGGCTGCACTAATATTCGCTTCGTTTGGTTTTTATTTAGTCTTTTTTACAAGTTTTTTTCTGTTTTTATGAAGTTTTTACTATTAACACAACGCATAAAGATACAACACGTTTTTTTACTCTAGCGAATACTAATTGGCGCAAGAAAAGCATTCTTCCATGTGCCTGGTTGTCAATTTTGTTAACATGCCATCATTTAGCGGTGCATAGAAGACGAGCGAGCGACATTTATTCATTATCCTCACACCGCGCGCAAATTCGTAATTAATGTGTATCTCTAATCGTTTGTCCTGCACCTGCCGCAGCGGGAACGTCTGCAGTTCTAACAAAGTGTGAGTAATAATCAAATTTTCAATACTTAGTTGTGCACAAACAATCAATCAGGCATATCGTTGGATTGTTTTTCTTTTTGGACACACACACAACGACACCACCAAAAATAGATTTGCAGCGTTTGAAAATCGAGCAAAACTGTTTTTAGTCCCTTCACCCATTCACCACTTTCATCTCTCATCTTGTTTCTCATATTGAGTCTCATGCTATGACTGAAAACAGTTTTGTACGCCTAACGATTAGTGAACCGTGTGTGGTGTTTGATGTGTTGCTAACAAGGATCTTCTTCTTCATCTTCCTCCTCTCTTAAAGGCTACATGGAGGATTGGTGGAGGCCGCGCAAAGGTACGAGTGTCCATGTTTGCATTCCCCGTGTCACAATTTATGTGTTGTAATGCTTCAAAACGATCGCGGTTCTCTCTGGAAACGTGTGTTTTTTACAGACTTGACTCGCACCACAAGCACAATATTACTTACTGACGGCATGCACTCGAATCTTTTACATTTATACTAAAACCAGCTCAAAGTAATCAAATAACAATCAAATTATATATTAACTCCTAACGATTTCATCAAATTTATTCCAAGTGTAGAATAATTTCATTTTAAGATGTAATTTATAGGATATGTACGTTTCCGTCGTTGTTTAGCGTAGCTGTAGACTAGATTTAAAGTTAGGTTATATTCAGATAGTGCTAGGTTATGTCGTTTAGTCGACGTGCAGTTTACAAGTTAATTAAAATTATCTTTTTTTCCTTTCCTGTCTCCTAGCTCATGCAACCGATTACTACGGTAAGTTTATGATTTTATTCAATTTGTCTCTGGATTCTTTTGTTTTTGTCGTTTTTGTCCCTTCAACACTGTTTAAGTACATCATCTCTCACACACACAGTCATTGTCCATTTGATTTCGTTTATGTTTTGCAAACGTTCTTCTCTTCGTTTATTACTTTCGCTTTATGCTTTTCAAGTTTCACTTAAACCGATGATATCCTTGGGATTTTATGTTTTTAACAATTCCCACTCATGTGACACAAAAGTCACGAATGGAAGCAGTGCTGATTCGCTTTCTGCAATTAATCAATACTGTTTCTATTCTTATACGTGACGTCACATGGAACATCTCGCTTCTGACTAACATAACGTTTATTTATAATATTTATTTAAGATATGAATGTGATTGATTTGATTGGTTTCTTCGCTGCACACTGGCTGTATTATAATTTGACCACCACCATTTCTCATCAAATCACTGCTTTTGGTTTTCGCTTCGGACGAATCTCTTGTAAAATTGCGACTCCTAGAACATTTTGCAAACGATACCGCCTTTATAACTTGTTATGACTCTACTGGTGTGTGACTTTTGTATATATTTATCGAAGATTTTTCAGTGGTTGACGCACTTCTAATCATTAATCGTGAGGCACTCGCCGTATTTGACGCACTAATACAACTAATCTATATTTTTGTTGAGTTTTCGCTGATTAGATAAAATTTTCCCAAAATTTTGTGCTAAAAATTTATGAAAATTAATTTTTCTTCTGCGTAGACAAAATTTTATATTCCAAATTGGTGCAGCCAATGAGTTTAGACAACCTGTTCATTGATATATAATCTCGTCCAAATCGAAAGGAAATCGTTTGAAAAGTGTTTCTCTTGAATTCACACGCCCAAAACACGCAGATTATCAGTAAAAGTAATTGATTGTTCCCCCCACTAAAGGTTATTATCGAGACGAAACATTATACTACGCAAAGAAAAGAGCCCCTATGCAAACTGATGAACATGTATTTATTTCTTTTCCCCATCAAGACGAATACAATCTAAATCCGGGTTTAGAATGGGAGGACGAGTTTACAGGTAGGTGGTTTTTCAAAGGAAACCATCCCTAATAATAAGTACTACATACATTTATTATTTAAAACCAAAGAAACAATTGTTTTTATCATTTATTGTGCACAAACATTTTTATGATTTTCTAAATTAACGTACAAAGCTTGAGTAATATCCGCACCGTAGCAACTCTTCCTTCTTTCTGATGCTTTTTAGTTTGATATTTGATGATTATTTTGTTAGTTTTGATAGCTAGATAATAACCAGTCGGCTTTTCTTTTATGCTTTATTGGCAAAAACGCAAATGGAGCGGTGGCTTAGTGTTTCAAAGCGTTGCATGCTTATTATCATGAGGGAAATGAGAAAAATCATCGATGTATGAATGTTCTTAGTATCAGGAATTAGTATACTCCCGAGTTTCAACTTGTTTATCTATGATTTTCGTTGTTTTTTTACACCGTATGTGTCGTGTTTTGTGATTTTACGTGTATGGGTATGTGAGGTGTGTGTGCGAATGTGCCTTGCGTTTGATGGCGAATGCGTTGAATGTACATGCGCTGAGAGCGGACAGCTTATTCACCACAGTTTTGACGTATGACGACCCACAAGGCGAGGACGAGGAGGGCAGCCTACCGCATCTCGGCGGTTTCGGCAGCAAGCTGCCGCCGGGCATCCTTCCCCACGGTCTACCCCAGGTCAAGGAGGTGCAGCCAGCCGTCACTGCGATGGAGCAAGCGCAACAGGACATTAAAAAAGAAGCAAAAGAAAGTAAGCCGTGTTTTTTTTTCAGCTTTTATTTATATTTTTATTAATTTTTACTTTAAAATTTCAGTTAGGGAGCTAAGTGAAGAGGAGAAACAAATGATAATCCTCTCAGAGGACTTCCAGAAGTTTGTGGATCGCGCCGGCAGGATAATGGAGCGCGCATTAGGTGAAACTGTCGATATTTACGCGGATTATTCTAGAACTGAAGGAGAGGAAGGCTTGTAAGTAACTTTTACACTTATTACAAAAGTTTTTGGTACTGAAACTTTGTTGTTTGTAGAGATGAGAAGTCTCATCAAAGAATATCACTCAATCGCTGCTTCTTTGACGAGAAATGGTCAAAGAATAGATCGGTTACTGCACTCGACTGGAGTGCACAATATCCGGAGCTCTTACTAGCAGCGTATAATAATAACGAGGTGTCTCCGAATGAACCGGATGGAGTTTGTTTAATTTGGAACACAAAGTTTAAGAAAATGACGCCCGAGTATATATTTCACTGTCAGAGCCCGGTGCTAACGGCGAAATTCGCCAAGTTCCATCAGAACTTGGTGCTGGGCGGCACCTACTCGGGACAGATTGTCCTGTGGGATAATCGAGTACAGAAGAGGACGCCTGTGCAAAGGACACCGCTATCTGCTGGTTCACATACTGTAAGTTTTTGGTTTTATAAATAAGTTTTGTTTTTATGTGAATTTTTTTTATAGCAACCAGTATATTGCATGCATGTCGTTGGGAGTCAGAACGCCCACAATCTGATCTCGATCTCGAACGACGGTAAGATGTGTTCGTGGTCGCTGGACATGCTCAGTCAGCCGCAGGAGGTTATTACGCTCGTGCGTAGTCAGAGCAGGCCCGTGGCGGCGACCTGCCTCGATTTTCCACATTCCGACGTGAATAATTTCGTCATTGGCGGCGAGGAGGGCTCCGCGTTCTCAGCGTGTCGCCATGGGTCGACTGTTGGTATTGTCGACACGTACGATGGTCACCATGGACCGATTACGGGCATAAGTGTTAATAGCGTGCAGGGCGGCATTGATTTTTCACACACGTTCCTCACCAGCTCCATGGATTGGACAATGAAGCTGTGGAGCATCAAGGATCAGAAGCCGATTTATTCGTTTGAGGATAATGGTGATTACGTGATGGATGTTGCATGGTCGCCGATTCATCCAGCGTTGTTTGCTTCGGTTGACTGTGGAGGAAAATTAGATTTGTGGAATTTAAATCAAAACACTGAGGTGCCAGCGGCGACTGCAATAGTTGAGGGTAATCCTGGTTTAAATAAAGTGTCGTGGACACCTTCGGGATTACATGTAACAGTTGGAGATACAAATGGAAAGATTTTGGTTTATGATGCTGCTGAGGTAATTGTAAAATTTATATTTTTTAGGTATTGTTTTATAAATATTTTTATTTTCAGGGTTTCGCACATCCGAGAAATGATGAATGGAATAAATTCTTATACACGACACAAGAACTACGCAACAATCAAGTAGATGAAGAACTAGAAAAATTGAATTTAAGCATTTCGAATACGCCGCTTTCTAGCATGAGCTCGTTGGGGACGAGCAAACTCATGTAAAACCGCTTAGGAATTTGTTATTTGATTTTGAAAAGCCGTCAATTTCTAGCGCCGAGCGTCAAAGAACGAAGTGTCATATTCTGTTTTCTTCTTATTTGATCTTAACCGCCGAAGTCAGCTAACCACTATCACGAGAATTCGGCTCCGTAACTTTTTTCGCTGCATCTGCATTCAACTACGCATAAACTAGCTTCTAATCTTAACGAACTGATATTTAAACCAAGCAAAGCACAGAAACAGATATTTATTGCGGTAATATTACACCTACAGGAATTAGTTCAAAAACGAAAATCCTCTCAAAAGCTCTTCACTTGTGGGTAAATTGTTGGGGCGATAAATACGGGAACATTTTACTGTTAATATTGTGAGCATTGTGAGAAACGAATGAAGTGTGTTGTACATAGCGCGCTAATTTATTATTATTGTAACGTTTTGCGATGCGTCGAGTACGTCTTACGAACTCTTCTTTTTTTTTACTTAATATTATTAACGTGTTAATTTCTTCCTATCCGGTGATTATTTCTTGTGAAACAAGCGAGGCGAAAGAAGTTTGTAATTTGCGTTCGGTTCCACTTCGATTTGTTGCGTTGAGTAATTTTCTTGTTTATTGGTTATGTATTTGTATAAATCGTACAGAAGAAATTTTGCTATCCGAACATGAATGACAGACATGTGCGAAAAGATTAATGAAAAGTGATCTAAAATGAAAATAAACAACAGATTTAAACAGAGTTTCTTAATTTTGATCTACCTAAGCAAGGCATATAAAGTTGCATAACTTTTTTTCAAACAAATTTGCACTCAGTAACTAAACTAAAGCAAACATGGAGTAATTGGATGCTTTGAGACTTTTGTGTGGTTTGTATTCAGCGTATAATAGTTCATTTAATTTTGTTGACATTGCCGAGTGGTTTCTTTCATATTTTCTCCAAACAACAAATCAATAAGCACATCGTGTGTGCAGATCAGATGAGACGCGGCAACGTTCTCAACACAAGCTATATTATGCCTTTCCGGTCCCTTTCCTAGCCCACCCTTATCTTTAGTCTTCCTGGTTCTCCCTAAATTTAATTTTATCTCCTTTCATCCTCTTTCTATTCTCGTTTTTCCTGTGTTTGCGTCGATTACACTGCGACTGTGATGTGCGCGTCTCCTAGCGGCGAACCGGCATACTTCTACCGCATCAACGATTCAACGGATTCGAATTGAATCAGCGAATCGAATTTAGTCGCAAAGTAGACGTCGTGGTGTGTTGTTCACTCCGTGTCTACTCTCGTAATCCCAATTCGATTCTCAGTCGGTTTTTCGCGCGTCGCGCGTGCTTTATTACTTTTTACCTCTGGAACTGCACACCATTCAGTGGTTTGATAACATAAACAAGACATAATCACCTTGGATACATTAAGATTTAATAAATTTTCCAATATAAAACAGGTGAGTTGCATTTTTGAGCTGGTGTTATTTACGCTGATTATTCTTGTCCTTGTTATTTGCTGGTATAGATAACTAAACCTTTACGAGATAACCTCCACGAGATGCGGTAGATGCATGAGTAGTCGCGAATTAATTACAAAATGATTCACGCTTTGATGCAGAATTACAATAGACGATCAATTGTTTGTAAAGAAACAAATTGATTCTTATTTTTATATAAAAAATACAGTGTGACGACAGCTGTTATTTTTTATGTTAGGGTGAAAGCGCATTAGTTGAAAATACGAGAAGAAAAAATATATATAAAAGGGTGAAATACTAAATTTGAGTGAGGTAGGGTGTGAACTGCGAGTGGCGCGTAGGCTTTCGAGCACGCGCCACCCTTGTTCTGACCTATTTTGGGACCATAACCTTCCCTCAAAGGGCCGGGTCATGGCAGAGTCCTGGCAAATACAAAATTTTGAGTTTTTAAATTTATTTTCATGTTTTGCCACGTAAACTTGTTTGTTTTGTGTCTATATTTGTTTAATCCTTATCTGGTGGAGGCCAGATGTGTTGACCACACAATTTGCAATAGTTTGAAACATCATACCTACTTCGTATTTTATCAGTTTAGTCATGTTTTAGTCATCACAACAAAAATAAAGCTTATAGGATCAATTTTATTTAAATAAATGTTAAATTGACACATATTTACCCATAATTACCGTTTTAAGGATGATTACCGCTTATTTTTATATATTGTCATTACGACATTTTAAGTGTTAATGTGTTTATGTCATGATATGACCACCAATTTATGTTACTCGTATAATATTTGTTTGAAAAGTCTGTTTGCAACGGTTTCAAAACTTCTTTCTATGTTATCCTTTGATTAAACTATTCATCGTTGAATAGGATGTGCCATATGGCGCTCTGGCCACATTACAGTGCCCGACAGCACGTAACTAGCTCAAATTGTTCGTTATCTATGTCAATAGGCAAGTCACCACCGAAGTAGGTGCGTTTTTTAATTACTTGTACACGAGTGGTACGCGGCTTGTCATTGACAAGTCATAAATACGTTCAGCAACTGTTTAATTGATGATCAAGAAAATTGCTTCCTATTTTGTCTTTATTGTGTAAATACAGACTCAATTTGTCGGTAAATGTCTCAAACAATCAGTAAATTGAGACAAGTAATAAATTATTTACCCATTTTATAAATAAAGAATTAAAGAGGAAGCTCCACATGCGTAATATATTGATTTTAATACTGAATACAGAAATCTATCACCTTATTCAAGAAACAGAAGACAAGAAACAAGAGTGACACTTGGTTAATTGATGAGTTGAATTCCAAGTATAATAATAATTAAGATTAATGACTGTTTTCCTAACGTTTTAGGTGAATGCACTCTTAGTTTAATTCTGTACTTACTTAATTGCAATGCGGAAAAAATCAATTGAATTAATTTTCAAATTTTCATTGGCAATTTTTATTTTATGTAAAATTAATTTTTTCTACGGTTTTTATTGAGTATAAAGTTAACTAATACTAATATTACCTACTCATTTCCATTTTATTTATTCGTATGGTATAACTCAGTTTTCAGTTGAAAATGCTGAAAAGGCGAAACATGTTAAAATTTATACCTAATTAAAAAGAAAAATTTAACCTTATGCTTGTTTAAAACTACAATTTCCAACACTTAACATACAAAGATATAATCTAAACTAGATTCTTGTAAACTGATCGCCAGGTCGTGGTCGTCGTGGGCTCATGATCGTTTCAGCATTTTATATTTAATTTTAGCACGCGTCTTATTATAAGTCGGCAAAGTGCATCAGCACGCGGTAGAGTCGGGAAATTGTGAGGTCTGGAACGTCTGTAAGAACCATAAAAGCCATAACATTGGCTACTGCTTTCAAGTTTCTTCTTTTACACGTTTTTTGTGCCAATATATCAAAGGCCACAGCAGTTTTGCCACGCTTTCTTACTTACTATGTTTATTTTCGTTTAATAATCAAAACCGAGTGTAATGCCACACATTGTCGCATAGACATCGTCGTGTTTGTAATGAGATACTTTCTATTAATACCATTGTAATTATTTTTGTAATTCTGGATGGAAGTCATCCATGCTTCCTTTCGAAAATTCGAAAAATTTGTGTTTTTAACTTTTACCTATATTTTTAAACCAAGTGAAACTTCTTTGGATACTTTATGATAGAATGAAATTTTTTAGTATCTGGTGTAACGAAAGTGTAGAATGTGAGTGACTTTAATTTCCTTATATTTTTTATGGCCAGTTAACAGGTGTACAAAAAAATGTTACTTAAAACCGACATAACTGTATATGTATTAAATTCCTTGTATGTACTTACAAACGGATATTTTTACTTTACACTTTACACTTAAGGTACATAGAATTGTTTCGTTGGCGATTAGAAAGGAAGAGGACCGTATTGTTGTCGGTTTACTTTCAAACCTCTATACTTTAGTGGCAATTACAATTATAATTGCAGTACAAAACACTATAAGAGGATAAATATCTCTAGTTTTTCTTAGGAGTATAATTATCCAACGAAAACGTTTTATTATATGAGCCGCTTATTTTGAAAGTGGCCTAACTCCATTTATCTTCAAATCGAGATATTGAAAGTTTTGCGTTTCAATGAATTTAAAAATATAGGTATAAGATACTAAGGAGTCATACTGCTTAAGCGTATCTAAGGATGTTAAATTTAAAGTTCCTGTTAAAATAGTGGCAATTATTAAGTAAATAACGTGCGTTTCCTTATCAAGAATGGAGTTGGGCCACTTTCAAAATTAACAGCCAGATTCATTATAAAATTTGAGGGTGCCCAAGTCCATTCAACATAATTTAAGATGTTACAAATTGAAAAACAAAACGTCTTCGTTTCACAGACAGCTTCGTGAAGTAATACATTTTGTTTGTTATAGTCTGCCAAACCCCCAAACTTCTCAAAAATATTCTTTCTTTCTTCTTCATTATAATTTTTTGTGCACGCATTCCGACAACCACAATCTTTGTTTTCGAAATTTTTTTCATCAACAATACTTCCGGTTTAACTGCAATATCTTTTTCCTGAATTCTGTTTAATCTTTCGCACTTTTTAGATATATGGTGCATCACTCTTTTCTCCATTGTTATTTGAATCTTCATCCTCTGACGAGGAATATTGTTCTATAATTCTTTTTCTTATTCGCTTTTTTTTTAAATTATTAATTACTATTTCTTCTTCACTATTTGAAGTAAGTGGTCTTCTTCTGTTCTTCCTCATGGGTGCAATAATTTCTATAATTTAATATTAAATTTTAAGTTTTATATTAATTAAACGTACAGGTTAATTAACCAACGCAATTGTCCCAAAAATAAGGTGAACTTGTAAATACTAATTAATTGAAATTACCTTCATCGCTGCTTTCCGACATTATCAATAGTAAATATCTTGATGTAACTATAAATGGAGTTAGGCCACTTTCAAACTGCACGGCTCAGTTATTCAATTAATTCGGAAAACTTATGTGTAAAAAATGTACCGTATTTTCTCTGAATATAAGCAATCTGAAGTGCGTCACTGATAAATAACATGAAGTTGTACATATAACCATGGTAACCGGCAAAAATTTGAAAAACGGAGTTAGGTCACTTTCAAAATAAACGGCTCATATTATATACGAGTATATCTACCGAAATAGTTATTTTTATTCCACGCATCACAATCGAACGTGACATTTAATCAATCACATTTATTAAAGGATTGGCTGTCCTATTCTGATTCACTCTAAAAATAGATGTGACTAACAATAAATTATACGTGCTAAAGTGTTAAATAAATTCGTGGATACTGTTTCGTCTAAAATATTATGTATCAAATACAGAATAAGTGGAAAGATGTTATTGTCTGCTTTACGAGTAGGTATAGCATATTCGAGAAAAGAATTAAAAAAAAAACGCGCGAGATAACCAGCATGATGACGATCATCGGTGATGTCATCGCTGAGAAAGAAATAAGACTTCCAATGAATAGCAATGACGTTAACACCTGTCAATCGAACCATAAATAATGTGTTTTTTATATAGTTAGAATTCGAAGTTGACTATTTCTGATCTAATATCAAGTTATTTTATACACACAAGGAAATTGTGTTCACCTTGATCTTATTACATACAGATACAATTTTATGTTTGTTTGTTGGTTTGAAGGTGAATATATAGAATTAAACGGAAGAATGAAAGAAGCAACAATAATGGGAAACAAAATTAGCGTAAATTGAATTAAAAGACAATTACGATTCAAATTAAATCATAATTCACTTCTTTATTGGATTAGCTAATAAATATATTTTAATTTGTGCAATATGCATATGCAAGGTCAAGAAGTATTCTATATGTAAGAAACATGAGAGGAAAACCCCTTCTCACTACGTTTTGATGATTATACGCAGGTACAATTAGCACAGTGTTAATATTGTTACTTTTCTGAATCACTCTCTACTTAACCAACGTAGTAAAATCTTCTACAAGTTAATTTGAATGAATCATTCAACTTTCCGCTTCATTTAATCGAATTAACTGCCTATCCTTCATTGAGAGCAGCCGCTTTAGTCAATGAAACCGACCACTAAAGCCATATTAATGTTGTTATATCAGTAACGACTCTAGATCTACAGATCTAGACCTTTAATTCTCTTCCGCTTGATATCAACATACAATTACAATGCACTTATTCATATCATGTCATAAATGAGTAATAATAAAATACATCCTACAGTAAACCCACTCGAGATACTCGTATTTTAATTCCACCTTCATGATATGAGTACCAATGAGTTGTGGATCTTGCTTCTCACCACGCATATTGGTTTAGTTGATATGCACGATATGCAAATAAATTTCCGGTCGGCGGTAAACGCAGTGCAGTTGATAACAAAAATATGTACGTGTTTTAATTATAGCGACATATGGTTTCTCCCACTTTTAGAATTTGTAAATAAAATTAGTATAAATATCAAATTTTTAACGATATTATAGTTTCAAGACATTGAAATTAATATTCTCGCGATTATTACGCTCAAGGTCTCGAAGTGAAGTGTGTTTTTAGCACTTTATTGCAATAAATATTTATGTAATCGTACTAAACAAGTTTATACTAACTAGAGTTTGTTCTAATTTTAATTTAAAAAGTTTTAGTTGGAAGTGATATCATCGCGATAGAAACATTTACATTAACATACTTATTTTTTTTTTTTTTTGCTAACGTGGATGCGTTTACGGTTAAACGTCGTACGTCGATGACGCTGTTGAATTCGTTGTATAGTTTAACTTTTAACTGGTAACAAGGTCGTTAAAGTCAGCGAAACGACGAGACGTGTCACAATAGCAAACCTCCATTGTTGCTACCGGTGATTATCAATTAAATTTGATTGTTTTTTATACTTTAGCCTTACAGTTCGGTTAGATAAATTGGGTATTTCAGATTCACATGATGAGTAGTTATCTATTAATAAACTAATTAATAAAAATAAGCAGCTTCCGATGATGATTCATGGTTTATACCAATTAACGCACGCAACAATAGCTGTTATCTGTATTATACAATAAGTAGTGGGTTATAGCACCAATTTAAACCAAAATTAATTAATTTTAATTGCATTGCTTAGTGTTTTGTAGTAAATTTTATTATTTTGGAATTAAAAGGAAGTGGTATGTGGTTTTTAATATTTTTAAAGTGTTTGTTAATTTTATATTGTTTATTAAACAAAATTAGTAGAAAACTAGGTAAAAAATTTAAAAAAATTTATTCTATATTCGTAAATTTTGATCGAATTGTAATTAAACGGAAGTGAAAGACAGGAATGTGAATGCAATTGCTTAGTGTTTGATCGAATTTTGCGCCCGAACGCCAAACTAGGCGGAATTGGGTTTCTATGACGATTTATAAATAACTTTCAAGTGGTTTCCACCATGTGTGAACGTTTATCGATACACAAACCGCTCAATAAACTAACAAAATGAAGTTTTACTTTTAATAAATTGCGTTTTGATGTTGATTACCACATTTATCATTTACAGTTCAAACATTTCATAACAAATTAAAATTAACCAGATATTGGAAATGTTTTAAATGAAATTTGTCTTTAATTAAACTTTAATGAAAATACGTATGTAATAGCTTATTTCCCCACGTATGTGGTGCAATTTATTGGATCAATCAAGCGGCTGTCGACCGTCTAGACATCCTAAACCCTATTTCCTACCGGCTTTCCCTCGAATGCAACGTCTCACGTGGGGAAACTCGATGAAAAATGATTGCATGCGTTGCATTATTGTAATAGCTATACATTACCACTGTGAATATGTTGCCGGGGTGTAAAATCAAGAATATATGCATAGAGAAATTGGAACCTGGCAGTGCCTTGCATGTCAGCGTAAAATTAAGTTTTTGTCGTTTCATTGCGTTTTATTTTCCTCGTTTTCCAACAGAAAAACTAGTTGATGACATTCGTATATAATTTAGTGCTAAACTGAGTAAATTAATAAAAGATCAAAGCGCAGCATAGAGATTTATTGATGCAGTTATCATAATTTGTTAGTTAAACTAAGAAAAATAAATATTTTCATTGATTTATACTGAAACACGGATCTTTTCATGGTATTTTCACTCCTTTGAAGCATTTCACCTTGGAAAAATGTTGCAAATGTTGCAAAATCCAGACGTACGCTAAAAATAAATTTAATCGCTGGAATTTTGTTTGCTACTCACCTTCACGGCAATAATTTTCTAACTTTAGAGACATTTAATTCTTCTACATAAAAAGAAAGTCAATTATTTACATTTACGATTTAATGAGTTAATGACACCGTGATAAAGACATTAAATTAATTATTCACGCGTCAAAATGTAAAAGTCGTGTAACTCTCATTAATTACCGAACTGAAAAGTGTAAAGAGGAGCTCGCAACAGACGAAAAGCTATCAACTATATCAGCTTCATGATAATAATAGATTCAACACAAGCGCGCCGGAAAATAAAGAGTGAACGCTTCGTTGGCATGGATAAATAAACGGAAATACGCTTTGGGAGTGTCGCCACTTAAATAAATTCGCGACCTATTATGCGTGGTTCTCATCGTGAACAATATGCCAACTAAAACATTATCATAAGTGATACTTCATTATAACATTACAGGGTTTAATTGTGTTTGTGTTGTTTTGTTGTCAGCAAATCGCTTGTAAAGTGAACAATAACTAATAATTTAACTTGTCACTTGATTATTATCTTTGTTCTGAAGAAATGTGTAAACTTTCACAACTTTTAAGCTTTGAATATCAAAATAGCGACTTTTATACAAATAATTCTAATTTTTCAATGGTTTTTTGCTTTCAGATTAATTGAAATCTCGAAAATGACTGAAATAACAGAAGAACAAGTCGTAATGACGCCGCGAGGTAAAACCTCAAACTCCACAACGTTACTCATTGAAAGAAGAGCAATCAAAGCAACAAATGATAAGATGCACGTCGCTGGCGGCGAACATACAGGCATCGTCATCAATAAAGAAACAGTACAAGACGTTAAAGATGAAACACTGCCCGAATTAAGCCTCGAATTTCGTGTGTTTTTGGTGAGCGGTCAAACCGGCAAGCACACGCAGGAATCTCGCACGTTGCGATTCTGGTTCCGGGATGTTCCGCATCAAAACGGCCACATTAATGGCACGAACGGTATTAATGGCGCCACAAACGGTTACACCAATGGCGATAGTCATCATAATGCAAGTTCGGCCTCTGTTGCTCAAGATTTCTTCAGGGAATTGGTTTCGCCCCAAGAGTTTCCACGAGGTAACACTAAAAAGTATAAAATGTTAATATTGTCAGTAAGTAAATTATTTTGTCGATAGATTACGTTGGATTCATTAAAAAGATAATGAAACAGATGCAGCATGGCTACAAAAGCATCCTGAAAGTCGAAATTGTTCTTAAACAATTGGAGGAAGTCGTTGAAGTCGCACGACCACGTAAGTTAAACTTATTTTCTTCAAAACTACAGAATATTCAATAATATTGAGTAGATTTTATAAAAATTTAATGTTTAAGAGTTGAGCTTAATCGATTTCTAGAATATTTAATTGTTTTAAGTGTAAATTGGACAAAATCTTGTCATTTTTGTCTCTTGTAGCTCGACCTGGTTATCTTCATGTACAACTAAGTTCTTCCTCTCTGTATTCTACAGGTTTGGGTCTATGAAACTCTATAATCGCTTTAGCTATCAATTAGAACCCTATAATTAACAAACTAACAGTTTGACTCAGTTAGAACTTGGCGAATTTCAATTAATCATTTTCATAGGAACAGCATGAACATAATTCAGCAACTTTCAAGGGAGTTGAAAGTTTCATAACACTAAACACTGCTTTTTAGAAGTTCTAACAGGTTGATACAACTGATAACATTCGTAGTGTGTTTTAATTTCAAATAATAGAGGGTATCACGTAACTATTTACAAAAATATTCACAATTCTTTGTTTAAAAATGCAAATAACGAGTCTTTTTCTAAACATTGTGTCCCATGTTTTTGTTATCCATCTTTTTTCTTTATATAAGATAAAAATATATAATATTGTGTTTTATTTCAGTCTCTGGTGATGAGAACTCTATCGGTAACGTCGTTCTTCTCTCTGTGGAGAAAGTCCTCGAGCTTATTGAATCGGCCTATCCAAATCCGATTACTCTTCATGATCTTGCAAAGTAAGTTAATAAATCATAAAAAACAACGTCACAAATCAAAAATAGAAAAATTTCGTTACAAAGTTGCAAAATTTTTATATTTAAAGAGATAATAATTGGGACGATGAAGAAGTCGCTCATCATCTGGCTGAGTTGCAATCCCGTGGGCTGGTGAAGGCGATGGATCACGGTGCCTTCACGCGCCAGCAATCGATGGACACGCAGGTGACGGTCGTCAAGCAGATGCCGACAATGGCGAGCAGCAAACAGCCGACGATTGCCATTATTACAGCGCAATACTGTGAAAAACTCGCCGTGGACGCCATGATTGAGAATAAGGAGACATTTGTACGCTACACCACTGTTGGTAAGTTAATTTATTACTACATTAGAATTACAATTTTAATTAAGTTCAAAACGTACCATTATTCAGAATCACTTTCCGATTCTGTGTCGGATTCTGATTCCGAGTTGGTGTCATCACTATCGGTTGAATCTGAGTCTGAATCGACAGATTCGTCATCATCAGAGTCTAATTCTTCATTAGTTTTCTTGCTGTTTATACTCAAACCCTTAAGTTGTTGATTTAATTCGTCTTCTTCTTCATTTTCATTACTTAACTCCTCGATTTCATCCAAATTAAGATCAAGATCTGATTTTTTAACTAGTAAACTTTGTATTTCATCAAAAATTGTCCGCCATTTTGTTTTATCCCACTTCTGGACAAATATCACGTAGTCTTTGATGAACAAATGATTTAAAATGTATCTGGCCGAGTCACCACCCAAGAAAATACCGTAAATTTCAATCAAAACTTTGATAATTTCGGTTTCTCCTAATTTAATTAATGTTTTCACGTCTTCCAGTACAGCTGTACATAAATTAAAATTTCTGTATAGTGGATATATCAATGCTCTTCTAAAACCAGCAATGATGGCATCTTTCGGTGTGTCAAACGCGTCAAACCATTGCATACTAGCCGATAATTTGAGAATATTCCATCCTGATTCACAGGAACTATCAAAACAATTGATTCTTCTGTCATAACAATAAGCAAACAATATGTCTAATAGGGTTGTAAATGCATATTGTTCTTGTATGCTGGAGATTTCATATATAATATTGGGTAAATCTTTAAGGAAGTCTAATTCTACATTAGTAAATGTTTTTGTCTCTGTTTTGTCAGCTTCAGTTTCATTGACTTTCTCAAGTTTTGTTTTCCAAGGAGATTTCTCATGGACCAAAGAGTCAATCTCATCACAGTCAATGAAATCAGCAAGATAATGATCAAAATTGAAACTCTCCTTTTCACTCTTCAGTCTTAATTCTTTTCTGTCTTTGAGTGGAATTTCATGTGGGTCCAATTCAAAAATGTCATAAAATTCAGAACTGATGAAGTTAAATTTGTAACCACCTCGTTGCGCGAACCCGTACTGCTCTTCTGACTCAAGGACTTCTTCTGCGGGTGCAGAACTTGAAAGAACTTCAATTTTACGCCCATCTTGATCATCATGCACTTCCAATTTTGGTTGTAGAAATTGTGTGATAAACTCGAGATTTTCGAAGGTTTCGCCCTTATTTGTTTTGTAGTATGTGAATGTGAACTCACCGGTGTCTGAGTTAAATTGGGAATGTGCATTGCGCTCTTCTTCAATTTTTCCAGGAAGTTTTAAACGTAAATAATACGGTTTGCAGTAAAACAGGAATGTTTCGTCGTCAATTTGCACGTCCAACTCTTTTAAACTGCAGTACGGTGCGCGTATTGTAATTGTGAATGTTTTCTCATTTTGTGATAAATGAAAACGTGGTGTAATCATTTTAATATGAAGGTAAATTCCGTGGTAAATTCGCCAATTGGAATCGAAAACTTTACCTGCCAAACAAACGCAGCACGTTTTCTAACCACACATTTTGTTTTTGCGCAGTACGTCTTGTCGTAGTTTGCGCATACATACATTTACTATAGGCAACCAAATGTACGCACTTTTTGAAAGTTGCTTCGTATAAATTGGTTTCATAAATTTCATCGAGTTTTTAATACCAGGTGCTACTAGTCCGACAACCGATGGTCCACAAACCAAGTTTGGTAAGAAATCGCACAGAAAACGCTTTCGTCAGAGTCGATAAAAACAAATCAAATCAATACGCACCCTCCACTATTTTACATTTGTACAGGCAATGTGTGTGTTTCAGCACCAGTTGTATTATTTAGTTACGATCACCATGTTTTTGTGTTAAAGCTTTTATTGTCAGATGCAATGGTTGTGTCTTGATAATAGTATGATTTATGTTTTTCGTCACTAACAGACATTTTTTAAAACTTGTCATAACTAACAGATTGTGTGCAAATGGGTACAAATCAGTTTAATTTCTGAGTTTAATATTATGAATTGATTTCTAGGTGAGTCGAATGTGTACACGATGGGAAACATTGGCGCGCATCGCATTGTTTGCACCAAACTTCCATCGGTAGGACATACGAGGGAGGCGATGACTGCAGCGGGAAATACTACTACTCGTCTGTTGGGAACCTTCCAAAAAGTTGATTATGTCTTTTTGGTTGGTGTAGCTGGTGGCGTACCACATTATACCGATTATAATAAACACGTTCGGCTTGGTGATGTTGTCGTTTCATATCCTTATAAGAATAACAAGTAAGTTTTCATTACTGCACATGTGTATAAGTCTCTTATAGATTTTTTTATCTTTATTTCATGTTTTTAAACGAATCTTTTACTATTTTCAGACACGTTTATGTCTACTGCGACAGTGCAAATAAAACCGAAACCGGATATGATTTTGAAGTAAAACCTTACGGTCCCTCCAACTTGAATCTTCAAGAAATAGCTGCGAATTTAAAAATGGAGGCAGAAACTCAAAACGCACCAAGATGGAACGAATATCTTCAAACTGGCCTAGCGAATCTCGAAAATGTCGAAACCGACTACAAAGCACCTCCACCAGAAACAGACAAGCTATACATGTCTATCGGTGAAGGTGACCTCATTGAAGTAGCTCATCCACAGCCAGCAAAAACAGACGCTCCTAGACTAGAAGGCTGCCCGAAAGTACATCTTGCTATGATCGGTTCAGGACGACGAGTTGTAAAGTCCGATCAACTCAGGCAACAGTTTGCCGCACAGTTCGGAGCATTGGCTTTCGATTGCGAGTTTGACACTGTAATTGAATCCGTTTTGGGTAACTGCAAAGATAGTTTCGTTTGCATTCGCGGTATTTCTGATTACAAAGATGGTACACGACGCAAAGAATGGCAGCCGTATGCGAGTTTAGCGGCCGCTAGTGTTATGAAAGCGATTATTTGTGGCATGGATCCACCGACCAATTAGAAACGAAATTCACATCGAATAAACTAAACTAATCTTCATTGATAGTGATCACTCGAGTGGTGAATAGATTTCCAAGGCCATTTATCTCATACAATGCTAAGAACCTAGTACAAAACGTATGAAAAAATCTAAGAGAATTAGTTACCAAGCACTAAAACATAGTAAATTAATTCAAAAACTTCTGAATTTCAACTGTGATTTCTTCCAAACATTGAGAAATGTTGATCAGATTTTATTCAATTGAATATCATGAATCTTTCTATCGAATTTTGACTGAACAAAATTAATTTTGCATTTATCAATATTGTCTAGTCGTTTTCAATGAATTATGTTTAAACTTAAATTGGAAATGATTTGTGTTTTTGATTGGAAATATATATTTTTTGTTTTACTTGCCATTATTATGAAAATGTAGTCATCGAATGCCAAAATTACGTTTAATTAAGAATCGAATTGCATTTTTATTTGTGACGGCCTAATTTAAGTGATGAAATAATAACAAATTCCTAAGTTTGATGGGTAAAAGTAAGAATCGTGCGTTTGTTTTGTAATTATTTATTGAAGTACTATATTTATTGTAAAATAAAAGATAGAGCAATCTCTAATAACAAATGTATAAGTTATTATATTAAAATATTATTAATAGTAAATCTTATAAAATGGCGTTTTCATTTTATAGGTTAGAAAAAGCAAGACGACCAAAAAGAAACTGGCTCTTCTGACTTTGAATTTATAACACTTGTCTCGTTTACAAGGTTTTTACATTCTCTAAACACACCATCACCTCTGAAATCAAGTTGCCTATCTCTAAACAATCTGTTTCTGCCAAAATAATGGATTATAAATATTTTACCGACAAAGAAAATCATCAGTATCCTTAATTCCCAACCTGTACTGATGAAAAAAGTTATATTTTGAATCAACATCCATTTGGCGAATGAATAATAAGCACTTCTTCTTTAACCTGCAATTTTATTAAGAAAAAATATTAATTTCTTATCCAATTTAACTCAAATTACATTGGCGGCCATTGCCCGTCAAAATGTGTGCGAATATGTGTTCCACCTTCTTCCATTTTAGCAAACATAGTCAGTCCATTACATATTCTTAAATCGTGACTAAAATAAATGATATAGAACACTTTTGTATTATTCTACTGACTGTTTATACCTTGTAAATGTCCGTTTGCAGAATTCTTCTGCTAATGCATGATTCACTTTACATTTTGCTTCGTTTGGCTCTAAATGTTCTTTATTGCCAATTATATTATCAAATATTTTGCGTACCTCTGCAGAAATTGCTAAACATTGTGCACATCGTGTACAAGCAGATAAAACGTGCTTTCTGTGTACGATATCTTTGAAAGGATTATAAACGTGTTTGAATCCAGAACAATAAGCAGTGTTTTCTGTTTCGTTCATATGATTTCCACACTCTTCCTTTATTTCGTCAACGTTGATAACTTCAACATCGTTTAAGTCTTTTTTCACATATTTTCCAGTCGTGCCTGCTTGGTTTGCCTCACATTTCGATGAACTCCATGCAAAGAAACCATACCCTAAATGAATATTAATTAAAAACGCTATAATTATGAGGCTGAATAGTTTCATCAGCATAATAACATTAATAAACTGTGTATATGATGGTAAAAAGTTGTAAATCACTCAACAATTTCGAAATTTTGCCAAAATATTGACTGATAATTGAAGTTTTGACATTTTTAATAATAGTTAGTTCTATATTTAATACCTGGAAAATGTTTAAAGATAAAAATATGCTTTTCTGGTTTAAAAAACACTCTGTATGTGTAGTAATTCCGTTATATTTTCTTGTTTGAATTACTACCGGTGAGGCGCATGCGCAGTGCGCGTCGATCAAGTGGCTTCTCTTGCCGCCATTTTGCAGTCTGTTGTTTGTGGCTTGTTACGTTAGGTTGTGTTTACGAAAAGCTGTGCCGCGTCGCGGGTGCAAACGCTTTTTAATCGCTGTGGATTAATTCAAGCTCGTGATGGGTTAATCGCACTGCGCTGGGATACACACCACCGTCAGAAATACGTTGGACTACTCACCGCAAACGGTATTTATCGACGCTCATTTGTTTCGGTGTTTGTTGTTTTGGGCGCCAACCAACGCTCACCATCGTTCTCTCGCATGCTAACTACACGACTTGAACTGATTCATATAAAACACTCAAACAAGCAATACAATCATGAATTTAGTGTTTAGTATTGATAATTTGAAGAGAATTAACGTTAAATATTGGCTCTTTTGTTTACAGCAACTGTGAATTGATTCTTTTATTGGTGGCAACTAAATCAAAGCAAGATGTTTTATGCACACTTTGTGCTAGCCAAAAAGGGCCCACTGGCCCGAATTTGGTTGGCAGCACATTGGGACAAGAAGTTAACCAAAGCCCATGTGTTTGAGACAAACATTGAAAAGTCAGTTGATGGCATTCTGCAGCCAAAGGTGAAGATGGCTTTGAGGACATCTGGCCATTTGCTGCTTGGTGTCGTGCGAATTTATTCGCGGAAGGCCAAATATCTGCTGGCTGATTGTAATGAAGCCTTTGTCAAAATCAAAATGGCCTTTAGGCCTGGGATGGTGGATCTGCCCGAAGGACATCGGGAGGCGGCAGTTAATGCTATCACATTACCAGAGGTGTTTCATGATTTTGATACAACTATGCCAGAATTAAAGTGAGTACTAGTTATCAGATTGATGTTGTTTTTGGTTTAATTTAATTAGTATGAAATGATACCTTTATGTGTATTCAGTTGCCTACTTATAAGGCGCATTTTGAAACTGTTTTTGATACAAATCAAATCTTTTGTTTAGTGATGTGGACATTGAAGCCCAATTCAGTCTCAACCAATCTCGCGCTGAAGAAATAACAATGCGTGAAGATTATGGTAACTTAACACTGGTTACCAACGATGATGGCTTCGGCGATATGGGTTTTGACACCGATGCGCCTGATTTAATGCGTCATACTTCCTTGGAACCGTCGAATAATCTCCTCTTCAGTGATGGCATTGACGGCGTAGGTTTAGATAAAGACCGAGAACCAATCCCATCTACATCTGGTACACAAAATTGTGTTGATCAACCTCTTCGAGATGATGAATTCGGATCAAATCTCAATCCAAATATGATTTGTAAGTTTTAAACTTTATTATTAGACATCAAAATAATTTAAAATGATAAAATTTTCAGCTGGCGGATTATTTGAAGGTGGGTTGTTTGATGATGCACCAATGGGTGATGTCCCGCCGGTTGACAACCATCTTTCCGAACCACCTCTTCCATCATCGGCGCATGATGACAGCGACGATGACATGGATCACTTTGGTGGTCCACCTTCAATGGGCGGTGACAGTAGTGATAACTCGCGCCCACCATCTCCGCTTGCGGCACTTAATGAAAAACCAGCCGAACCAGCACCTCCTCCATCAATAGTCAGTGAAACGGCTGATACACAGGAGGAACCACGTGTGGAAACTCCTCTCGATCAAAATACTTTGCTTCAAAATGACGATGAAAGTTTTGCTCTACCACCTGTCGATGCGTCTGTGTTCCGCGGAGTAAATCCAAAGAAACGCAAACGAAAACTCATTGTTGATGAAGTAAAGAACATCTCTGGTGAAGAGATGAAGAATCAGTTGTCTGACACCACCGATATTGTCACCACATTAGACTTGGCACCACCAACAAAGCGACTTATGCACTGGAAGGAAACCGGTGGCGTTGAGAAACTGTTTGCGCTGCCAGCGCGACCAATTCCTGCACGCGCATTGTTCAAGAATTACCAGAGGCATTTAATCTCACGGTCGATAGGTACCGAAGACTTCGCAATGCTGGGCGATGCTGATTCTCTAGCGTTAGATCAAGTTAGAGAGGCAGAGGAACCAGAACCTACGCCTGTGCCAACCCCGTCGAAACGTGGCAGGAAACGAAAGAATGAAGAAACAAATCGGACGCCGCTTCATCCGGGCATTGAAACACCACAACCGATTATGAATCCTGAGGAGGCGTTAGCAGCGATGATGCCACCTACGCCATTGATGGCGCCGCCAACGCCACAAAGTCAAGGAATGCTATCGCCGCACATGATGATGCCGCCACAAACGCCGCATATGCACGAAGAGATGCCTCCACCGCCGACGCCAATTATGGGTTATCCTGGCACCCCGGCGCCGCCCACGCCGCTACATCACATTGATGAAATGCCGCAGTTGCAACCTGATCAGGTGCATTCATTACTCAATGAATCCGATGGCTTGGGCAGTCTTGGACCACCAATGACGCCCGCAACCGGGGAGGAACTTATGAACGCGCATGGGTTGGGAATTCCACAAACACCGCAACATGATAGTTTTGGTCATGTTGATTTACCAGGGATGGAAAATATGGGCTATGATCACGTAAGAATAAATCTTTTAATGTTCAGAATTATTTAATACTAAAGTATTTTTTTACAGGGTAATATGCAAATGGCGAATATGGGTTACGATGAAAATATGCCTGCGCAAACACCGGCTGGTGGAATGTCCGAGCGCATACATTCACCATGGCAAGGCGACTATGATTTCCCGCAGTCAGTTGATCCAACGGAGGAACAACAAGTCGACGAGTCCGACGAGCAGTTCGAGGAGCGTGTGTTGAACAAACGCGCGTACCAACTCTTCACGGCTGTCAAGAAGAACTTTGTGGTCTCTGATCAAATGGTATTGACTGATATGTGCCATCGAAATACGAAAAAACAGGTATTTGATATAAAAAACTTTATTGTCTTTTTACTTACCAAAATTTTATTTTCTCTTTTCAGGCTGCGCAAAAATTCTACAGTTTACTAGTTTTGAAGAAATTCAACGTTCTGAATTTGGCACAAACCGCCGCGTACACCGAAATCTACATTACAAAGGGCAGCACGTTCGATAATCCGGTGATGTAAATATGAAGGCAGACGTCTATTACGACTTAGAATGCGTGATTACGCAAATTGTTGTACATATATATCAACGTTTTTTCTTTACACATCGTTGAAATGCGCGTTATTGAATGTTTGATTGAAGAAAGGAATTAAATTCGAAGGTAATTGCAACAAAAAAAAAAAACAAAAACAGGGAACAAGCATGTGACGATAAAAACAAATTACGGAACTAATTAGTCAGTATAGGACAATTTTTACTAGAACTACTAATATGAAATGACGATTATTTAGCACAATGTTCACGATCGTACTTAGTGCATCAAATAATTGCTTAATGTGTGTATATTTCGTGCACTAAGTACAAATTCACTGCGCTCAGTGTGTTACTTTGTTCAGTTTGTCAATTGAAGCAACACATTGAATTCGATGTACACGTGGATTGATACATTACGAATTTATTTACCGAACGCAACAAATAAGTTTCTTCGCATCGAATATGTGCTGTATACGGAGGAGGATTTTTTTCTTTATTGTAACTACTTAAATGAAGGTAGATAAGAGATGATTACTTTTGAGATGTGTACATTTATAAGTTATACATATTAGCACACACTTTATTATTAAGTTAGTACCTTGAAAGTGGTAGATTCAGAAAGATATCCTACTGTTATTCATATTTACATATAATAATATATATTTATATTCTTTTTTGGGGTATGCGCTGCATTGTGAGTGAATGCGATAAATGTTAGATGAAACAAAAATTTATATTTGCATTCAAAATGATGAGACCTTGTAGAAAAAAGTGAAAATGATGCATGTTTGGCGACTTATTGTAAACCTGCAGATGTATTTGTTATCGCATCTCGGAGGATTTCTTTTTATTTGTATAACAGTTTTGTTCTCAACTTTTTTTTAATAAAGAAGGAAGTTTTATTGTAATTTCATGCTTGTGGTATGTTCTAGATTTGTATAAAAAGTATGCTTTTTATTACCAAGAAAGAAAACTCAAAAGAATGGAAGAAGAAGGATACTAATTGAGCTTTGAAAATAACAATAGCCGATATACCAACATCGTAATATCTTTTATCCCCATCAAATGCGCGGACAATGGTCGCACCCCTCTTCGGACAACACATCCCTAATATTCGTGCGGGTGCACAATACGAAGACTCATATTTTCTCTTGGCTGGTCTCTGCTCCATGGAAATCTTAATCTCGCAACCGAGATTGCTTATTATTATGTGATCTGCAGGCAGTTTACTCAACGAGTCTTAAATACTGATATGAAAACAGCGAAACGAAAAACGCAAGCCTCATCAAGTTGTTTTCCGCGCGTTTCCAAGGGCGGCTCGAAGAAGGAGGGTCAAGTATTGAAGCATTTAAAACGGTATACCGCGGGAGAATAAGCACCTGGCCGGCGGTAATCTGCTCTTTTGTGTACCATCTGACGCGCTTCACTTGCTGCCGATGATTGTTGAGCACGATATTTCTCCGGTTTGCATTTACATTAGCTTCATTACGATTCGAGCGCGCACGAGTAGAATATTATCTAATAAACGTGATAGCATCTTAGGTCTTCATTGGGGGAGAGTGTGGGTTGTTTAATTTGAACACGACACGCGCTTGTTTGCTTTAATCGTTATGTTTATTACCCTCTTTAATCGACAAGTACGCTTATGATGGATTGTGATCTTATCAGTTAACTATAATATATACGTAATACGTTCAATTTCAATTGTGACTAGGCATAATAATACTTTTAGTAATGCTTAAATACTAAAGTTTTAAATGCATTTACAACACAAGTCATCATAATTTAACTTAACTTTATATTTATAAATAGTGTTTTAAATGTTTCAGATTACTTCGTTTCGGCATCATCGCTGTTAAAAGCCGAATAAGAGCTGGAAATTAAAGCGCTCGTGTGGTAACACGGATTATCCGCGCACAGTGGACACAATGATCCTGCCACCGAGCTGAAACCGCCAAGAAGTTTACGGTAGTGATGATCCAGGTGAGCTTTCTCGATGCGTTTGTCTTTTGCACGTCGATTCTGAAACCAGATTTTGATTTGCGTCTCCGAGAGTTTTAAAGTTTCCGCCAGCTCACAGCGACGACCACGGCTGATGTACTCGGATCGTTGATATTCGATTTCTAAGCGTAGAGTTTGTTCACTGCTGAACGTGGTGCGTTGCCTTCGGGGGCGTCCTTCTTTGCGTCTTCTTCGAGCCACTAAAAAATCAATATTGTTTCTAATTTCCAGCTACAGATTGAAATGTTAAAGTAATTAGTTTTAAGTTTTGGATACGCGCTAAATGATGCTTGAGAAAAAGATGTGTGTGGTGGTAACGAGACCAGATGGTCACTTTGGGGTAATGAGTAAGATAATGTGTTTCCGATCAGCGTAAACACGAGACGAATCACGGCGAAAGCGGCATATGTTTCTGTCATGTTACTTAATAGGCTTCAATGCTTAACGTTTTGTGGCCGTGAAGTTGTGACAGCGTGAATCGCGTGGGCGCGCTTGGGGTGTAAGCAATTTAATGCAGTCGGATGTTCGCACGGCTTGCACCCGGAACGAATCAAGCATAATACCTCTTGAAGGGATTCATCATCATCATGATCCTAATAATCACCAGTGAAATAATTTTGTTTTGGTCATCTTGTGGAGATATATTAATTCTAAATAAAATATTTTTAGTTTAAATTAACTTCTAGTACAAAATTGATTAATTGGAATCAACTACATCGAAATCAATCCGTTCGGAGACTGGCTTCGTTCGTTTAATAACGACGATTATTGGCTGACTGTAGCCTAATCCTCTTAACAAAATCTTCGCCGCACATTCACACCGCTTTCGACAAACAAGCCATCCCGAGCAACCAAACGCAAAAAAACGCCGAAGAGGAAATTTGTATATACATATTGAGACATCCTGCGAGCTTACGCCTCGCGGCGAAGGATTTTCACGCGATGCTGCACAATGTATAACAACGTAACAAGCCGAGGCGGCGACGGAAGCGCGCGTAAGTCCACAACAATACAGCAAATGCAAAATATTATTATGATGTGATTACGCGCGCACGGTTGAACAATTCCAAATATCAAATTGGTATTACGGACGCAACGCGATTGCTGTGAATGCGTTGGCGGCGGCTGGAGTGGGGGTGGGACTCGTTGCACATGGGGCGCATTGTCACCATTGTCATTCTTGCGCCTTCCAATCGCGTTTAAATAATTTCATGTTTCGAGCACATTATTAACAAACAAACAAACAAACAAAACCACGCGTGCAAATATAATCATTATTATATTAATTAATATTTGGAACAATTATAATTTACAATATTAATCTATATATGAATTTAAATATCTAAAAATATACTTACAAAATGCCGAAAGTCCTGCAGCTGCAGCAACACTCAACGGTCCTTCGTGTCCTGGCAATAAAAACTGCAAAGGACTTGCCATGACAGGTATCGGCGCCACAATATTATTATTTTCTACAGCATCTCGTTCGGAATCTCGTTTAGAATCTTCTTTATTAACACTTGTTTTTTCTAAATGTCCGTAAAGTCTTTCAAAAAAATCTCGTGGAGTTGACGGTGCACTTTTTTGTTTTGTTTCCGCATCCATTTCAATTTAAAATTTATTTAAACTTCAAAACACTTGAAGAACAAACTCGTAGAAGAGTTGTCAATGAACTACTTGCACTTTTCAAGAAACGAACTAAATTGCGTCCGCTACATGCTGAAAATGTGGGCGGGCGTCCCAAATAGAATCGCGGGGGCGGTGTTATGCGTCCACCAACCCTGCAATCCTGCTACGCGTGCGTTTCGAACGCAACGAGAGAATAGAGCTGCGACTTGCGTGCACGCTTCGCATCATCCCCAAGTGGTCACATTTTGTAGTAGGGTGGCAAGCACATGGTACTCAAGTGCGTACGCGTGCTAAACTGCGTGTAAACACCATCAACCGGATGCGGCGATTATGATTTCCGTGCGAATATTGAAATCCAAGTCTGATTCAATTAGGAAACGGGATATGAGCATTATTTCTTTGTGATTGATTTTTCAAAAGCCAAACAAATAGTTTACAGTAAATAATTAATATTTAGTTACATGAATAAACTTTGTAAAAAATATTTGTATTTATATTAATACGGTATGCGTGCTATTTTCACATGTTCACAACATTATGAATTTATGATGATTGCATATAAACATTTTCATTGTTTAGGATAATGTCAGTTCAACTTAATTGCGCTTTCATTGAGTATGAAACTGACTAAATTGTTTTTTGTCAAATTATGGGGCTTTTATTTCATGGGGAAAAATCGAATCGTAACTGCGAATGAATTTATTCTACCACAGACAAACAATGAAGAGATGGCGGATAATCTCGACTGTTTACAAAGTGTTCTTAGCGTCGTGAAGATGCGTTTTACTCTTTTGTGTTACGCTACTTCTGGTTACATCGACTCGTACGTAGAAAGTCTTATTGCAATTACACATCTTCGACAAATCATAAGTGTGGAACCAGATCAAAACATTGCGATAGATTCAGTCGATCGTATTGATTACGCTATTTTCGTAACTGACAGTTTTTCACTACTCGAAGATTTCTTTTTAAACTGGCATCGCTCGTCGAATTTCAACGCAAACTGCCACTTTTTTATTGTTTACGTTGGGAGTAAAGATATGAATGATATAATGGCGGTGGCCTGGCATTGGTATTCATACAACGTTGTTATGTTTGATAAGTATTTAAACTTTTACGTACCAAATAGATTTTCAGCGAGTAATTGTGAATTAACCACAATACGAATGCTACCAAGGTGTAACACGCGTGATATAGCAATGCATAGATTAATGCACGAAAACTTTATGAATTATCATGGCTGCCCTGTTAAAATCTTACCGTTAACGTATGTTCCTTATGTTATTGATGTGCACAGAACAGTAAAACCTGGTATTGAAGTGGAAGTGATCGAATTGATTGCGAAACAGATGAATTTCAAAACGCAATATTTAAAAACCTCGCATTTGACTTGGGGTCACATTTATAAAAATGGTACGATGACATTGATGTACAAAGATATGCTGGAAAGAAAAGCTGATTTTATGATAGGTATGGTGATTCCAGCAGATTATATGACGAAGTATTTTGATTTATCCGTGAGATTCTTTCCGAATGAGTTCAGATTTTACACTCCAAAAGCACAACTTCTACCGCCATGGTTAAACATGGCGGCTGTGTTCACTCTAGACACATGGGTGTCTTTAATTGTTTCATTTGTGGTATATTCAATAATTGTGTTTGGTTTCCAAAAACTACAAGCGTTTAAAAACTCAAAGGAAATCAAAGCGAGTGAAAGTTTATCAATGAACTTTATGAATGTTTTTCGGTTGACTATTCAACATACAATACGCATGCCCAATGTGACTATCAATCGCATCCTGTATATGTCCTGGATGTTGGTTGCTTTCATATTTTCCGCTTGCTATGTAAACACTTTGCTTTCATTTCTCCTGCGGGCAATCAGCGAGCATCAAATTGACTCATACGAGGATATTGTGAAGAGTGGTTTTACTATTGCTGGAAATAGTATTTTTAAAGAATCCTTTTCGGAGAGTTATGGCGATCCGTATGTGAGTCATATTTATCGTGTGTGGAATTTAACTGAACTAAAAGACGCAGGGTTTGTGTTGAGGCAAGTTGCGTATGGGAGAAATGCGATAATGATGACGAACCATCGACGTGTTTCTTATTTTATGAGGGAACAAAAAAGTTTCACTAAAGATGGCATTCCGGTGATGCACATTATGGAACCAAGTTTATCTTTGTCAGCGGCCATATTGCTGCAGAAGGGACATCCGTTGAAAACAGGGATTGATTTGTATATTATACGGTTTCGTGAGAGTGGAATCTTGAGTAAACTTGATCGCGATTCGAGCTTGGGGAATTTAAAAGTGAATGTTGAGGCGACTTATGCCCCGCTTGGGATGGAACATGTTTTGGGGGAGATTTACGTTTATTTATTCGGCGTTGTTTTAAGTTCTATTGTGATGTTGTTTGAAGTTTTATATAAATTTAAATGTAAACGTCGACATGTTCTAATACATTTTATTAAATAAATGTATTGTGTTACCACTGTCTTTTCTGATTCATATCACGATAAAAACACGATAAAATATCGACGTGTAGTTCAACACAGGGCCACAATTTACACTTTTAAGATAAACGTGCAAACATAAACAAACACAGAGATAACCAATGACTTTGGCACTAAGTCTTCATTGTCCGTTTGTCGTTTCGGCGTGTCGGTTATATTTGGTATAGTGCCGCAACTTGTAATAATCAAAACTGTTTGATTTGCGTTTTAATGATTCCATGACACGTTTTTACTCGTATATTGTATTTTTATAGTACGACATGTTTCGCGAATTACGCTTTTCAATTAACCGATTGGAAGACAATAAAGTGATTGAAGTGATGGAAAATGGATTGAAGGCATTTCAATAATCAAATATTCAAAGAGAGGACAACAGGGAAAAACTTTTAATTGGGGTGAGGTCGATACTGGTCTACAAGGTAAGTGGAAAACGATACAATAATGAGAAATGAATCGCTGCATCTTTGTGTTATTGTGTGTTATTGCTCTGTGGCTGCTTATACTCCGATGAGACAATGTTTTGTGGCCCACGTGTTGTACGTTGTACCACATACATTTCGCGGTGCTCATATGTTCAAACTGTTAAAATAACAAAATAATGATTTCTTTGAAGAAAATTATTACTGTAATTAATTTTTTACAAGGCTATCTATAAAACTTTTATTTTACTTTTTGAGTTATTTATAAAAATGTATTTTGTGTTATTGTGGTTTTACATAAAATAAATAATAAATAAGTATATCTAATAAAAGTTCGCTCCAAACATGTTCAATGTCTCATTTGGAGACATTCGATTGTTGAATAACTTGGAACAATTGTTAATACGAAACAAAAAAATATATAAATATGGCTTTAATTTTAATATTATTATATTTAACAAAACAATACTGTCTGCTACAAGGAAATAAAAAAAAAACGCAATAACAACAAAGCGATGGCTATCCACAGACTTGTTTACTACACTGCATTATAACACGTGAATTCATTAATTAGTCATGTTCATTATGGGTTCTCACCTTCCACAACAGCTCATATTTAGTATAATTTGAAACACTGCTTCACGATGAAGCTCACAACATTGATAGTTTCAATAAGTTGCTTAAACTTTGCTGTCGCTACAAACGAATTACTCGTACCAAACACAAACGATGAACAAATGGCGGATAACCTCGCCTGTTTGGAAAATGTCCTTGATGCATCCAATATGCATTTTGCTCTTCTGGGCTACGCCACTGCCGGTTACCTAGATACTTACGTCGAACGTTTATTCTCCATCACAGATGTTCGACAAGTAATTACATTAGAAAACAATCAAAAACTTGTGTTAGATTCAAACGATCGCATTGAATACGCCATTTTTGTGACGGATAGAGTGTCACTTCTTCATGGATTTTTCGAAAAATGGCACCGCTCGTCATATTTCAACTCAAATTGTAAGTTTTTCATCATTTACATTGGCGTTCGTGAAATAAACGATATCATGGCGGCCGCTTGGTCTTGGTACTCATACTACGTGGTCATGTTCGATAAATATTTAAACTTTTACGTACCGAAGAAATTCTCAGCGAAAAACTGTGAATTGACAACTGTAAAAATGTTACCGCGTTGCGACAAACACGACATACAAAAAATGATGAAATTAATGAATCAGGATTTCATGAACTATCATGGCTGTCCTGTGGACATCCTGGCATTAAAATACGTGCCTTATGTTATTGATACAGACAGTAAAACAAAACCAGGGATAGAAATAGATGTGATTGAATTAGTTGGAAAGCATTTAAATTTTACTACAAGATACGTGAATAATTCGTATACGACTTGGGGCGACATCTACAAAAATGGCACCATGACTTTGATGTATAAAGACATGCTGGATAGAAAAGCAGAGATTATGTTAGGAATGGTAATTCCCACAGAAGCAATCACAATTTATTTTGACGTATCTGTTAAGTTTTTGCATAATAAGTTTCGATTCTATGTGCCTTTGGCACAAGAATTGCCACCGTGGAGAAACATGTGCGCCATCTTTACTCTGGACACATGGTTGATCTTAATTTTTGCTTATATTAAATTTACCATCATTTTATACATATTTCAAAAGTTACAGTTGTTTAAAAACAGTCGAGAAATCATTGATAATCAAAGTGTTATCATGAATATTTTAAACTCTTTCTGTTTGACTATTCATCAACCAATTGCAATGCCCGAGGTCACAATAAATCGAATCCTATTTATGTCTTGGATTCTTGTGGCATTTATATTTACATCTGGTTTTGAAAATATTTTGCTTTCTTACCTCGTGCGAGCAACCACAGAGCATCAAATTCAAACATATAAAGATATTGCTGAAAGTGGTTATACAATCACTGGTAACAGCGTTGCCAAAGAATCTTTTGCGGAAAGTTACGGTGATCCTTACATTAGTTACATTTACCAAGCTTGGGACATGACTGCCCTGGGAGATGCTACTAATGTCATGGATAGAGTTGCCTACGATCGCAATGTGATAATGATGACAAATCATCGACGAATTTCGTATTTTATGAAAGATGAAAAGCGGTTTGTTAGCAAAGAAGGCATACCAGAGTTGTACATGATGCCTCCGAGTTTTTCACTATCAGCAGTTATGTTAATGCAGAAAGGACATCCGTTGAAAACAGGAATTGATTTGTTGATCATTCGGTTTCGTGAGGGTGGCATATTTGACAGACTAAATCGTGATATTAGTTGGGATCACTTTTACGAATGTTGTGCAGACAACTTATAAACCACTTGGAATTGAACATGTTTTGGGAATGCTTTATATTTATATCATCGGTATCACGATCAGTTTTCTTGTATTTGTAGCCGAAAATGTATTTAAATTTCACGCGAGTGAATGTTTTTCAACGTAGTTTATAATAAATTATAATATGTATGGTGTTGTTCTTTTATCTATTATTTGGTCATTTAACTATTATCACAAATATCAATTGTGCTTTCTGTGCACGTACGTGTTCTACAGGGTTGTTTGACAAGGTTAATAACACAATGCATAACAATTTCCTGCTCTTGATATAATTTCATTTCCATGTTCAGTAGAATTCCATAAACTGCGACGCAATGAAGCAGAAAACATTACTTTTGCTTTCGGTTATTAGCAATACCGTATTGCCATTTCAACAAAATCAATACACCGTTTTAAATGAATTACTACTGCCTGAAATTATCAATGGTACAATAGCGGAAAACTTTGAATGTTTAAAAAGTGTTGTTAGTGTCGATAAAATGTACTCTACGCTTTTACTTTTCGCCGATTCGGAATCATTAGATTCATATATCGAAAGTTTACTTTCTATTATAAATATAAAACGTATTGTTACTATGCATCACAATCAGAGTACAGAGTTAAAGTTAATCACACGTATTGATTTCGCTATTTTCGTGACACACAGTTTAACACTACTCGAAGACTTCTTCTACAGTTATCATCGTTCGCAATATTTTAACGCCGATTGTAAATTTGTCATTATTTACATTGGTCCACGAGAAATGAACGATATTATATCAGCGGCTTGGCAGTGGCATTCGCACTACGTGATTATGTTTGATAAGGATTTATACTTTTATGTTCCAAAAAAGTTTTCGTCAATGAATTGTGAGTTAAAGACAATGCAAATGCTACCGAAGTGTAGCATAAATGATTTGCAAGCAATAAATGAACTAATGCGCGAAGATTTTATGAATTATCACGCATGCCCTGTTTATGTGCTTGCCTTAAAATATGCTCCGTATGTTATTGACATAAGCAGCAAATCAAAGTCGGGGATTGAAATTCATGTTTTTGAGCTGATTGCGAGAAAAATGAATTTTAGAATTAGATATGTAAAGAATCAGTATACAAAATGGGGCGAGGTTTATGAAAATGGTACGATGACATTGATGTACAAAGATTTACTAGAGAAAAAAGCGGATGTAATGTTTGGAATGGTGATTCCCACTCATCAAATGTCAAAATATTTCGACATGTCTGTAAAGTTCCTACCGAATGAGTTTCGATTCTATGTTCCACGAGCGCAGCGGAAACCAACATGGATGAATATCGCTTATGTGTTTACCTGGAATACATGGATAACCTTAATTCTTAGCTATTTTGCTTATTCCTTAATATTTTACATTTTCCAATGCTTACAGTCATTTAAAACCTGTCAAGAAATCAAGTCAAATAAAAGTTTACTCAAAAACTTAATGACTTATTACAGTGTGACTATTCAACAACCACTAGAAATGTCCAATGTTACCATAAATCGAATTTTGATTCTGACATGGACGCTGGCTGCTTTCGTGTTCACATCTTGCTACGTAAACGTGTTACTTTCTTTTCTTTTACGCGCGGTTTACGAACACCAGATACAAACTAACGAAGATATAGTTAAAAGTGGCTTTTCAATCAATGGCAATCGCATTGCGAGAGACGCTTTTCCGGAAATTATAATGATGCCGTCGGTGATCACATTTTCAATGTCTGGAACCTGACAGCACCTGGTGATGCCACCCTAATAATGGAAAAAGTTGCCTATGAACGTGACGCAGTGATGATGACGAACCATCGACGCGTTTTATACTTTATGCGTGACGAAAAGCGATTCATCAAAGATGGCGTCCCGGTAATGTACATGATGCCTTCACGACTTGCGCTATCCGGTGTTATATTAATGCAAAAGGGGCATCCTTTGAAAACAGGCATTGATCTGTACATCACACGGTTTCGTGAGTATGGAATTTTGCATAAACTAGATCGGGACTCGAGTTGGGATAATTTAGATTACATTTACGAAACGACCTATGAACCTCTTGGAATTAAACATGTTCTTGGGATCTTCTACATTTATTTAATAGCCATCAGCATAAGTTTGATTGTGTTTTGGATTGAACGTTTGTGTATTAAAGAGTTTTGGTACTGAAAGTATCATACAAGTTCCTCCAATAATCGACTTTCTTTGGGTCATAAATTCCCTGCGTTAAATTATTACCGATGTTTAGGACATTAAAAGCGTCATGACGTATTGGCAGCCATTGTTGATAGTCTAGCAATGAATCATTTGTGATAATCGGCATTCCAAAGATGGCGAAATTTGTCCACAGCGTTACCAACCGTTCAATTGCTATATCATTAGCACTACCAGGTTCAATCTTAGGCGTGGTGCTTTTTTTGAATAAGTATCCAAGTTCATCTCCATGACAAGCTCCTTTTAATCCTAAAGCATCTGGTGATCTTATTTTCGACCAATTCAAATCAGTATCCAGACTAAATTTGTAGAAATAAACATTGCTCCACTTGATTTGCTTTTCCACACATCGTATAATGTCAAAAATAAAACTGGAGTAACCCCATACTTCAATCCAAGTTTCAATATCTGAATAATTTTGTGTTGGGAAGAAATCTTGATCAATTTCCAACGCGGCAAACGATCTTTTCTTGTAATAATATGGAACGAATGTGTCGATGTCAAAATAGCGAGTTGTGTTCTTTAAATATTTGTAGACGTAGTAAATAAGGCCTTCTGCGTCCAGTAAACCGAAAATCACAGGGCGACGATGATATCTTCCTGTTTTGATGAGAGTCCATGGATTCTCAGACATAAAACTGTTAGGTCCAGGTTTTTCTATGACTAAACCAGCTGCCGTTATTTTATTTATAGTTAATCTCTGGAAATAGTAATATATATTAGTTAAAATATGTAAAATAACATTAAAAGACGAAATAAACTCACATAAACATCAATTTTCTCTTGTACATCCAATATTTCTTGTTCGGTCAAATTTCGTAAACCTTGCATTAATTTTGTTCCGTTCTTGGTGTCTAGACCCAATGCTTCGCCAATATATACTGCAGAATTATTCATTGACAATCCTCTTGTAAGAGCGGTGCCACTTTGTACAATCGCCCTATGAAATAGATCTACAAAAAGATTTACAATATTTTTTATGTACACAGAAGTACAAAATTAATACTTTCAGTTAATGGAGACAGTAACAAAGCATGCACTGACACTGCTCCAGCACTGTTTCCGAAAACGGTCACACTATTTTTGTCTCCACCAAAGTGTTCGATGTTCTCTTGTATCCATTGCAAAGCAAACACTTGATCTTTAAATCCGTTATTTGAAGTGATCTCATTTGAAATACTTGGATCATCAGGATACTCATAATTTAAGAAGCCTAAAATTCCTAATCTATAATTAAGAGTCACCAAGACAATGTCTTTTGTTAGTAGAAATTCAGGTCCAAGAGTTGTGTCAGGGTTGCTAGAACCACTTGTCAATGCACCCCCGTAGAAGTACACCATGACAGGATTTAATTCTTCTTTCTACAAAATTTATCAATTTAAGATAATGTCCTTTAGATTAAAGTAAATATAATTAACTCTATGAGTGAAAACATTTAAATATATGCAATCTTCAGTGCTGAAACCTTTGACATCTTGTAAACAATCTGGAGCAATTTGAGTTGCATCGAGTGTATCGTTCCATTGCTCTGGTTTTTGTAATGGCTGCAGATTAGAATTGATAAACAATTTATGTTTATTTTGAGGTGGTTTTCTTACTTTAAATCGTAAATCTCCAATCGGTTTCTTACCGTACGGTATTTTCTGAAACGCATAAAATGGATTCCCATTTTTGTCGTTCAGAATTTTTCCCCGTAGCTTCCCACTTGAAATTGTTACTAGTAAGGGATCAGTTTCATCACCCAGAGAAAAACTTATAACTTGCAATAAAACTAAATAAATTTCAATCACAAACAATATATTGGAGGACATATTAAAATGTTTATTCGGAACTTAAAGAATAACAAAACCTACTGCGTAGTAACCAAATAATAAATACTGCAATATCTGATAGGTTTTACCTGCATACCAATCAGTATTATTTATTGTGGTGTCAATAATAAATATTGCAATATCTGATAGGTTGTACATGCCAAAGTTTATGCATGAACAAAGCATGAACGGTCGATGTTTAATGAAGCAATATAGTTCGATTGATTACATATTATGCATTTATTCAGCGCATTGTATTCATAATTACATTCCCTGCTCGTGTTATTCGGCCTTTACAGTTGGAACAACATTGTCAGGTGAATATTGTTCGTATTGTTCAGGACTCACTTGTAAATATTCATCAACGGGTACGAATGAAGCACCTCCGAAATAATCCAGAACACAAACTTGTTCAATGTCAATTTTTGCTAGATAAAACTTATGAACTGTAACAATAATTATAGCTTCAAATAGTATAACTTCATTATATTAATATATATATATATAAATTACCTTTTTCCCAAGACGCCATCACAGGATGCTTGGTGATTAACGCAGTGTGAGCAAAACGAAATTCGTCGGTTCCGATTGGTATCTAAAAAATTAATTAATTGTTTGTACTGATTTAATTTGGAATTTTGCGTTGAATATTAATACCTGTAATAGTTTTCCTGTGATTATAAGGCGGCCACATCTTGGATCTTGAGGATCGTATTCCTTTTTAGAGCAGTAAGCAACTTCAGCTAAACTTGCCAACACAGTTACTCGATTATCTACCTAGAAATAACAATTTTTTGCATTTTTGTTTTGTCATTGTGATACAAAAAAATTACTTTAACGTCTCTGCCACTCAAGTCCAAATCAGTCATCAACAAATACGGAATTCCAGTACCATTTTTCGCTGGGCCATCAGCAACTGATTTCAAATTGACAAATGGATAACTTTTAATTTGGTCTAATGTGGAAATTGTTGCAATGGATATCCAGTCTATTTAAAGTTGTCAAAAGCTGTATTAATTCGGTTTAAATTACGTGCCTACTATTTTTCTTACCAACATTGTGGATAATATACCTTCCCATTTTAGCCTTTTCCGATGGTTTTGGTATACTTGTTCCTTGGGAAACCATCAACGCCACAAGAAAAATGCTTATTGCGTTGTATTTATGCATATTGCTAGTTTTATGCAAATTATTGCCAAATTTCAGTAATATTTAAAACGTCTAGTTTACTGCGAATATATAGTTGTTTCTGCTGTGTCTCGTGACATTATGACCAGAAAAAACAATTGTGTTTATGTTGACCATCAGGCCACATGAATAATCATATAAACGAAGTTGATTCATAAACATCTATCAAAGCATTACTCTCAAAGGTCAATCTATTCAAGCACTGTGTCAGCAATAATCCAACTTGAACCACAACAAACTTATTATCATTGTTTTTAAAAAGACATTCACAACCGCAATTCTGCGTTGATATTTCTGGAACAAAACAAAACAAACTGATAAAATTTAATCCACTTACTCACTGAAAGAGTCACTAAATATTTATATGCCAAATCATCTCACAATATAACGAAACATATTGCAGTTCTGTAATTTTCAGAAATCTTAAGTTTAATTTTATTAAAGAAATATAAAATATAAAGAATTAAAACAATTTGCCGGTACATATACTGTTAACATATTCATTTAATGGTCGACCATTTGCCTCCACAGTAATAGCATTGTCGTTTTGAAACCAGCTACCAAGTGAATCCAATGAAGCATGCAGTTTTAGAGTAGAATTCGCCTCATTTGTAGTCGCGTAAATTCTTATTGAGCCTTAAATTACAAGATTAAAACAAATAATCAATCTATATTATAAACTACGACCCACCTTTGATTCTAGATGAACCAATCAGACGCAAAAATAACAAGTACAATGGTATTGCCGATAACATATTTGCTATTCGAAACATTACTTTGCAAACTAGTAGCACCACAATCCTAAACTAAAATTAAAAATTAGTGCTTGCTGAAAATATAAATACACCTTCATATTACCAATGTAAAGACGATGTAGTACATAAACGTTGTTGGCAATAAAAATAACAATACTGTAAAGCCCAATGTTCCAACAAACAACTGATTATGTGAATACTGGAACGAATCCACTCGGTTTTTTAAGGGATTGTGTTTTCTTCCAATAAATAGTCTCCATAGTGATGTAATTGCATACATTTGTACTCTATAAAGCCTACAATTTAACAGATTTATTAATTTAGAAGTACCTAAATGCTTTAGATGTTACCTTGCTGCATAAACATAAATGCAGTACACATGAAAAGTAAGAAACATAATCACGTCAGCACATAGAGCAATCTGATAGCTCAATCCCAATGAACCCAAAATAACAAATCCATACAGAATACTGGATGATACAATCACAATGCTTTCAATAAATGCTTTCCACAGTGAGATGTGATAGAAGAAGAATATGCCAAGAGTATGATTCAAGGCACAGTTAAGCTTTAGTCCGGCAGGTGATCCCATTAATATTTCCAGTAAGTTTTTCAACTCATCAATAACATACTACAAGTTTAAATGAACATATGCTATATTTATGAGTTTGAGTTGAATTACCTTTGTGGAATGTAAAATTGTCTCCCAAATGTTTGATTTATGTTCCAAGACAAAGTAAAGGGCAATGACACCCAAAATAAAGTCAAATACTTTTGCAGAGAGCAAGTTTTTGGTAATAATGGCTTTTTTCTTATTTTCTTGTTGGCAATTGGTGGAAAATGCTGACATTTCTGATGTGAAATGTGTGTACCAATGAAGTCTCTGTAGGAATGAATGTAACCACTGTAACTTCTAAAAAATATGCACAAGTTAAATTATGAAGCTGTTGAATAAATTTACAGCAAATTTTAATATACCTCAGATTTAAGGATAAAGTGTAAATTTATATAATGAAACAGAGTTTCATATACACAAGATGAATTTCTTGTTTGTAATTTTTCATCATGATCATTTCCAATATATTCATGTAGAATATTAATGCAGTTTCTGTTTGTTTTTTCATTATTGGAATAAACATTGCCAAGAGTAACACTTTCCTTAAAAAGATTATCATCATAAGATAAACATGATATTAATGGTTCATCATCTGCTGATTGTACTGGTATACTCTCATTGTGTATTAAATTTTCTTCAGAAATACTTGATAACTTTAAACTGAAGCCATTTTTGTATACATTTGCATGAGTTGTCTCTCTTTTCTCTATGTTTGGCTTGCATATAAAACATATATCTAAAACCTTGTTTGCTTCTTGATTTCGTATTAATTTACCACCTATTGGATTGGGTTTATTTGATAACAAAAGGATAATTTCTTTCTTTTTGTGCATTTTGTTCGTCGCACTATACTCATTTGTTTGTTTTTATCAGGAGCACACATTGATAAAAACAGCTGGAATGTTGAGGTTATTGAGCATAAATTTTAGTTTTAATGTAATAACTATTTATTCTGTGTTTGTACTGCATATTATTATTTTGTTATAAACATTTACAATCAATCTTAATGTAAATGATAGCTAAAGAATCAGTAGTTATCATTTCAAAAGTAAACTAAGAAGCATTAGTGAGAACAATCACTACTAGATGTCGCTAGTGGTACTACATCGAGCATTTTAATCAAGTAAATACTTCGAGCAACATTTTAACTTATTTCTGTCAACTGCCTGAGTTCATTCTCGTCTTGCGTTTGTTTTAATACCATAAAATACGAGAATGAGCCTTTCACCAGCTAAAACAACATCGTGATTACATTGATTTTCTGATTCTGATGATTTTATGTATTAAAATACCATCATTAACGTAGGCATGCTTAAAGGAACAAACTTTCCTGCCGTAATATACACTGGCTGTTGGGCACGTGTTATAATCATTTGCACCGCAAATGTTATGATTTTTGATGAACCGATCCAATCGATCTCGGCCGCGGCCTGCGCTATCTTCTCTGATTCATCGCTCAACTCATTTCCCCAATAACAATAGGAACCAATTTGGCAAGCAATACACCACCAATAAAAGAAAAAGTGAAAGAATTCCACGCTGCCTATTGGTTCTAGCGAGGCGAAAAACAGAATGAAACACATTAGAAGTACGCTGAACAAGAAAATGAATAAAATCATTAAACTGCATAGACTTTCCATTTCTTCAGCCAGGTTCAGAACGTCTAAATGATGTTTGATGTAGCTTCGCATCAGTACCTCCATGTTTTTATTCACGATTGTTTCATTATCGCGATCAGCTCCTGCTTGTTGTTTAGCTCGCGATTTTAATGTTCTACGAGAATTCATGCGTAGAAAGTTAATGAACATGTTTAAAATGGATAAATTGGATGATTGGATTGATTATTATATCTCGTGATAAATATTTTTACCTTAGACTATTTGCCATGATTCTAAATTGTATTCCAATGTGAGCCGTAATGGCACTCATCAATAAATACGAAGTGAGCGTGATATACGCAAACGCAATTATTTCAAATAATTGATAAACCACTGAAATCTCAAAAATTGGCCATTCTTTCTGAAATGCTCCGATTGACATCGGTGCAAACGGCATTTCCCACTCGTCTCTTGGCTTTACAATACAGAAATACAAACACTCCAAGAAAATAGACGTGATAGTGATGAACAGAAATATTGAGAACACAATGTAGACTATTTCAGTTATTAGAACAGTTTCTCGAATCCAACGTGATTCAGATGAGCCACTTCGAGATGCGTCAGGAGCAAACGGAGGATTATGAAGAGAAGTCATTATTTTTCCGATTTTTTTACGATTAATATACATAAGCATCAGTTCAATGGTACCTTAAAATATATCTAGAAGTAAAGTTATGATAATTATTTAGAAAAGTTACCCATTGCATGAGTAATTGCATAATTAGCGACGTTGATTGTTGGTTTACTAAACTTTTCCAAATTAAATTGAACAAACAATTCGTAGATTTCCAAGCCAAGGAAAATCACCACCATATTGAAAAGTGACACCAACGAGAAAACTCTGTAACCCACAGTTTCATCTCTGAGCATTTCAATACCCAAATATCTTAAAATTGGTACCTATGAAATAAATATATTAAAAAAATAACATTTAATATAATTTCTTGAGTAAAACTAGTAATACTTCCATACGAAAATAATCTGATGGTAAATTAGGCTCTGTTAACTTTTTTATGAGGTTCCCCATCTTGGAAAGTTGTGAAATTAATTTCCAAAAAGATCTCGTCTTATATAAAGCCCACTTCAATTAAATAATTCAATACTTTAATAATATTTTATTTATATCGACGTGAATATGAACTACAACTTTTGTTGAGTAACATGTTTCGCTTTGAGGATATCGTCAGAAACTGTCAAGTTCCTGTCAAGTTTCTCAACGAAAATTGTAGTTCATATCCACGTATAAATAAAATATTATAAAAATGTAAACATGAATTACGTAGATTCGGAAAGGAAGACAAATTAAATAATTGAATAGTTTCATTACTAAACCTGTCAAAAGTTAGAAGTTAGCAGTAAATGATGCATTTATTGTATTCTATATAATTATAACGTCACGTCAATTATGACTTTATCCCTGAAACTAGTTTTCAACTCATAATTTTTATAATAATCAAATTTATAATAAAAACAATTTATTAAATTAAAAAATAAATAGAAACATAAATATCAACAATAAATACAAAACTATTTTAAGAGTTAACACTCATAAAAGTAAAAATGATCAAATAATAACATATTCATTCCCTTGGAACCGAGTTATTTGTAGGTTACGCATGAACGCAGCGTCATCTGTTAAGTTGTTAACTTTCCTCCCGTCTGCTGTTTACGACTTCTTTGGACGAATCCTGCTGCCGAATCCGTATCGCTTGCTGTTTTTATCACCTTGACCCTCACTGCCCTCGTTCGCCTCATACTGCTCCAAATCCTCAGCTGGATCGAACTGCTCTTGCTCATCAGGTACATAAATCATCATCTCCTTCTGCTTGGACTGCCCACTTGTTTGGTCATTCACAGTCGGTCTCCTGCCAGATTCATGCAGCTGTGCAAAACTTTCAGCGGCATCTTTACTCGGCAGCGATGAGTAGAAACTTTCGTTAATTAACTCGCCACCAAGATTATCGTCGCCGCCATGTTGTCGCTCACGACTGTACCCACTTTCCTGCGATTCGTCATCGTCAGCTTGGAGAATATACTCAGCTGAAACATGCGACACTCGCGTGCCATCGTGTTTTGGTTCAACGTAGTTGAACGTATGCATCTCGGGTGGTGTCATTTGTTTATGCTGCGCTTGTGATTCGAGGAAAGCCGGATCCGGTTGGAAGAACTGCGGTTGCACCAACATCGTTTGATATGCATTGGACTGTTGTTGTTGGAGCATGTGTTGTTGCAATTGCGGTTGATGAAGCACGCTGTATGCGTAGCCATCTTGAACCGGAAGTAACCCAAACACATCATCAGTTGAGTGTGGTACCTCTGGTTTAAGAGGAGGTATCTCTGTAGGAATATCTTGATGAAGTAACTTATCTCCATGATCGGGTGATTCTGTGACTTGATATTGATGCACTAAAGTAGGCTGTGGTTTCAGGACACGCAGAGTTGTTGATTCGAAATGGGGTTGTAATAGTTGTTGATGATGGGGTGGTGGTGGTTTCGACTGATGTGGTTGATGAATATGCACCTGTTTGGGTTTGTCTGCCAAACTCAAATTGGGTGCTGGTATAGTATGAATAGGTCCTTTCTCATCATCCAGTTGTTTAATCATCACAGGTTGATTAGGAATCTGATTGGTTTGAATGTGGTACTCTAATTCCGTTTGGATTTTCGGCGAGGATAAGAACGGTTTCTGTTGTTGATGTACCTGTGGTTGAGGTTTAAGATTCCTCGATGGGAAGTTGTTCCATTTATGTGGTACCTTATTAGCAAAATTTTTGTTTAGCAAATTTTGTTGGTGTTGTATCTGTTGTTGAATGTGTTGATTCTGCATCTCTTGTTGTAAGTCTTTCTGGTATTTAAACTCATTTACGTTAGGAAGTTGTACTGGTGGTTGCGGTTGTGGTGGTCCTGCACCTAAACCCAATCGTTGTCTCATGTAATTAGATGGTGGTGGGCCTGGAGGTGGTCCCGGACGTCTTGGACGTTGATTCAACCCAGGTTGTAATGGTGGATACCATTTCTTTTTGAATTGCCCACCGAGTCCCGGCTTGTTATGATGATAATGTGCCCGTCTGTAGGCAGTCGGATTTGGCCCACCACCCTGTCTGAAGTTGTTTCCGTACCCTGGGGCATTCAACGCATTTGAAAGCCGGATGTGTATCAACCACAACGAGGTGAAAACTAACACGGCATAGATCTACAGAATAAGACAAACAAAAAAAACTATTTTATTAGCGCAAAGATAGGTAACACCTAATTAAATAAAGAAAGTCTCATCGAATTGATGAGTTGTTGAACTGTGTGTTTGTGTTGAAAGAATTGAAGATTGCGCTCAAAGGTTTGTAGGTCAATCGAAGTCGCCGCGATAAATTGGCGAAACTTTCAACCAGTTTTTTCTTGGTTTTTTTTATGTGTACAAAAACAATGATTACCTTCATTTTATTCCGAGTTAATTACACTGCGAATTATAAAATTGAAACAAAATAATTTTGTTTAATAAATATTTAACTCATATTGTTTATGCAGTTTCTGGTAAATTATTAATCCGTTGGCACTGACACTGAACCTATCGTCTGATTGTTGTGTCTTTGGCTTACGCGCGCAGAGCAACCTGTCGCGAGGAATCTTCGGCTAGAAACTAAGCAATTGGGTCAATGCCACCGTCTTAAGTACTCTTCGTACGCGCCGCTCACGATTCCTCGACTTCTTCGGCGCGAGATTGCTCGAGAGTTTCTCGCGCGCGCAGATGGAAGTGCGCGCGAGTGCGATCAACCTGTCGCCTCCGTTTAACCGCTTTTCTTTTCGTCCGAAGCATCTTTCTCTTTGCGCAAGGTGTAATTATATATTTATGTACTTTGTTTAGGCCACAACAAGTGGTCACGTGGCTTAACCATTAGATTTCTACATGTTAATCACTCACAACTAATACCCTCTATTGTTTATTTGTTAATATTTTAGAAAATACGTCTTAATACCCTGTCAATTAAGTTCGAACTTGAAAGATTGATTATGTCTGAGCTGGATGCAGATCTAAACGAAAATGTAGACTTTGCCTGCAAGGCAAAACATTCCTTGATCACCGCATCAAGTGAAACTTGTGCATGTACTTTTATCAGCAGCCGTCTAGCGCAAGACGATGCTAATAACGAATTAATTACGTTGATTTTATGTTTGCCTGCTTCTCGCTTGTAATTGGTACACAATCAGTGAAACGTCATCAGAATAAAAGTGGAATAAGTGAAGATAATGTGAATTTAATTAAATTTCTCTGATGCCACGTGCGCAAACAGCGGACAAACATCGAAAGCAACAAAAATTCGCGTTTTCTAAGCGAGTACCATCACAAATTTACTTCTTGAATATTGCACCTGTTGTTATGATTTATTCAAGCTTCATTAAAAATTGAATTTAATGATGCTGCAGATTATTTATTAATATTAATGAACGTATTAAACAATTGCTGGATTTATGGTTCGGGATTAATTATGCCTTTAGCGTTCGTTAGAAGACTTATAATAATGGAAATCGACCTGTATTCCTATTTCATTCAATCAGGTGCAATTCAATCTTTGCAGTTTGAACTCTCATGGAAACTTTTTTTTAACAAATCTACAATTGAATAGATACAAACAATCTAATTCCAGTTGAATGGAATTCTTTACATAGTCCTATAAACTTGTCTCGACAATAATTTCTCTATTTGAGCACGACTTTTGTAGGAAAAAAAAACATTTAAAATGCGCTGGAAATGCGAACAAGGCAAGAAAGTTTTCGGATGATATTCAATTGTCGACAAGGTTTGACAAGCAACTTTTATGAGTCGAGGTAATTTTTGTAATGTAATGAAATTTGCTCGGTTATATTTTATAGAATAATAACTGTGCTGGTGTGCTTAATTCAGCGACGCGCAATTGAAAAAGATGAAAGCATTACAATTCGTGCGGATTGTGTTTTGTGTTTGTTCTTGATACTAAATTCGCTGGAACATAAAACACACATTAAACCAACTTTAATAACATATGTTTAGCTATCAAATGATAATCTATAATTACAAACAGAGCTAGTTTCTAGATTTCTATAATTTTTTTGAAATTTTGCTCACATTTTGTTAGGTTATGATGCTAGGTTATGATGGTTTTATGAGTAGAAATAATTTAGTATAGTAAACATAAGAAGTCTAATAATTTTCAACTTGAATTCTTATTTGCTGCTTAGGTACAAAGTGTTTCCGTAAGTTTAAAATTTCGTTATTTACAGTTTTGGACACAAAAAGTTACAAAATTTTTACACAAAATATATATAATATTATACAGTTTAAATACAGATGGTACAAACAGAAAATTTAATAAAATAGCTTCCAATCATGATGAATTTATACACATTCTTCTATGAATCTATGCGCACGTGTGCGGCTTACAAATGGTTGCAGTGCGGTACGTGCTCGGGGTCCTCGCAGGTCAGGCTGGACTCGTCAAAGACCTTGCCTTCGCCACAGGTGATCAAACGCGGGTAGCCGTTGACGCAAGTAATCAAACGATGGCAGTCTCCGGGAACGGGGAAGCGAGGGTATGGCCAGAATTTAGCGGCGATACTGTTTGAGGGTACCTTTGTGGGGCACTTGAAACCAACCACAGCTAAAAACACACAATGTTAAAAATGTTTTGTAGAAAAATATGTTTTATTACAACCTTCTGGATTGCACTTCTCAATGAGAAGATCAGGCCAGTTGCAACCATGAATACGTTCGTCATAAACCAATCCAGCGTCGCATTCTTCAGCGTGGGGTTCACCATGAGCACATTTCACGTAATGGGTGGAGCATTCATCGCTGTGAGGGTAGATACCGAATTGATATTCACATCCGGGGGTGCTAATTGGAGTCACTACAATTTACAAACAGATAAAAACTATTTTTGAGGTTATGTGGTTAATTACAATCAGATTTTCTGTGTCCACACTCGACAGCCCAGTGGTAGTTGCAATGATGGTGTACGGCACCTTTGCCATCGAAAAGAAGTCCATTTTCACACTGTTCCACAGTTAGGGTTCCATTGGTACACAGGAAGAAGAGATTGCAAGACTCCGGATGAGCGTATGCCTGGATGCCATGTTGTTCCGGGCACGCGGGAGCATCCTCTACCAAAACTCCTCCTTCAACTACAAAAATACCCAATTAAATAATATAATAATATTTATCTTTAATCTTAATGGTTAATTGGACATGAAAAGTAATAAGCGGAAAGTTAGGAATGCTAGGAGTGAAATTTTAGAAGAGAAATTTCGCATTTTGTATTTAGAGGATATTTACATAACTACATATGTTCTGCAGGCCTGCTGCGCAACGAGAAATCATACCACGTGATTATCCATAGATACCAAAATTAAGATGGCTGCCAGCAATTTAAACACGAGCAAAACTAATACCCAATAATTTAGCTCTTTCAAGAATGGTTTTCTCTGTATATCTATGTTACTAAGTTAGTTGAACTACGAATCGAGGTTCGGCTACTAACATTTACCAACAAAACAACCAGTTATGTAGATTAGCATTAATAGCAGTGTACGTTGCTTATCCGTGCGCGAAACTTGATCGATTGCATAATTCCGTGTTTCTGCACGAAATATCACCGCGAAGTATATCGCACGCACGCAGTGCGCACGCGCAAAACACTCAAATGCTTTCCTTTTGCAGTGTAACATATGTTAATATTTATATTTCCTTAAGTAAGTTAATTTAAATCGGCCATAAAATTTGTGGTTATGATTTGTGGTTTTGTGATGTATTTGAAATTAATATTTTTGGTTGATTTGGTTTAACTTACCGATGGAGAAGAGTGCAAAGAGCGCAAAGGCCGGAACAGCACGTCGGAGCGCGAACATTTCGAATGAGTTGGACTGCCGGCGAGTGACGGTATCGATTGTTGATTTCGCCTTGGTAAATCACAAGAGTTGGTTTGTGCGTTCGTTCGCTTATCCTTGGCGACTAATCCGCGAACGGCCACGGCGACGGCGGCGAGCGCGCAAGAGAATTCTCCACACTCGTTCCGCGTGGTGCGCGTTGGACACCTTCGAATCGTTCGCTCGAAATTGTGAGCATAATAAGCCGCACCACGGTGTAAAACACTTTCTCGTGTTTCACTCGCCACCCGGCTGACCACCGCTAGCGTGCCAGCAACTGGTAGTTTTATTACAATCGCAAGAAATACAATTAACCGAGGTGAATTGGTTAGTATCGTCGTTGGTAACAATAGGTGCATTATTGAATAATAAACTTTAAAATATACTGAATTCCCGGAAAAATGGTTAAAAGTCGCGTGTGAAATTATTTGAATTTTAAGAGAAAACAAGATTTTAGCTGGATAATTTTTACCAAAAGTGTTTATATGTGTAAAAAGTCAATTTTATTTAAAAAAAATCTATTTTTAATCATTAAGTAAAGCTTTAAAGAAAGTAAAAGTTAAAAATTGTAAATGACAATTCAAATGTGCTGCTTGAATAACCAAAACCACAGAATATCCTTCAAAACTGCAGCATTTCATCATTGGAAGTATTTCAATCACGTATCGATCAAATCCATGTCATAATTTGTGTTTTACCTTGATCAACAAGTTCATTCTTCAGTATATCTTATTATTACATTACGCATTACAAATTTCGAACGCTCTCCGAAGAAAACCAGATCAACAACTCGAAACTTATTAAGTTTTAATTAAGTTCCCCTCCAATTACGCCAAATATTTTATTTCTACGCAGTTAATCATTATATAAACAGCGGCATATGCCATTGCTATACTTTCTTAATTGAAATCATTCCGTCGACTTTTAAATGTTAAATATTTTTGCTTCCGGTCATTTCGACTTCCTTCGCTTTTACTTCCTTCTGATTTACTTTTATATCTCGATTGTTTAACATTTACAATGCAGGCATGGCCATAACTTTGATGGCTATCGAATGATTTGACAAAAACGGAATTAATTTACATTTACATTCTAAAATTAGTAAAATTGATATTCGTATTCTAAACTAGTTTTGAAAGTTATTCTCGTTGTCAAAATTAATAAAGCATAACTTTTTCCAATGTTAAATAAACGTAAAATATACTAAAAGTATTAAATAACTTGTTTTTTTATATAAAAATTCATTTATTTCAATATAAAGAAATATGTCGATTTTATAACACGTTAGAATATGTAATTGCATAGTGTAGTTGCAAAATTTGAATACACAACAATTATTATTGTGCGATGCATGAAGCATAGCATTATTATAATTATTCATACTCTTAGAATACTAAACAATACTAGAAAGTAATTTTTTAAATAAATATAAGTCCACGTGCGCTCGTCTCGGCTGATAATTCAAATAATTCCATCTCATCGTCTTAGGAATGTTGGGATGCAAAATGGCGCCTTGGCTTGACTTTCTCTTGAAGTTTAGAGCAAGTACTAATTTTTCTTTCCGCCCGAAGATGGTTTTTCATCGTAATAATTTTCACTAAAACAAATATTAACCAAATCAAAAACTATTTCAATAAAAATAAAAAATAGTTACCATCCTGGGACATTAGCAGGATCATCACACATGAAAGTATCTTCATTGTAGACGCTACCCGCTGAACATGATCCTTTTTGTGGTTGGACGCCATTACGACAGATGTAGAATTTTTGACAGTCGTCAGGGTGCGCAAATGTGGGATGGGGAAGGGTACGACCGCCGGGACCAGTGACATCACCAGGAGGACACGAGAAGCCATCATCCAAAGAGTCTGGAAATATTTGATCATAAAATTATTTTTGTGATTTGGGGAAAAAGAATTTTTTTTACCTCGTTTGGCATTTGTGCAGTCTTTACGATGACTCTCCGCTGGCCAAGCGCAGGTGCTAGCAACGTCGTCATAAATCAACCCACCAGGACACGGTAGTTCATGTGGGACTCCATCGACGCAATTTACAAACTTATCGCAAGCTTGAGGATCTTCATGGCGATAATAACCGTTTGCGCGGGGACATCCTTTGCTTGGTTGAGCTTCCTCTATAGAAAAATCAATTTATTATCAATTAATTCACAAAAAAGAAGTTTTTGCAAAAAACTTACGTAGTTCTGTTCGGTCTTCACAGTCTACATTGGCTGGAATGTCACATCTTTCATGATTTGGATCCTTATCGTCAAAAACCAACCCGTCAGGACATAATTTCTCCTCCGCTACTCCTTTCGAGCATAAATAATAAACGTCGCATTGTACAGGATCAGGAAAGTATCCGGTGCGTTCTGGGCATTTAAATTCTTGTGCGTGGACCCCTAAATTATAATAAATATTTAATATCGATTTTTATTCAAAATTTATATTAAATATGATATTTTAATTTCTTACCCGCTAACAGCCCAACCATAAAAAATGATAGAAACCTCAACATTTTCTGGACTTTTAGTCAATGTGAATAAATTTTGAGCAAATCTCAGGATGCTCAATTGGTATTTGAGTCCGAATTGAAACTGAAGCAATCCGCAATGCGACCGATCACCCAAAGTCGCGCGCGCAGAGCAAGGCGAGCCGCGACGACGAACGGTGTTTCGTGTTTTGATATAAGAAAGTTAATTTCCCCCTGAAGCTCGAAGCCGGTGTTGGCGTGATGGCCGGTTCCTCGTCCTCGTCCTCGCCGTCCGCTGAATCTACATACGCATTACATTACAATCCTATCGCACATTTACTTACTTATTCATCTAAGCCAGCAACTGGTTATCTATATCTTCCGCCTTGCGCCCGTTACTTCGCATGCATCTCCGCCACTAATGAGGCGTCGAATGTAACGAAATTCCAACCAGTTTGTTAATCGAGCATCAGGTTGCACAAGAGCTCAAAAGTGAGAATTTGAACAAGATACACAGAGTTGGATTATTGTAAAGTACAAAAAATTGCAATTTTTCCGAGTTTGTGTAAAGAAAATTTGTTTTCTTTACAAAATATTAAATTTTATTTAATCAAATGCAAATGCCTCAATTCTTATAAATTCAAATTTCAAATAACCTTGCTCTTTCCAAAGTGTGCAATATTTTTTTCTCTTCTGAATTTTTTTCAACTCACAAAACAAGATTTAAAGATTAACCAGCATAATTTATTCGTAGTACTAAATCAACAGAAAAACATGTTTACTTGACTCACAAACGTGATTTCCATGCAAATTTTAACGCATTTTTATCGAAGACAAAAAATGTAACTTGATTGAATTAATTAAGTCAAGCGGTGTTAACTTTCACTGACGGCGTGAATCAAATCTAGGAACAGGAATCGAATTTGGAAGCGATCGATAGAAATTGAGACAAATCCAACGACGCATTGCGTCACATTTGTTGTGGTCTCGTGTTTCATATCCTTCCTTTAAGAAATCCACTCGTACGCGTACTCGAAACAAGTTAAGTGTTAACTTAAGCAAAACTAGTTTCTATCCTAGATGCTTATTGTATAATTTCATTTAATTAAAATTTCTTGCTCTTTCTCTTCGTATCGATTTCCTCTATTCTCTGAGACGCGGATATTTAACATTGCGCAATGATAAATAATACACCTAGAGTGTGATCGTTTTTCATATTTTATTTCCTAATCGATTAACATTACATTACACATTATTATCACTAACTAATTAGAATAAGAAGTCTTAGATTACAAGAGTATAAAAAATGAGTCGTTGTTGGCGTTGTTGTGTAACAACTGAATTTCTTCTCGGCGTGGTCGGGCTCGAGTGTATGTGTGTATTGGATCAAGTGAAAGCTAAAACGCTTTCCCTTGATCAAAACGCACTACTCGCTAACCACACGCATATACTCTCCTCGGATCATGGCATCGTCCAGGAGTTTATTGTTTCTTTGCTGGTTTTGCAGCTGGTTCATCTTTGTACCAATCCTCACTGAAAATCAAAGACATCGTTTAAATTTTTGTCTTCATCGAAAAAAAAATCATTTTTTACCATCCAGGGACATTTTCTGGTGCATCACAACGTTGTGTATCCTCATTGTAGACTTCACCAACTTGGCAACCCAAATCCCTGGGTTCCATGCCATTCAGGCAGACGTAGAAGCGTTGGCAGTCGGTGGGGTGCGCGAATTTCGGGTGCACAACCAATTGGCCGTTGGCGTCGGTTTGCTCGACCTTGGGGCATTCGAAACCGTCCTTGAGTTTGTTCACCTTGCTGTCATCACAGCCCTGGCGACCAGCGGCAGATGGCCACACACAAGTTCCCGAATATTCATCGAAATGTAAACCATTGGTGCATTTGATCTCAGTAGCTTCACCTCCGATGCAATTGTAGAAGATGTTGCAGACATGTGGTTCCGGATGCGCGAAGAAACCGTTTTGACGTGGGCACAGACGGTTACCAACTGGGGTTTCTAAAATAATTAAAGCAAGGAAGAAATTAATGTAGAGAAAGTAGTAATTATTTTATTTTTTAACTTACGTAATTCGGTACGGTCGCCACAGTCAACATTGAAGGGCTGGTCACATTTGTTAATCTTACGAATCAACGGGTCGAAAACCAAACCGTCCGGGCAAAGTTTCTCCGTGGCGAAACCGTCAACGCACTGGTAAAACTTGTCGCACTGGCGGGCATCCTCATACTGTCCGTCTTTCGCTGGACATTTGTAGTTGGACTGACCATCTACACAAAAATCAAACCATCAAGTCTAATTTTTAGACATTTAAAATTTTACTCACTTGTTCCAATCGCTACTAAAGCCAACACAGCTAAACTACAAAAAACCTTCATTTTTGACTGCAGGAAATGAATTTTCTGTTTTAAATTGATTGTAAGTCCAGTGTGTGGTGAGTGGCACAGAATTTAATTGCGACGTGATGGGCCAGACGGTGAGCCGCGGACTGAAGCGTGATATCAGCGGGATATATTTATATAATAATCAGCGGCGGCGGTAGAAGTAGAAGTAGGTGTATTTCTTCACCGCGCAAACGCGCGCAACGATCGCGATCACCGACGAAGACACCGCACCATCGCCATTTGTCTTGCAATAGTGCATAACCATCGCGATGCAATCGCAATTTTTTATCAGCATAATTACCGAACACAAAGACCACGTTTCGTCATAAATGATCAGCATTTACATGTATGTCCATGCAACCCATTAATAACATTTTAACATGTGTAAACGTAACCCACACGCTAAATTTATTCCTGCGGATAGTTTTTTTGTGATTTTCCATTCTATAAATATCTCTCTGGATGGAATAAAATGTTCGCCTAACGACTTTCTGCATTTCTGCTGCATTTCGACATTCGATGGCGATTAAAAGTTCATTCGATTCAAGGTCCACAAGGTCTGCCCATCGACAACTATCACTTATTCCTGCGAGCGTTTTAATGGAGAGTACATGCCATTGAAATGAGTGTCTTTTACCATCATCATGGCGGCAATGTCAGTGCGTGGCAAAATGTTCCCAGCCAATTCATATTTGTTTATTGTGATTAGTTTTAATTAGTTTTTAAAAATTCCATGATTTAAGTGAAATTCCCACAATTATTAAAAAAATGTTTATTATGATTGAATTTCTTAATTTTTATGAGATTTAAGTCAAGATAACAATTGTAAGGAAATGCATTTGAAGGTTTATCAGGAGTGTCTGGCCATGAGGACCATGAAATTAATAAATTCACACATAAATCAACATTTTATTATGAAGTTGATGGACGTTTTGAGTGTCAAATTTGTTTTAATCTAATCGCCTAATATTTTATCAAATCACAAAGATTTATAGAAATTCTCAATTTATTGGCAGTTGACAGTGGATAGATTTCAATTGACCATAACCTCAATTATAAAGATTGAAGACTTTGTGTGCGGTGAATTGGTTTTATTTGCTTTCTAGATTCTAGTAAAAAACGTTGCAATGCATCGCAAGTTAGTGGAATGTTAACGACATTTCGAATAAAAACCCATAACCGCGCGTAATTTATTTAACATTTACTTTACTAGTTTATTTTTAATATTCTGCTGGCTTATGAAATGCAGTTAAATGCACTTTAAGATTCAACATATTCAATATTCTTCATGCGCGCATCTTGGAATTTGCCTCGTTGAACTTCTTTGCCCTTTTCATGCCTCGTACACACACTCTACTTGTGTAAGATATATTAAGTAGGCATTATATATTCGTCTGTTTCATTGTGTTCGTTATTTCGCTGACGTTTCGGGCGTTTACTTTCACGAGAATGGAGAATATATCGGCGATCGGTGTCTAGGGCCGCATCGAGTGAAAGTTTTACGCCACAACAGACACACACACATTCACGTCTTACTTGGTCGTTGGTATTGTTGTTATTCTTGTTATTGACGTGTTAAACCAGCTCCGGCCTGTAAATATCCCTTCTAAAAATTATTATTTTCAGTTAAATTAGACATTTTGTCATATAACCTCACTTATAACCTATTTTGCATGTTATTGTAAGCAATATTAGTTGCATATAGTTTTATTTAAGTCCGTCCCTGTGGAAATTAAGCAAATTCTCAATGAGCGTAGTTTTAAAGCAGGTTTTAACTTGTAACTTTTGGTTTTAACGAAATTGATTCTCTCGACTGAGATTATGCAAGACGAGTAAGCAAGTATGATGGTGGAAGTTGTCGGTTCCTTTTGGCTACTTCGATTACGGCTTACGACGATGGCGAACATGCGATTAGCTGGCCGCTTATGCGCATAAAAATGTAAATTAGTCGAGCAGGAGTGTTACGCTTGAATTTCACCTTGTAATGCGCTAACAACTTGCTAACTTTTTTTCCGGCTTGCTCTTCAATTTTAGCAAAAGAATAAGTTATAACCTTACGTGGTATTTGATTGCGACTGATTCTGGAAACTAACATATTACTATTCATTATTCAATGAGTTCAACGAATTGCTGTGATTTTCAGAAGGAATTTTATGTTTTTATTATGTAGATGACTTAGAAAGTTCACTGATATAATTCACTGGTAAAAATTAAAACCTTGAAATAAAGTGTTAAAATGGCGGTGGGGAAGGAACAATAATAAATTAAGCTTTTATTTGTAAATGAAATAAACGTTAATTTTAAATTTGTAATTGTTTATTATCAATTAAACAGTCAAAATAGATTGAAAAATGTAAAAATTTCTTAAAACAGACTTTTTGCGCCTAAAAACAGTGCTTATAATCTTAGTAAAGTAAATTACTCTTCGGCTTCTTCTTGACGTGCGGCAGGTTTCTTTTGCGGCCTCCTCCTTGATGTCCCTGATGCAGCAGGTTTGGGTTTACGTGTTGGTGGGTTCTCCAAAGCCTCTAGCTGTTCATCGGTCAGTTGACCCTTGTACCAATCCGCGCTAAACAAATAAATATCACAAACAATCAATTAATCATTCACTTAAACCAGTATTTTCGTACCATTCGGGGACTTTCCTTGCCCAATCACAAGATTTCCTAGTGTCATCAAAAACTTGTCCCAGCTTGCATCCATTTCTCCTTGGAGTTAGACCATTGATGCAGACGTAGAAGTATTGACAGTCTTCTGGGTCGGCATAGCGTGGATGTGTTGCTCCCACCATTTCGTCCACTTTGGGACAGTCAAATTGGAAGACCTCTAGAAATGCAAAAATTTGCTCAAGTTGAAATCTAGTTCAAGTTTATCATTGAGGTGGTTTACCTTCGGACGAGCATCCTTTCTTGTGCGCTTCGTCCGGCCAGGAGCAGATGCCGGCCTTGTCGTTGTAGACCAGTCCGTTAGGACACGTGATCATATTGAATTTTCCATCAACGCAGTAGTAGAACTTGTCGCAAACATTTTTCTCTTCATGTGAGAAGTAGCCATGTTTTCTTGGACAATGCTGCGATGGTTGGGGGGTCTCTGTAAAATTATTAGCGAATAACAATTGATTTTGTTACATTTCATCAGTTTATTGTTGTACGTTTAAAGAGAAAGCTAATTGTTCCCCGTGAATAGATTTTGAAGTAAAAAAGTTGTTGCTTTTTACGTTTGCAAAAAATTAAACTTTACTTACGTAGTTTGGACCTGCTGGAGCAGTCAATGTTGAACGGCAGATCGCACTTTTCGTATTCAGAACTGTAGTCATTAAAGACCATGCCGTCGGGGCAAAGCTTTTCTGTGATGGCGCCATCTTTGCACTCGTAGTACTTATCGCATTGCTCTGCGTCGGCGAAATAGCCATAGGGTTCCGGGCACTGATCGCTCGCACCGTCCAAAGCCTCCGGCTCTTCTTTCTTCTCTTCTTTTTTCTCCTGCTGCTTTCTACGATTATTGCCAGCGCCTGCCGCTTGGGCCGCACCTATAGACCATTTCAATATGTTTCAACATTGCGGTCGGCCATTTTGTATTTTATATTTATTTTTTTCAAACTTATTTTATATCAAGTTACATATTTTTCTGAATCGTGTACGTAATTATGTAATTATAGTTAACGAATGTTACTTTACCAATTATGAGGGCAATTGAAACGATGCACAATGTGGTCTTGAGGAAGCGAACCATCTTGACGAGATCGATGTGCAGAAGATGTTACAGGTACGGGCGTCGCGCTCCGTGTCGCTGTTGGTCTTCTCGTCGAGCGACTACTAGCTGTGGCTGGCGCTTTTATTCATTATTATACACGTTTATTCGCTGCGTGTGCACAGGTAAGCGCACGGTACTTAGTACGTGCTTGCGATACATTCTCTATTCTTGGGTCTCTCGACCTTGCGTCGGGTTTTCTTACAATAGGCGCACTTGCCTATTTTTGATATAATCACAGATATTATCAGTGCTAATTGCCCTGAGAACAATTAACTATTGATTTTGAAAGTTTAAATTATCATTTTTGGGTGAACTTCAATTTTTCCAACAATAACACAAATACAATAATAATTTATTGCAATGTTTTTGTGATTGTCTCGTATTTCTGACAAACAAATACAGTATATATTATGCATGTTTATATTTGTAACTATGTACATTTGGCTCGAAGAGCCAATACCTATTTCAGATTTCCCGCTCTTTTACGACAGGTTTTCACGGGTGTTTGCTGCTCGTACCCCCACCACTTTTTGCGGGTTGCGTGCAGCTAAAACAGTGCTCCAATGCGCCTCAATGTCAATCGAAACAGTCAAAACAAGTGTTTTTTTTTAAGAATTGGCAGGAATTTAAAAGTTAAAACATTAATTTATTTGCAGAAACAATTTATTCCTCTCAAATACAAGTGATAGCTACAAAAATTTGAAGGCTATTTTGTGTAGGCTGGAAAATGTTGTAAGTTTAATTAACAATAAATTACTAATAAACATTTGAAACTGTGCGAATCAGTAGAAAAAGTCTTTAAGTTAGACTTGTGGCGGGTTTTCAAAATGTTTATCATCTCATAGTTTTCAAACCAAAAATGGAATTTATACCTTCTATTTATATTTATCTTTTTCAATGAGTTTACCAAGTAGAAGCAGCCTTAATTTCACAAAAACTCTTTAAAGAGAGCACAATACATCTCATGAAATTAGTTACAATTAAACACCTGTCAATAAATAAACTTCAATATGCACACATGCATAAACTAAAACTAATGGCAAATGTCTTGTAATTAATTTAAGTACACATCTAAAGTTCACACCTGATTAAATCAGATCAAATAAACAGGTACTAGACTGTATCAACAGAAACATTGATCCTGAACACAGATGATGGATCCTGCAAGCTGAGCTTAATATTCTCCTCAAATCGTTGCTTGATGCTGGAAAACTCCATCACATTCTTTGGTTTACACTCAATCCAGTAACGATCAAATTCATAGAATAAATAACAATAAAACTGATGAAACAATCTTATTGTAGGCAGACTCTTAGAAGTGTTGTACACATATGTCTTGGCATTACCATCCTTCAGCAGCTGCCATGCCATACTGGTCAGATTGATGCCTACAATTGCAAATGCATATCCATATGTTGGATGATGGGAATGTGAGAGAACATGTGTTGCTGGTCCTTTGTACTCTTGAGCAAAAAACAACAAATTCTCTAATCCCAACAAACCCATTCCTCTAAAGTCTGTCTTTGGATCATCACCTTGGAATCCAATGTCTTGCCATTGTTTTGTTATTCTTGATTCAAGTGCCTCCTGTGGCATCAATGCCTGCCAAAGAAGATGTAATTTCTCTTCATGTGTTGGATCATCAGCATCATATTGAGTAGTTCGAAGTGCTTCCACATCAGATAAGAGCTGCCTGTAGCCCCAGATTTGTTCAATACATTTACCAAAACTCTTTACAAACTGATAATGTATGCGTGGATTTATCTTTTTCACAGCCAAAACAGTACTCACACTGCCCTGCAGGATCTCACGTTCATTGACGCCTGTGAAACGACGATTATCAGCCACATCATTCAAATGATTGATCAATTGTTTCACGTGAATCGAACGTGATAGACTTAGGGAGCGTTCTATATTGCGGGTGCGTGGTGCTCCGCTGACTTCGCCGTAGCAAATACGTTGTAACTCGCAAAGGCCGGTGGTTTTGCGAAGGAACCACTTGTAAATGGGGCGCACGTAGTATTGCAGCAGGAACCAAAAGTACGTGTACATTGCGAAGATAGTGATTTAGTTTGAAAACATATTTGTGTTCATTTAAAAAGTCAATACATTAAGCAAATATGACAAAGGCACTAGTTTCGATAAGTTCGTGGATTGTTTGTATCGTATTCGTATTTAGAGGTTATTCGAAACGTCAGAAAATTTGTTTTCTGCTTCTTGCATGTGCGGCGCTAGCTAGCAGCTAAATTTACATTTATTTTCATTTCTTGACAAATTCTGCTGAAGAATAATTGGTTCTATTAGTTTACTATTATTTAATAAATTTTAGTTTGTCTCCAACATGAAGCAATTGCCTGTGCGAAATTATTTAATCCTTCACCATTGCTATATACAACTTTTGTGATTAGTACAAAGGAAACCAACCAAAATACAATTTTCATGCTTAGAAGTAGTGAGTTTTATTTGTTTTAGGCGTTCAGAAAGCGAACTCAACATCAGAAGATAATCATATTTTCATCAGATTGACGGTATTCAAATTCATTATCATTTTTATGTTTAACTTTTGTAAAGGTAAAGCAAACAATTCCATTTTTGTGTATTGAATCACTAATTTTTGTTTGTTTTATGTGTGTAGCATGCGAATTGGACCGTTATGGATAGCTATTCTTGTATCAGATTGTATGTATTGTAGTTTTTTATTATTTTCATGCACTGCTTTTATAATTAACACAATGGTAAGGCAAAAAATTGCATTTATGTGTACGGAAACATTAATTTTTGTTTGTTTTAGGTATGTACCATGTGAATTGGACCATTAATGTAGCTATTCCAATATTAGATTGTAAGTATTGTAGTTCTTTATCAATTTCATATATCAGGTCTGTATTTAACACCATGGTAAAGCAAAAAATTGCATTTTTGTGTATTGAAGCACAAATCTTTGTTTGTTTTAGGTGTCTGGTAAGAAAACACGACCTCACAGGAGAGTTGTATTTGCATCAAATCGTAAGTATTGAAATTCTTTCTCATTTTAATTTATAACTTTTGGATTTAATACAAGGGAAATCCAAAATAGTTGAATTTTTCTGTTTTGTAACATTGATTTTTATTTGTTTTACGTCTCTAGAAAGTAAATTCGACTTTAAAAGATAGCTGTATTTGTATCAGTTTGTATGTATTAGAACTTATAGCAAATTGAAATCCTTTTCTTTTAAGTAGATTATTAACTTGTGACTGAAACTAACATGTAGAAAATAACATATAGTATTGTTTTCAGCTAAGTAAAGTTAAGTAAACACTTACTGTACGCTGTACGCTTGTTTTCAGCAAATTGATGCAAGTTCACGCCGTAGAAACTAGATGTCGCTAGTGCTTAAGACAGTTAATTGTTTTGGGTTGCCGTAACTAGATGGCGCAAGTATCGGCAACAGTCGAATGAACAGTCCAAAGTGTTTCTATTCAGTCGGTGTTGTTCTGCGTGTTTTTGTAGTTGTGTATGCCTACGTGTGTTATTCGTCTTCTTCTTTGCTTTTTGCCGCAACTTACTGTATTTCGTCGGACTTTAAAATCCACGCCATTTAGTTCCGATAGTCGAAAAGCTAACAATTTATCTCGATTGAAAGCAAATAGACTAAGAGCCCGTGACGTACTTTTAGGAAAGATGAAATTTTGTCCATGTGTTTCTCCAACACAGGTAAAGACGATCCCCAATTATGAAACCTGGATCCTGGTTCCTTTGGCAGTTAACAGCCAACAAAGATGTACAAATGATGACCTCAAATTCGTTATTTTAGCAACCTCCATTTTTACATATTTTGTTCGTATTATTATTACAACATGCGCTGCTTATTGCCAGACACCTAGTATGGTTCCAACCCTAGCCAGACACCCCTAAACTATAATATTTTTGAACTTTTTTATTTTCGTTATATTAGGAAAGCTGAATTTGATACACATTATGCAGAGAGCTATGAAACTGTGTTTTCTTTCACGCCAGACAGTTTGGTCGGTTCTATCATCCTGCCAGACGCATTGAACGTGTATAAAATTTGCAAAAGTTAAATTGTGTAAACATGAAAATTTCAGAGAATAGTTATTTTATTTGAACAAATCTTTATTAATTTTATCATTGTTCTCGATACCGCGACTGAAACCTCGACTGAAAGTGCTCAAAAGTGCAATTAATAAATTAATATGATTCACTCAATAACGGATTATTTAATCTTGTATTCTTTTTCATATCTGTTCCTCGTGAGCACTTGTCGTTTTCAGATTTAGATTTAGTGATGATACTATGAGTATTATTTAGTATGATATACAAGTGTTCTTTTGTAAAGGAGTACCATCTTTCAATCTAAATAAAAGAAACGAATACATTTGATAAGAAAGCTGTGTGGCTCAGTGGTGCTCAGTGGTTCCGTCTCAACCCTCGTGGGTGACGGACGTGTACTTAGCCGAAGCGTAGCCATCGCGGCAAACAAGCGAATAAGAGTGAAAAAAAGAACACAAATTAAAGTAGTGAATATAGAAAAGAAGAACACATGCTCAACAGTGTTGGGCACAAATGCTGCCACTGGAAGAATGTCCTCAAATCATGCGAATCTGGTAACAATTGCCAAGCGAGCAATCGCAAACGAGGAAATTCCGAATCATCAAAACACAAAACAAATGAAAATGGACATGGAGATGACAGAACCACCTTCCACTAGTAAGACCGCTCAACGATTCCAGGAGCAGTTACAGTATAATGTAAGAACGACAAACAAATTTGCTGCTCTGCAGGATGTTAAGGAAACTGAATCACAAAGTCAAAAACTGAGTAAACCAACGCCAATCGTAATTCAGACATGTCCGAAATCACCATCACCTTCAGTGTTCACAAGAACCTTGGTTGACCTTATTGGCAAAGATAAATTCTGGCTGAGGATCTCAACATGGAGAACAACAGTTTACTGCAAGGAACATGCAGACAGATTAAAGGTAATTGAACACCTTAAAGAGGCAAAAAGTGAATTTTTCTCGTTCACTCCTATACACGAAAAGAATACGCGAAGGTAATCTACAACCTGCACACCGACTACAACGAACAAGAAATCATGAACGAAATCAAAAACAATGTTGACGCCGAAAAGGTGTCAAAACTCAAAAACACTAAGGAACCGATATATCTTGTTCTGCTAAATAAGAACAGGGATATTAAAGAACTAAACATAAATGTAGAACTAATTTGCCACACTAAAATCAGGTGGGCACACTACAAAAACAAAACAGACATACGGCAGTGCAAAAGATGCCGACAATGGGGACATGTAACCACAAACTGCAACACCCGGTTTGCATGCCTGAAGTGTGCGAAGAACCACGAGACATGGAAGTGTGACCAATCCCAGGGAGTTGCCAGCAAAATGCGCAAACTGCCATGAAGAACACCCCGCCAACTCCAAGGAATGCAAGGCATACAAGGAGGCAGTCCTGGCAAGGCGTAAATTCAACAAACCAACGCATCCAGAAAGAATAAACACCACAAACCCAGCTTACAACGCAAACAAGGTTAGTTTCCTGTCCCAAAACTTTCCAAAACTTCCTGCATGCAATATGTCATCTTTCGCCATACCATTACCGACAACTATTCCTAGCCAACCTAAAGCCCCACCCACAAACACAAACGAAAGCTATGCAAATTTTACTGAATTAACGGCAGAAATAAATATACTGCATCAATCAATAAACATCAATAGAATGCTGCAATTAGTTAAAGATCTAAACAGTAGCTTAGTGGGAACTACCACAACAGCTGAAAAGTTTAATACTTTTATCACGTTCACGCAAAGCATTCATGACTAATTTAACTATACATCTTTGAAACGCCAACGGAATTCAAAACAAAATAGAAGAATTGCAGGTATTTTTAATCAATTACAACGTGCGCATAATGGCTATAAACGAAACTAAAATTAGCAGCACAAATAAACTAAAACTAAGAAATTTTGAAATATTGCGTAAAGACCGCGATGCTAATGGTGGTGGTGTAGCATTAATAATCCGCAAAGATATCTCATTTGTTCAAATAGTAGACAATAATGCAGGAGTTGCATGTCATTGGAAGAAGGATAGATAGATTGGCATTTTTATTGTGATAGAGTAGGATGGGGATAATTGTGTATGGCGTTCACCATCAATGTTGTATATATGATCCTTGTGATTTTCGCCGATTGTTTTGAAGCCTTTAAATGCTATTTTGCACGCGGAATTCCACTATCATCAGCCAATATACAATCAGTATTTGTTTGTGTATATGTTGCAGTAAAAGTGTACATTACAGTCAATGTATAGATTGACTAGTCAACGCATACATTCACTACCCATTTTAGTCAAAGTGTTCACTCACTATTAGAATGAACACTTTAACTAGTGAATGCATGCATTAACTAGGTAATGTATACATTCACTAACCAACACTAGCTAATGTGTTCATTTCAGATACAATGAATACTTTAACTACGAATTTTAGCGAATGTATGCATTGACTAGTAAATGTATACATTTACTAAATGTATGCATTTACTGCAACATATATAAGAGTTCTCTAGTTGCATTTCCTGAGTTGGCTATCCTGCATGCGACCTTGTTGGTTGCAATTAGTGTGCATTGCGTTGCGGCGTGTGCGCAGGATTATCGCGTTGTGTCCTTGCCGTTGTTGACTGCGTGCTGCGCTCAGCGTAGTTTTGTGCGGGTCGCTGGGTAATTCGGACGCGATTCTCGAGACTGTTATCTTTTATTTTGAGTTTGTAATTCGGTAAAACGTCTTTATTTCGACTAGTTGCGTGTCGTTTAGTCAACCATCGCCGGTAATCTGTGATAGTCATCGTGTTTGGTGTTTAGTGGGATGATCTGTACGTGAGCCATTTTTCCCGTGGAACATGGACAAAAATCTGCGTGGAATACCAAGAAAGAACGGTATTGTGCAAACTTTATTTATTTTTATTTTTTTTTAAATTGTCATCCCTATTAAATTCACCTATGTGTGCATGTATTGCTTTAGAAGTTTTATTCATACGAGTGCAGTAAGGTCTTTGCTTACGCCGGGTTAAAGCGATATCTTATTTTGTAATAGTTGTAACATTGTAACATTCTTATCTATTTGCGTGCGGTGAAGCATCAATCTTAAACCTGTGTGTGTGTAGCTGTGTTCAGTATTATTGTATTTAAATATAATTTAATTTTAGTTCTAGGTGAATTCTACGTCAAATCATCATTTAATGGACGGCACTGCACATCAGTGACTTGGCTACCAGCAATTGCGTCAATCAGTGACTTGGCTACCAACAATAGCGTCCCATCTTTTCCAAGTTCCAGTTATTTGCTTGCACGCCAGAAAAGGTTATTACAGACTTTCATGATTTTTCTTTACCCAATTTGTAAATTCGGTTTTTCTATTGATGGTATCGATGGTTCACTTCTATTATTTTTAATATTTATTTATTTTTAGAATTTGGAGCGTAAAACACCCACTGACGTTTCGATGGGATGCGATACCTATATAATTTGCCGTTTATCTAGTAATCAATTCTTGCGCTCCCACATTATTTTTCAAATCACTACAAATAATGCGCCCTGGGAAAAATGAAAATTTCCCGACTTTTAAAACCACGAACGCATTCTTTTAGTTCACTTATAATTAGAATTGTATATATTTAGGGACCTTTGACATTTAATTTGATGAATGCTTGTGGAATAACATGCAATGGAAACTCTTTGCAAAATATTAGGTGATTTATGGACGGATTTTACCCATCCAGTTATTTGCTGCAAAATAAACTTTCTGGTACATATTTTTACTTCATTATGAAAAAGGTTATCAAGAGTTTACATTGTTTTGCACATCTTAACGCCTCACGACTACTGTATTGTATTATTGCTTGTCGTGTTTATGGGACGAGTTTGCGTTTTATTTGTTGGTAATGCGGATAAGGGTATTTGTTAGTTGCCGCACTGTTGTTGCCTAGCTTTAACTCGCGAAGGGGGCGTTTTTAGGAATGTTAAATTAAATTCTCCGTCGAGTTGTATTAATTATAGAAAATTCCGCGCAGTCTCTAGAGATGTTAAATTAAATTCTCCTTAAGGTTGTATTAGCTTGTTGCAGAAGTTGCGTTTGCAACATATGTAAAGTCGAAAATTGGGTGGTTAAGTGGGATTTTAACATGTGGGGGGAAATTGTTGGAGTTTTTGGGTATAGCTTGCAAAGGGAGCGGCCTAGAATTTTCAACGCGGTGCCTGTTGGAGAAGCTTCAACAACAGTGCGCATAATCATAGATTTGTGTTTGGTTGTGTCATTCTCTTGAGCACATATCCATGATTGCTGTTTGTGTTATGTAATTGTGTATGTAGAACTTGAGAACTTCTATTGTGTATATGACTTTGCTGTATTGTCTTATGTATTAATGTGTTCATACATGTTTGTTGTACTGTCCACTTAGAATTTGTTTTTATATGTAAATGTTTTGTATTACATTGTAGCTGTTTGTGTTTTAATGTTTATTGTTCAATAAAACATAATGTACTATTATATACTTCTTCATATTTATTTCTGGTTTCCCCATTGCCGTCTGCAGGATTGATGTCTTAAATCATTTTCCATATAAATCTTAAGTGCGTCGAGCGTGTAGAATATATAGATGTTATTTGTGAGGTGTTGTTGTTTTTAAAAAATGGAATATAGTAAAAACATAAATATAAGAATCAAATAAAAATGATAAAATCACTTGGTGGCCGAGTGGGTACGTGCACCTGCTAGCATGCTAGTAGACACGGATCGAATCTCAGGTATAAAAGGCATTTTTCTCAAATATAAAAATAACAGGTGTAATTTGGGTTGAGTTTACATTCAAATAAAATATAAGAGAAATTGCAATATAAGCGAAGGCAATATGAGAAGTAAGAAAAAAAGTAGAGTAAGTGGAGAAACGGAGAACAGAAGAAAGGAATAGCAGAGATGAGTAGAAGACAAGAAGGAAGAGAACAGAGTAGAGAAGAATGAGAAGATAGAGAAGAAAGAGCTACCAGGAAAGGATCAGATTTTTAAATTTTTTGGCGCGTGTCGTTAGACAGTCACTGTTTCGATTCATCCATTGCTCCCGGCCCATCCTACAGCTACGATGTCTCTGCGCTTCATCCCCAAAATACTCAGGCATATCAACAATATTTATGGTGGGGGATCACCCCCAGAGAGAGGGAACTCCTTATAAGGACAATCCTTATCAGGTTTTGTTAAAATATTTCTAAGTTTTAAGTCGCCTCAAGAGAGGTGACACTTAAAAATATTCTTACAAGTTCTGACCTGTAGCTGAAATGAAAGAAGGAGCACACAAATCACACAGGATACCTTAACAATTTTTATAGTGGGGATCATCCCCTGAGAGAGGGAACTTTCTTAGAGACCTGTTCCTGAAATGATAGAAGAGGTATACAAATCAAAGAAGTCAATATTTCTTACAATAGAATACAAGTTTATATTTTACAAGTCAACAGAACACGTGCCGCCATATTGAAGCAGGACTTACGACCTGCATAGCCGCGCACATGCCAACAAGTTCTATCGGAATAAAGAAATAAGCAATAGCCCATTTTCTACGTTGTTAAAGGGAAACAAATATACAGGGTGATACAAAAGGAAAATTTAATGTGAAAATAGAACAACATTTTATCACTACAAATATCATTCGTTTCTCACCCGAGGCTCCGGGAAACTAATATACAGGGTGTCACAAAAAGAAAATTTAAAGGGCAATAAGGAAAACCCTAAAAACAACAGTCAAAGCAAAATTTTCACAGACACGAAGAAAAATAAATACACAGGGTGTTTCAGAAAGAAAGTCTAGTTGAAACAAAAAACACTCAAAACTTACAAATACCGGCGATTTTCTTCGTAGTGAAAACTAATATACATGGTGTTACAAAAAGAAAACTTAAGAAAATACAAAGGGAGTTAATATTCACAACATGAAGAGGGAAATTTACAAATAAACAACAATATTTTAATATAAAATCCAAGATTTTACCAGAAAATCATCGGGAAATTGAGCAAAAAGATTGTACAAAAATAAATCATTTACATTTTAACATAGTGTGAATGTATATTTATTAATTATTGCATCAACTGCATAAAGTAACCGACATAAATTGATAGAATATCCGGCGGAAGGCATTCAAATCAGCTGACGGCAAGCGACGGCGCGCAGCAATACAGTTGTTAGAGAGGATAAAAATAACTATTTTTTTTATGTAAATATTAAGACATACGGAGACTATGAAAACGAAAAACTATTCAACGTACAAGATTTTACTAGGTCAACAAGAAACTTGCGGTTAAGTTTACGTTGAATGTTTTATCGGCCGATAAAAAGTTTGTAGTGTGCGGGAGCCTAACAGTAAAACAAAATGTGAAGTGCAAGTGAAGTGTTACAACAATTGAACAAACAAAACTTATATCAAAAACATTCACGGGTTCAGCGAAAAGATGGCCGACGGCCGACGGCAAAGTGAGCGGTGTCGACCATATGAATATTGCCAATTTTAATAATCTTCAGTTACTTTTTTAAAACAGTGTTTATAGTAAATAAATCATTCATGTTATTTTCGGAAACGGAACTAAGAATTCTGATAAAAATGCTACCTACCATGTGTTTGTAATTTGCAAGATGATACATGCAAATTTCATATCACTCAAATAGAATAATCAATTTAAGTTAAACTTAAACGCGTAACTTTCCGTAAAAAAAATTAATAACACACCTACCTATGCATTGATGATGGGATGATGTTGGTCGAAAAAGTACACGAGAATTAATCCAATTAAAACCTCAAAACACATGATGATTAGAGAGACACGTTCGCGGACCACGCGGTGAAACAACTGCCGTGTGCGCTTCGCTTAGCCAGGTACAAAGCTGGTACGTAGCGATAATTCGCGTACGTCAAACAAAAAAAGTTGTTTATACACAAATGTACTGATAAACTCGTAGTTGAAAAGACCAAACTAAAATTTCACAATGTTGAAATAACCGACATACACGAAATCTACTTTTACTTTCAATATTTCTCGTCATAAGAAAATAATTTATTGGCTTTGGGATGTCATAAAATTGAGAAAAACAGGAATTTAATTTTCCATTAGAAATAAACAATTTATTGTCTTCGTAGTTTATTGTATACCTTTGTGCTGCCTCATTTTTTTGTTTGTAACAAATATCCTTTAAATTAATGGCGGTAACGGCAAACGGATTGAAGATTATGATAGTTTGAAAAAATCCCTATGAGATAAGAATTTAAAATTATTTAATTTAACACAGTAAAAAGTTGAAAAGTGCGACTGAAAGTGCTGTAGATTGAAATTTATTACGTTTTGACGATTTATTTCAATTGCGAATATCTCGTAAACTAAAAGAGATAAAAAGAAACGAATCGCAGAGATTTAATTTACGGACAATTCTCTATAAGATACGATAGTTAAATTGGAAATCTAGAAAATGAAATTTTAATTAATAAGAAAAAATTGGCAAGAGCTTCATAATTTTTATCAACGATTTTTGATAGCGAATATCTTCCAAACTAAAAGAGATAGCAACTAAAAACTTGAAGATTATGGATGATTATAAAATTCGCAATCAGATGTAAATTAAAAATAATTTAATTTAATGGGGTCAAAAATTGAAAAACGTGACTGAAAGTGCTAAAATTTTAAAGAGGAACTATTAACAAATTAGGGAATGCTGTACCCACATGTATTAAATGTGCAAAACAAACGAGACTCACAATCACTTACAATCCAAAATGCACCAACTCCGCTTGCCAAATGAGATTTGCAGGAAACGTAACGAACCGAGAGAAATGACTATGGCTAAATTGATTTACCACGACATTTTGCGTGGGTAACCAGCAATGTTTTGTTTTCACTGATTCACTGAACGCGTAAAAACACTCTCTTACAATGAAACATTCATAAAACACGTGCACCCATCACGACCGCGGAGATGCTACTACCCATGTTTGTATAGTGCGGACGATGCGGACGTTCTATGGAAGTAACTAGCGGCGCCTAGTGAATTTATGAAGTAAACACTCGTTAAAAACTAGAACTGTATTGTTTATTTGCATGATACAAGAGGTGTTTGTTATATATATATATATATATGTATTACTTTACTAATTACGTAAACGTGCAATTTCTTACATAATAAGCATATTTTCGTTCGAATTTATGTGGTTTTAACTAGTTAAATTAGCTAGGGGTAAACTAAATTCCCATACTTGTTCACAGGGGCAGTGACCTTGAAAAGGTTAGGAACCACTGTTCTATAGGTACGACTTAAAAAGCGCAAAGGGGTACGACTTAACAAACATGTGCTTCCCGTTCAAAACAATGTTAAACAATATATCAGAAGGAACATTTAACAAAATCCAAGTAGAACACAATACATGGATAGAGTGGTGTTTTACTGACCACTAATGCTTTCAAGCTCCACGAGAAATTGGATGAGCACGAGGAGCAAAACTATTTTTGCGCATAACTTCTCGGTACTGATTCGGCGGGCACTGATTAAAGAATATGCGTCTAGTATGATATCATGCTGCCCGAATACATCATTTTAAGTTGCATAAAGTGCATTCTAGTTATAGAAAAGACCGAGGTACGACGTACGTGACAGTACGACTTAGCCAACCTTCCCCTACATAGTAAAAATTATTGAATAGTATCCGACGGCCGACGGTCCTCACTAGAGCAATGCTACTCGTATTCCTGGCTGTGTTCATTCCGCGTTTAACGAAGTCCGCACATCACTCTCCCAGAGTAGATTAGAACAATTAGTAATATTTCGTAATTAGGCGAAGAAACATTGAAAACGTAAAGGATCGCGAAAGATGTACGCGCGCGGATCACCCGACGATAAAAATCAGACTAAATAACTTACGCCAACCAACCGCGTGCGCAGGCAACGCAGACACAAGTTGAACGAGATAAGAAAAACGTGTTTTGTTTATATACACTGATTTTATCCATGTAGTAGTGAACGAAACGAAAACAACTCTAGTATGCATTGGATTGGTCATTATCAAAGGGGACAAGTTTATTGAAAAATTATTCTAGTACCTACATAATTTTAATTTGACTAGGGCTTCACGCGATACCGAGACTTTTCTCGTATCGTCTCGTTCTCGTCTCGGAAAAGCGAGACGATACCGCGTTATTGGTCTCGTTATTAGTCTTGTTAATTTTTTTTTAGGAACTTGTTATTAGAAAAATGAGAAAAGGTCCAATATATGAAATCCAATATATGACTATCTGTGAAATATGTCTTTTGAATATTCAAAAGAACAAGGCAGTAACCGAATATCATGACCTTTTTGACTTTTTGAAAGTTTTATGAAAATTTTGTCTTTGTTTACATATCCGGAAACATATTTTTGTGTTTTTCTTGTACTTCTTGAAGACGTACGCCGCTTACTTTCAACACAAATCAACTCGATTACTGTACCCTAGTATACATTAACGTTTAAAAATTTGAAACATTAAAAAATATATTTTCAATTAAAAGTGATGCATTCAAAAATTAATATTTTAAACTACATATGTACCTATGTATTTTGGGCTTACTTTACAATAAAAGCAATTAGCTATTAAATGACTAAAGTTTTGAACTGCAAAGATCTTAAACTGAGTTCTACTTAAGGCTTCACACGATACCGAAACTTTTCTCGTATCGTCTCGGTCTCGTATCGCTTTTCCGAGACGATACCGAGACCGAGACGATACCTTTGATAGTCTCGTCCAGTCTCGTCTCGAGTGAAGCCCTAGTGTCAAACAAGGGCTGCATCTGAAACACATTCAGTGAGGATTATGGGCTCCCCCCCCCATGACTTAGTGCACTTGGACAACTGCAAACCTGTTCTAGAACAAATAGCTTAGGGTTGTAGTTAAGTACTGTGAGCATTTATTGGAGCTGTTAGAATATTTTAAAATTGTTATTGCTTGTTCTAGGTTGTGTTATTTGAATGAAGATTCGTGCCAAAGGTTAAGAGGTGAGAGGTGTTGAAAGAAGGATCTTTCAAAAATGAAAGGAAAAAATTGATTTAATAAATAATTTGGCAAGTACATTAATGGGCTCAGGTTACTGACTACAATCTGGTTTTATTATTTAATTTCTGTTATGGTAAGGGCCGCATATAATTTAATTTTGTTTGTGCGTTATATTCAACATAATATGCGTTTTAGATTAGTTTCATCCATCACCGCCAATCCGTCCGGGCTTCTTACGCACATAATTGACTAATGTAAGAAATAAGTTATACCTATATAACCTGAACACTACAGTATCACCCGCTAGAGGAAAATATTCGTCCGGCCATTTTGGGATCTATAAATAACATCTATGTCATCTATACATACACATTTAAATGTAAGTACAATATGGGTTGCGTACTATTTTTTTTTAAAGGGTGGTCCAATTTTATGCAAAGGACTAGACCGTTTGACATAAATAAGTAATAAACATTTATGCCGTATGTAACTGGCCCGTTTAATATACTCACGTTATTTTTTCTTGTAGATGGGAAAAGCAGTAAACAAACTAAGAAAACAAATGAATCAACTTGTTGCTTCAGTGGCGTTACTATCTACGTACTATATAGTTAGAACACGCATTGTGTTGGGCTCCCTAACAGCGAAATGCAAAGTAGGGGAACTCCTCAGAGCTATGTTTTTATTTGTGCATCCGAACCTACCAGATAGAAGGGTGGCGAATCGTTAAAGAAGCCTTGAGATATGAGCACATAAAGTAAAAAGTTTGCATACTTTATTCCTTTCCGTTCTGTTCAGGGCGTAATTTTCTCCAATGCTAATAAAATTGCTACGCCACTGTGTTGTTTGTAATACTTTAATCGTCAAACAATAGCACGTAAACAAATTATTTTTGGGAAATATAATTATTCTGTTAGTCGGGTTCCACCATTGTTCTATTCTAACATTGAGAAGCTATATAAATACTAGGAAACAAACGGTTTTATGTTTAGTATTACTTGGTATTACTACAATGTTCTTTCAATCATTTAATAACAAGTTTATCTTGTTGGATTTGGTATTACCCTTTATTGGGTTTACTTTAATTGCCTTGTTGATATTTCATCGCCATTGGTTTCAATCATGGAATTTGATCCACAAGTATCCAAAAAGCCGCCTTTTCATATATTTTCCACTAATTGGACATTTAGGGTTGTTGACATACATCCGCCCTTCAATGAAAAGTAAGTTCTAGCTATTTAAATTTTAATTGTAATAAATTAATGTGTCTTTATGTTTTTTTTAGATTTTATGAATCTATTTGCCATGTTCGGGAGTGAATCTGGAAAAATGATAAGGCTTCTCGGATTTCGGACCATCACAGTCTACAAAGTTGAACACTTAGATGTTGTGTTCACCCATCCACACACCCAAAAGAAACATTATAGTTACGATTTCTTCAAGGGATTTGTAGGGGACTCAATATTTCGAATTCATGGTGAACGATGGAAACGGAATCGAAAAGCAATGAGTCCCACAATGCATCCGGAAACAATTGCACCTTACACTGAAGACATGGCTAGAATAACTAGTATTTTAGTGGATAAGTTAAAATTGAAACAAAGGTGTACTTTTGATATTATGCCTGACGTTGCAAAATGTGTCATGGATGTTTTTGTTAGTAAGTGACCGGTTACAATCAGTAAGGGGAGCAGGTAAAATAATGTGTTTTCTTTAGATACTTCTTTTGGAGTTGACATGAAATTACAAAATGGCAACGCAAACAAATTCGATCATTACACCGATGCGTAAGAAATATTTATATAAATTATAATTAGTATAAACTATTATTTATCAGTTATATTTTTAGTTTCTTAGAATTAGCGATGTATCGAATGATGGCGTTACCACTACATCCGGATTTTATCTATAAGTGGACTAAGTCATATGAACTTCAGGAAGAAGCATTAAAATATGGAAAAATTGTCACTGATAAAGTAATAATATCTTTATACAATGCAAATCAACATAAAACACAATTTATTAATATGAATTTGTAGATTTTTATGGATAGAAAAGCCATTTATAACGAAGAATTAAAAACCCGCAATTTAGAAGTTAGTTTGGAAGAACAATATGGCCGCAAGCGAAAGTTCATTGATCATTTATTGGATTTAAGTCAAGATGCTTTAATTACCGAACAAGAAGTTCTAGATGAAGTTAATACATTCATGATAGCTGTATGTTGGTATATATTATATTATGAAGAACTCAATATATAGCTTTTTAGGGCTTTGACACTTGCACTTCGGGAGTATGTTTTACTCTATTAGCGCTAGGAATGTATCCAGATATGCAAGAAAAAGTTTATCAGGAACTTATGGATGTACTTGGTACTGAACGCGATATTCAATACAGCGACCTATCAAAATTTGTTTATCTGGAAAAGGTGATTAAAGAATCACTCAGAGTTTTTCCGCCAATTCCCGCTGTTATACGCGTGGCCGAAGAGGATTTTCTTTTGGACGGAAATACAGTACCAAAAGGCACTCAATTATTGTGCAATATCTTGAGTACTCATCGGTCGTCTTTATATTGGAAAGATCCGATGAAGTTTGATCCAGAGAGATTTACCTCAGAGCAAACGGTTAAACATGTCAAAAATAGCTTTGTTCCATTTTTGGCTGGGCCACGCACATGTTTCGGTAAGATTAACTTTTGTAGTATTCACGTTTAAAAATACAATGTTTTCATTATCCAGGGACAAGAGTGGCCTGGATGTCCCTGAAAACCATTGTTGCAACTTTAATTCGAAGATACAAAGTCTTTACACCTTACAAATCTCCAGACGATATAAAACTGGAAATAAAAATGACATTGAAGGCAGAAGAAGGTATATTGATTCGTCTGGAAGAACGTAAACAACTCTGACGTCTTTCTATGGGAAGTAAATTCATTGTTAAAATTAATTAGCGGAAGCTACTATTGCATTATATTACAAATGGGAATATTTGCGCATTCTCAGCGCATTATTAAGGAAGCAATTTGAATAAAAATAAAGATAAGATTAAATCCATGTCATAAATCATCTAATGAATAAAAACCGCAATTATTTAGAAACTATGTTAAATATACAACATACGACATAAATGCTATCTATCATTTACATTTTACAATATATGATATACAGACTCTGTAAAAAAATCAGTACATTACTTTGATTAGTCTAATATGGCATATTGCTGATAGAAACCATTAATAAATATTGTCATCCTCCTCGCAGATGTCCAGGTACTGATCAAATGCCTCCCTGTTACAATTGCCATCATTATTAAAAACATACTTATGAAACGTGCCATCGAGACAAATTGCAATAACCGAGTTATTCGGGCCAAATGCGCAAACACATGCACATTCCGGCGGCACTGTAAAATTCGCTAACGCCCATTGTGAATCACCGTAATTTCCCAGCAAACCAAAATTAGTGATTCTGAAATAAATAAATTTGTTAGTACAGAAGTGTGAAGAGTGCAGTTTTTAATACTTTGACAATACGTACGACATCTTCCTATTGAGATTCGTATTCTTGATCGCAAAGATGTGAACGGTGCCTTTATCGCTAGAGCAACAGAGGTAATCCGAGTCATTGCTAAAGTTTATGCTGAAATAAATTACAAAGAGTTAAATTCAACTTTCAAGTATTCCTGTAAATTATTATTACCATTGGACATTGGCTGGATCAGAACCACGCCGCAATTCAACTAATTTAGTCCTGGAAATCGAATCCCACACTCGAATCAATGTGCCTTGAATACTCGCCGTTGCAATGCGGGTGCCCTGCTGATTCAAGGCAATGCAAGCAAGTTCATTTTTATGTGCTGGTATCCAAATTGGCGCACTTGATACGCCATTTTCTGTGCTTGCCAGGTCTACAATTTGAACGCTGCCTAAATTGTGACCTGGGAAGACAACTATTTGTCTTTCAGCCGACACCAAAGGACTCATTTCGCATAATCCCTTCGGGTTTGTTCTCGTTTCGATTGAAAACAAACGTTGAGTTGGTGTTGGAAACGAAAACACATGGATTTGTGTTAGGAGAGCAACAACTAATCTGAAATTAAAAACAATTATGAACAGAATTATTTAATTCGGTTTGAGATGACAGTGATGCAATTATTCCCATAAAATTCACAAAATATAACTTACTTATCACGTTTTAATCGTACCGCACGAATGGACGAATTAAAAGTCAATTCCAGAACAAACTTTTTTGCACAATCATCATATAACAAAAGTGTGTTATCTGCAAATTTAGTTCTGGAGCCTCCAGAAACAATTGCAAGTATATTAGTCCGATATAGCATCTCACACTGTGCAACACTGCCCATCAATTCAACATCTAAAAAATATATTGATTTAAAGCAACAAATTTATAAATAAATTAACAAATTCACTTTACCATAATGTGCTTTCTCCACTAAAGGTTCTACATTGTAAATCCTCAAACCAGTTTCCATACATGATGCAAAACAACCTGAAAACCATTGGTTTGAACACTTTATGAACAAAGAAATTCTATAAATGTAATTTCATACCTTGGTCTTGATTGAAACGTATGTTGATAACGTCTTTTCGCGACATATCGGCGATTGCGGGCAACTTCATCGGTTAATCAATGCTTTATTACGAAAATTTGCAAACAAAACAGTCTAGTTTGTGGTGACGTATGCCTTGCTTCACAGGCGCAAAGCATTTTTAAAAACACTGCGTCGTAGTGAAACGAGGTGCAGTACACAAAGTGGAACAGCTGTTGTTTACTAAATATTCCTGGCTCGTGTCGAATGACCGTGACGGTATGACCATCACAAAACTTTAATATAGGCAACTTCATCTACATAAATTGCTGCAGAAATTTAAAAATCTTCAATACCTAAGCGCCCTCTAGTAGTAAGTTTTCCAACAACATAAACAGCAGTCTGTTTAAATTTGAATGTGCTACCCGTTGTAGGCTAACATTTTTTCTTACTATTTTGCTTTATAGCTCGTCTTACAGATGGCAAGCAAGTCCCAAAATTTAAAATAAATATAAGAAATTGTCCAAAACTTTAAAAACAAAATAAGTACACTGAATATCTGTATCTAATATATTAGATTGTTGTTTATAAGATAAAAGTTACTGTTAAACATGCTTTCATACAAATTCGACATCTAGCATCACCGTTATGATAACACAAAATTGTTATCACCATTTCGTTGAGCGCATCGTCGTTCCTGTGACAATTTTGTCAGTCTTGCGGGTTGTTTGTCGCATGTGTAATACAATAATAGCCAGGCGCTAGTGGCACCTTAAGGGGTAGTTGACATTGAGGGCGGCTATAATATCCGGTCAATATCACGCCCCACATCGTTTGGCGTCTTATCGTCAAAACTGCCGGAATGATATCACATTGCTGTTTAGTTTATGCCGTGGTAGCACACGAAGCGAAACCCTAGACGCCTGGAACCCTCGCTTAACGACCCCCTTGCAAACAACACCCAGCGTTCAATCTACCCTTGCACAAAACAATAAAACTAAAGTCCAATAAAAAAACTACGGAATTAGCGATTGCTTTAAAACGTCACAGTGCATAGTAAAAACTAATCTAATCACCTAATGAGAATATTAAAATTTATTAATGAAAGGCTCGTTTTGTGGCGCTGCTATTTCTATCGTTATCAATGCTTTCACGAAGGTTTTACTAATGCAACACATGCACATGTGGCATGACTTGCTTCCAAAGGGAGGTGAATTCGTCTCGTTGCGGTTTGGGTCGGTGTTCAGCTTTGCGATCATGATAATTTCGAAATTTTCGCGAGCTGAATCTGACGAAAACCACCACCAGACGCGATGAGTACGAGCTGCGTTACGTGTCGGAAGTCGGTACGAACGTATTCCGGCGAAAGGGGTTGCAAACCGATGCGAACTTTTGCTTGGAAGTTTGTTAAAACATCGTTTCACAACAGTTGTTGCGCGCACGGCCGAATGCGCCCTCAGTATCGGTATCGCTTCGGCATTGCCTCAATTTGAATAATGGCACGGAAATTTGGGCAATAAGGAAGCGTTCTTCGCATTGATAATGGCATCACGACCTCTCGCTCGTCCTCGCGCACACATTTTACTCGCGGTGCGCCGGCGAAAATTCGTGTTTTTCTTCCTGCGTCGATGATTATGTGAATTTGGCTCGGGCTTGTTGCACGATCATTACACACAGCCTCGTTCCAGATTTCGCTCCGATCTGCATCATGCATGATGCGCAATGCACGCGAAATTGAAGCTGCGGAATCGAATGTGATGAGCGATGACCTCCGATACAATGCACAATGATATTGTGTGTGCGGAGAGCAAATGCGCGCCGTGTTTTCGCTTTAGCTTTACGCGTTCGCTTTAATATTTGACCTCTTGGCATCACTGGGTACCGCCAGTGTCAGTTTACGGTTATAACGAGATTGCAGCAAACGTGCAAACGCCAAGAACCACAAAAACGAAGACAATGTCTGCGTAGACGCGTAGCGATGCACCCAGTCGGACTTCTTTTGCAGCTTAAATTAATTTACGAGCGTGTACCAGGGGCCAGACAGGCGACGAGAGTGCACAGCACGTACGGTGTCCAATTTCCGAATTTTATAAATCAGTTCGGTAATGGTCAGCGATGCACGACCCACCGCACTAAACCGCATCGCACACGAGTGACGCTCGGAGGGTGAAATCGTCGAAATTATCGGCGTCGCGCTGTGGGGATCGCGCTCGCAGACGCAGATACAGATACAAAAAAGCAGGGGACAATTTCGTCAAATTACCCCCGGGGCTTTCATTGAGTTAATTCGTTGGTGCTGGTGCTACTATGACCAGTGCAGTATAAAAGCACGACGTAGTGAAAAATCAGCGAAATGTCTCCGGAATAGTCCGAACGATCCGGAAGTAAATTTTGCTGCAATTCGGATTAATTTAACCTCTTTTAGACGACATCATCGTACGCATCGAGAGACGTGCACGTGAAATGACAGACAATTTGAGTTTGGTCGTAAAATTCTCGCAAGGTGATAGCTACGAGTGGTAACACATGTTCGTTATTTTATTCAGAATCTATATACTTAGACACTCGGATAAGAACACCGTAATTTCTAAAAATGTTGAAATTTGCATAGCCACCACGCCCAAACTGAGAATATGTGTACATTATGTTCCGGTTTTATTTGAGAGCGCGCGTCGCCGTCGACAAATTAGTTTCAGCCAGTTCTAGCTTGATGCATTCCTTCGCCTCTGCTCAAATTCACCCTCATCCCACATATCATCCCCGGCCACATTTCACTCCCCTCCTTTGGGAGTCACATACAAGCAGCGTCCTTTAAATCATTGATAAATTAACTCAATTTTCTTTATTATTTTCAATCAGTGTAAGCACTGCCATGCAGACGAACGAAAATAAAAACTGAAAACTTTCCGACAGATATGCGGTTATTCCTGTCGCGCATACATACATTGTGCACGCTTGCGTTTGCAATTGCGGAATTGTCAACGGGGCAAAAAAGGAGGAAACTCGAATAAGTAGAAAAAGTTTGTCTCTTTTTGCGCTTAAAGTTCAATTTAGGTAAAAAGGTAGTTGCAATAGTCGACGGCGAGGCGCGTCTAGAGAGATGGCAAGAGAGAATAACTTTTGTGCATTAAAGTTGCAATCTCGCGCTGATAAAAAAAGAAGCCGGCAACTTTCTAATTGAATCTAATATGATGGTTCGGGCGGGATTAAAGTGCATTCCGGAATTTTTACAATACTCAACATCGAACGCGAGCGGAGTCCCAAGCGTAATGTAATTTCTAATAATAAAGCCATTTCCACAATATATTTTTCGTCGATTCGTGTACATAATTAATACGGACGTTAAAAATGCTTCCATCACGTCATTTCGTGGAAATCTTTCATCTATAAAATCTTGTAAGTATTACAATTAGTGGCAGTGTTATACTGGCGACAAGGAAAATAATTTTGTTACAAAAGCATTTACTTAATGCACAAATACCTAATTGTAAGTTATTTGTTTGAACATCCAGTAGTATTTTTTGTCATTCCTCGTTCTGGTATCCCGATCGTGTTGCTACCGATTCATGACACATAAAAGAACAAACAAGGCATAGTGGCAGAGCATGTTTGCCCTATGTGTAGTTAAAACACGGACAAACTAGTTAATTACTTCATTAAATATGTTTCGTGTGTAAATATAATGTCATTCCATTCTTTATTAACATCATCACACAAATATACCTATATTTCAGAAGAAAAAATATTTATTTTTGAAATATTGCCAAAAATAATGCGAAAATTGATGTGTCACGCTGATTTAACATCATCTATAAGTTTATCTCAGTCGAGACCTGCGGCAACTCAATTTTAAAAAGTTAGCAGCCTGAAAAAAAATGTAATACACTCAAATAATCCGCTTTGATTTCGTGCATAAAGTGTTCACACTGTTCATAATGCACACCGCAATCTCTCAGGCGACGCACGCCGCCTCCACAACAAATCTTGTTAGCGGCACGAGCGTGCCACCCTTCACCGAAAACTGCAAAGCGTTCCAACCGGCGCAAAAACAAAACGAGCCATGCGAAAGCCGCGAATAATCGAAAATGTTATCAAGTTATTCGAGATTATCAAAAAAGATAGACTCGATTTGAATAAATCCATATATTTGTCTTGGGGTTGCACAATGCATCGATTCGATTGTATAATACAAGGGTTGTGCACATACAACTTCCTCGTTTCCGCACGCCCCCATGCGACTAAACTCGCCCTCCGCTTTAAACTAAAGCCGCAATAAAAGCGAGCGGACAGGCAATCAATCAATTATGTTAAACAAGTGCAATTTATATGAAAACATTTTTTCAAGGCAATGTGCATTAAGCGCAGACAAACAAACAACGAGGCGGTCGAAATCGGCATAAATAGAAATGCTGATTATAAAATTCGATTATTGTATTCTTGTGTCTTCTTCCACTGAATCCATTTGTAAATTAATTTATATCTTTGGAGTTTCTATATTTACAAAAGCTTTCAACCCTTGTTCTGACTTGTTTTAACTCAAAGAATTTGTGAGAAATTTGTGAGATGATCACGACTCGTGCAAATTATAATTTCTTTTGTTGTTGAAATTACGCAATTGGTCCGGAGACGGGCAATCCGTGCGGTTTTGCAACTTAGTTTTGTCCGCGTTTCTTTTTTATCTTTTGAAATGCGCAAACGTGCGCGGTGACTTTAAATATTTTACGCGAAATCGAAATTTACGAGTGCTGCACGACATAAATTACTTGCTTCTAAGTACTCCGAATGCACACACTGTACGTTGGTCGATGTTCCGCCAAAGAGGCAGTATAACAACCATTTAATCCACTTTATTCGATTAGGACGTAATCCATCTTCATGAAAAGCGTACATTTTTTGAATGGCGATTTCTCTGAAGATCATTTACGATTTTGTGAAATTTACTTTTACTACTTTTACTTCATTTTGAGGCTTTTACTGATGAAGCGAATTTATCAAGTAACACTCTCAATTTCGTGCATCAAAGACTCTTCTAATCCTGATGTTTCGCCACGTTGGTCATAGAGAGGGTGCGAGTTTAAACAGCGTTCAGCATTAATAATGCATAAGATGAGTGTCCATAGGACGCGCTTTAAAAAACTAGTAAAACGCAAACGCGTCGAAATTCCAGTAATCCATTCGCAGCCGTTTTTTCTACAATGCTAATGTGACATCTAACATTGATGGATCAGCACAGGGTGCTTATTACGAGGGTAGGCGATTAGCGATAACATCGGTTGGTTTGGAT